TTTTAAAATTTATATTTTTTTTTTATTTTAATATATACTAAGTGACATATAAATCCGAACACCCAGTTTAAATGGTTTTATTTTAATAAAATTTTGTATAAGTATTTAATGAAGGATAATAAGTAAATGATAAAAATTTCAAAATGATTGCACTGCTTTAAAGCCCTTTGACCTTTAATAATGTGTGGATGCTCCCATTCTCCAACGCGCCTAGGCATGCTTCTGATCAGGTGGTCAGTGTCCTCCTGTGGTATCTCATTCCAGGCAACCACCAACTCCTCTCGAAGTGCTTCTAGAGTCTGAGGAGGACGTTGCAAATTGAGCAATCTCCTACCCATCATATCCCACACGTGCTCAATTGGGGATAAGTCGGGAGATCTTGGTGGCCATGGTAACAATGTGACATCATTATGTTGAAAGAAGTGTATTGTGACTCTTGCAACGTGTGGTCGGGCATTATCTTGTTGGAAAGTTGGATCTTCCAGAGTGTCAAGATAGGGTAAAAGATGGGGTTCTAGAACTTCGTGGATATAACGCTGCGCGTTCATGTTACCTCTGATGAAGATTAAAGGTGACCTGGAACCATAAGCTATAGCACCCCAAACCATAACTCCAACAGTGTGATGAACATGTCTTTCAACAAAAAACTGTGGATTCCTCCTTTCTCCACGTCGCCTTCTAACCCTGGCACGACCATCGTGCATGCCTAAACAAAATCGAGACTCGTCACTAAAGACAATACTGTTCCATTCCTGATCCCAGAGTGACCGTTGTCTGCACCACTCAAGGCGATTACGTCGGTGTTCTCGAGTTAAAGGGAGGACCCAGTGTGGCCGGTTTGAAAACAAGCCAAAACTTCTCATTCGTCGGTAAACACTTCGCATGCCAATAGGTCTTCCGTGTTCTGCAAACCATTTATTTGCAATGGACCTGGTAGTGGAGAAACGGTCCCTTAAGGCCAATAATCTTAGGCGGCGATCTTCACGGTCTGTTGTTCTACGGCGGCGTCCAGTGCCCCTTGCTCTTTGCGTACGGCCTTCTCGAAGCCATGCCTGACAACACCTAGCCACAGTGTCTACACTTCTTTGCATTTTAACTGCAATTGCCCGAAAAGAAAGTCCAGCTTCCCGAAGTCCCACTATACGGCCCCTATCAAACTCACTAAGTTGACGAAATCGTACAGGTCTCCGTACTCTAGGCATCGTAACCGATCGTAAAGGATGTCAAGAACCAAAATCCGCCAACGTTGATTCTTTACTGCGGCTGAAATATTCATTTTTAGAGAGTTAGTAAATTAAAAAAAAGCAGTATAAAAACCGGAATGTCCAACTGATAAGGCTAACTTGTTATTAAATTTACAGTAACATAAATACATTCACCAACTTTTATTAAAATAAAACAATTTAAACTGGGTGTTCGGATTTATATGTCACTTAGTATATTTTCATGTTGTTCCATTTGTTATAAACGGCTACGTGGTAAAATGATAATATTTAATATAATTTTGTAAAAAAATTGATTGCCGTATAGTATCTCATGATTTTATTGTAAGAAAATGATATTGCACCGCCAAATTTTGGTAATTATTTATTTATATTTCTATGAACTAAATTTTTAAGACGGCATTATTATTTAAAGTTATTTTAGAAGTTAAACAAGAGATTGAAATGAATGCCGTACATTTTCCGATGACTTTCCACCATAGAGGTCTAAAGCAGGGGTTGCGACCCGAGTTTTCTCACCCCTGTACCAGCAGATATGTACGGCCGTTGGTAAATTTTAAACCATTATTTCCGTACGGCACTAAGTGCATCGTGATTATTTTGTCGGCATCTGTGATACTAAAGAAAGCCGTAAAAAATCATTTAGACTTTTCCGACCCCTTCAGGACAGATAATTCAATTTTCCCCTGTACTTACATGTACCGCTCTCAAGTGACGGCATAGTGCTAGAAGTTATTTTTTAATGTAGTACTATCGTTCTGAGTAGGTTTCCTGCTGTATCACATGACCCCCCCATTTTTGCCCATAGCTCCCGGTCTAATAATAAAGTTTTATCATCATGGTACAAATAATGCATTGGAACTTTTAAAAACAATTATCTCGAAAACTATTAGCTTTAGACACTTCTAACAAGTAAACCTTTTTTGCTGTGGAAATACGAGAAAATAAGATTTTTCGGTCAGTTGTTGTATACAGGGTAGCACAAAAAGTTATGATAAGTTATTTACCGAAATAGTGCTTTAAGTGGCACCCTCTAGAAGTTTGACCATAAAAAATAACGGAATCTTGTTTCTCATACTAGAAGACCTCCCTATAGCGAGTTTTGTGCCAGAATCTGAAATACTTCTCAAGCAATAAGAAAAAATATAAAATAAAATTGTAACTTTGACAACCCTGTATCTCGCAAACTATCAACCTTTCTACTAAGGTATGTTTAGGTCGATTCACAAATTTTAGTCTGTAGTATATCCAGTTTCGAGATTTCCCAACCTTTCGCAGACACCCTGTATACAGGGTGGCCTATCCATGTGTGGACTGAATATTACTCATAAACAAATACATTTTTGGAAAATCTATTTGGCATTTTATACATGACATTTAAGGGTACATTTCTAAAATATTGGCAATTATACAGGGTATCCCAATTTCGACCAACATATCAGAGTTGTGATTTTTTAAATAGAATGCCTCAAATTTTATTGCATATTTGGATAAGTCAATCCAAAAGAAGAAGATTCTTATAACATACTATGGGGTTTTAGTAATTAGCTACTGAGATGTAAGGTGTTTAGTCCAGAAAAACCGTCCACTTCGGCAACCCCTCAATCCGCCATTTTGAAATTTGGAGTGCTGAAGTTTATATCAAAAAAACTTACACACCTCAACTTTTATCATCTTATTTGTTACTTTTTCGAATTTTCATTTTTGTTCATACAGGGTGGTCAAAAACGAGAATTGTACTTTTTCACAAAAATTTCAAGTGTATCACCCTGTATATTTGTGCAAGTTTGGATTCAATTTTTCATAAGCTTTTTTTGGTATGAGGTTTGATTCAGATAAAATCACTAGATTTTGAGTTATTAAGCTTTCAATAGAACAACACACCAAAATTAAGGAAAAAACTCATATTTGACGTAAAAACTAATATCTAACAATCAGAACAGTATAAATCAGCTTCAAGCGTAATAGAGAAAAACAACTATAACAACAAAATAATCAAACAACTATCAATACTCAAGGCCTAATCTACAAAAACAGCTTGAAAATATCTCCACCATGTTGAATACACAGCCCTAATCTTTGGATAAATGACCGTTGCACATCCCTCAGCATGTGTTCCCTTATGTTCAGAAAAGCATCCTTAATCCTTTCCTTCATATTTTCCGGAGTAGATGGTGGATATCTATAAACCTCTTGCTTAACTTAGCCCCATAGAAAGAAGTCCATCGGTGTCATATCTGGTGATCTAGGAGGCCAAAATATAGGCCTATCACGACCGATCCAACGTTTATTACTCCAGGTGTCCAAATAGTTACGCACACGATTATGATAATGCGCAGGTGCGCCGTCATGTTGGAAGTACATATGCATCCGAGTTTGCAGGTTGACATCCTCCAAAAGGAAAGGCAAATGCTCGATCAAGAAATTCAAGCATTCTGTACCTCTTAACCTGTTGTCGAAAAAAAAGGCCCGATAACGTGTCTACCAATAACTCCTCCCCAAACATTCAAGCTCCATTTATTTTTGAAAACCCAGTAAGGGTTTTCCGTCGCATAATAGCACTATTATGTTATGCCTGTTGACAACACCTATGCTGTTAAAAGTTGCCTCATCGCTAAAAAGAACCTTATCCAGAAAAGTAGTGTCCTAACTCACTTTATTTAGCATTATTCTACTAAACTCCATTCGAGCTGCGAAATCCTGAGGACGAAAGCCTTGATGCAAGCATAGGTGATATGGACGGTACCTATGCTTGTAAATAATCCTTTGGACAGAAGTTCTGCATATATCAGTTTCTGCTCCAGTTTGCCTTGCACTTAAATGGGGATTTTCCTGCAACTTTAATAGAACCTCCAACTCATTCGCCTCATTGGTGACACTTGGATTATTTATACATTTTTTACTATATTCTACTGCTCCACTTGATTCAAAACGTTCTCGTAGTGTGGAAAATGTTTTCGGCCTTGGATGTCGCATATTGGGGTACCGTTGCTTATAAATGCGAGATGCTAGGAAACTATTTCTTTGAGCGTCGCCCAAAACGAACACCATATTCTTCATTTCTTCTTTAGAAAAATTCATTTTCAAACACGTTTTTATAATAATGCTCACAAAGCTAATTTTGACAATTTGTAACTAATCAAAACTTTATTTGTTTCCAAAGATGATGCGATATTTTAGGGAATTAAGCCGTTTCATAAAAGACGTGCTAATAACCGTAAAAATAGCCGTAAAAACCCTTGTGTCTAGTATCAAAAAGAAACTTATAAAAAATTGAATCCAAACTTGCACAAATATACAGGGTGATGCATTTGAAATTTTTGAGAAAGACTACAATTAGCGTTTTTGACCACCCTGTATGAGCAAAAATTTAAATTCTAAAAAGTGACAAATAAGATAAAAGCTGAGGTGTGTAAGTTTTTTTGCTACAAAATTCAGCACGCCAAATTTTAAAATGGCGGACTGAGGGGTTGCCGAAGGGGGGGGTTTTTCTAGACAAAACACCTTATATATCAGTAGCTAATTACCAAAACCCCATAGTATGTGATATCAATTTTCTTCTTTTGAATTGGTTTATCCAAATATGCAATAAGATTTGAGGCATTCCTTTTGAAAAATCACAACTTTGATATGTAGGTCGACATCCTGTATAATAACCAATATTTTAGAAATATGCCCTCAAATGTCATAAATAGATTTTCCCAAAATGTATTTGTTTAAGAGTAATATTACTCGTTGCAGTCATAAAACTGTTTTTTAACTAAATTCAAATTACAGAGAATTTGGAAACACCATCTATAAATGACTACGACGTTGAAAATTTGATAGACGTCTCTTCCGAACAGCCTCAGTTGATGTTCAGTCCCGGTAGTACTGAATTCACAGATCTGGTAACAGCTAAAGCTATTGAAGCTCCAAATCTGAAGCCGTGTTCTTTGGATGATATTGTGGAGTACATCAACAACCCACCTACGCAAGAGTGGCAACATATTCATGTGCGAGGAAATGTCACAATTTTGGATCCCGATAGTCTCATAAATAGAATCTTGACTAAAACTGCTAAGAAGGATCAAATCAACGTGATACAAGCCATGGTGAGTGTGAATTTGAGAATGAAGAAAAATTAACATTACTTGAGCAAATCGCTGAAACCAAGTTTTTTTTCTAGGTGACATTTGCATCTGGCATTGTAGCGAAAAATATCAACACATCTATTGATATTAACAATGTTAATTTAACGGACATTATCAATGATGCAGTATTCTCAGAATCTGAAGAAACTCAGGTAAGAAACAGACTCAAGTTAAATGTCGTCTTCACTTCATCAAGATTCAAAGATTCAAAATTCATATCTAAAAAAACAAGTTTTATATACTACTTTTTCAATATTTTCAAAATTGCATAATACATTAGTTTTGCAGAAATAGTTTTATGTTTCCATACCTGATCGCTACCGAAGAAACGTTAAAAATCGGATGTATGTGATTATTTATATAAATGAGATAAACATAGAAATAAGGAAACCAAAACAATTTATTCCATACAATAAGTATTGCTCGTTATATAGCTATGAGACTGAAATTGATTGGTACTCATTTTATTTTTAATTGTTAATAATTTCAATTAATAAACAATCAAATGCAAAACAAGGTCAGAAAACTCACATCGTAATAGATACAGTTGGCAAGATTTATGAAGAGGATCAAATCCTGAAAGTTGGGAATCGGAATCTGAGCTACTACTTAAGCTTAAATCTTTGGTCTCGCTATCGCCATTTTCGTCTAGATTTATTATTATTTGATCCACAACCAAGTCGAGTGCTGGTTTCATTTCCATATACTGCTTCTCAAAACCTTTGGCATGCTCACAACGCTTTTTCCATTCTTCTGTGGGATAAGGCGAGAAAAAGTCGTCGCAAAGTTTGTCGACAGTCTTGAGATTAAAATCTGCATTTCTCTCAACCACATATTGTTTCGAAGATGCCCATACCAATTCAATTGGGTTTCAAGTCGGGGTGATCTGATGGCAATCTCAAAACAGAATGACCTTTTAAGAACGAAAAATCGCTCAGACTTCGTTGTTTCATAGAATCCTGATCAGTTGCGCAAAATGTTTTGTAGGTGTTAGGAATTGCAGGGGGTTGGGGGGGGGTAATTTTTTGACGTTGGTCTATTTATACGCTTCCAAGCCTCTACGCACCTATTAGGCATATTTCATTCACCCTAGATTTACCCTTAAAACTTATAAACAGCTTCATATCGATACGTGCGACGTGATCCCCCGACGGACAAGCGTCTTTTGTCACAGTCGGCAATCGCTTCCGCACTGCTGTGGGCTGTGTGCTCTGTGCATGGTGAAGGCCAATATCGTCATTCACGCGCGATTGGTCATCGCAATGATCATGTGTGCCTGCAGAAATTTCTCTCAGGGGGAGGAGAAGGTCTTTTGTTATACATTTTCGTAGCTTCGGTTCTCTCAGATGAGCTAAATTACACAAACGTTATCCTTCACGAACTGGGATGGGAAGTACAGAGTCAACTTACTTGATGACATTTTTTCAATTACAATGACAATTAACAACAATAGAATGAAATTAAAACATATACGTGATTTCATTCAGCCAGACAATGGAGTGTTATGAACATGAAAAGCACAGGATAAGTCTCAAAAGTTACATTGGTTGTTTTGACCTCTCTCAAAATCATTGATGACGATTCCAAGGTAACATGCACAATGCCAACCTTGATCACGACTTGTGATTCGCGAGGTATTGGTAATCGCAACGATCATGTGCGCCTGTAGGAATTTCTCTCAAGGGAAGGAGACATGTTATTTAATTTTTTTGTCATACATTTTCGTAGCTTCGCTTCTGCCAGATGGGAAGTACAGAGTCAACTTACTTGACGCCATTTTTTCCAGTACAATGACAATTAACTGTGCCGAACTTTATCACGACTTGTGACTCTCAAGTTTTTTTGAATATGGTTCATACATGCCGTAAAATTGTTTAGCACTAATATCCCAACTCATCCTGATTCATTTCAGCGTATTTCTGGCCAAAAATGGTTTAAGTCTGTCAAAGCGTCTTGTGCAGTAGTTCTAAAAAATGCAGATATACCATTGGTGAATGGAGAAGACATTAGAAAGTTGAATGAAGACATCGTCAACAAAGAAAATGTAACTGATGGCAAAATACGTGGTAGAAAAACTTTCTTTGGTGGGCTTAAAACTGAAAACCTTAACGTAAGTAAGATTTATTACACATGAGAGTATAAAATCGATGAATATCATATCAGGAAATAACAGTAAATAAATAAAATTTTGACGTTTATAATTCTTAATATCTAATCTGAGAACGATATGCTTCAGGTCAAAGTTCTAGGAGATGTCCAACCAAAAGACATAGTGCTAGTAGATGCTAAGGAACCAATACCAAGTGCAATATTTGAATATGTGGAAATTGAGTCAAATCTGGATGTCGGAAATATCAATAACATCAGCCTCCAAAAGGTTTTAGACAACAGAATTGTGCTAAACGATCCTAGACCACAGAGAACTGATGCCGTAGTCTATTTTGATGACCTCATAATAGAAAGTTAGTCCCACTTATGCTATCTTCATACATGTCTTTTAATCGCAAACACTTCTTCATCAACCTTAAGGAATTTGACTAAAGATTAAAGAATGTTTCTATACTAAGTGACATATAAATCCGAACACCCAGTTTAAATGGTTTTATTTTAATAAAATTTTGTATAAGTACTTAATGAAGCATAATAAGTAAATGATAAAAATTTCAAAATGATTGCACTGCTTTAAAGCCCTTTGACCTTTAATAATGTGTAGATGCACCCTGATGTGCTACGCATTCTCCAACGCGCCTAGGCATGCTTCTGATCAGGTGGTCAATGTCCTCCTGTGGTATCTCATTCCAGGTAACCACCAACTCCTCTCGAAGTGCTTCTAGAGTCTGAGGAGGACGTTGCAAATTGAGCAATCTCCTACCCATCATATCTCACACGTGCTCAATTGGGGATAAGTCGGGAGATCTTGGTGGCCATGGTAACAATGTGACATCATTATGTTGAAAGAAGTCTATTGTGACTCTTGCAACATGTAGTCGGGCATTATCTTGTTGGAAAGTTGGATCTGCCAGGGTGTCAAGATAGGGTAAAAGATGGGGTTCTAGAACTTCGTGGATATAACGCTGCGCGTTCATGCTACCTCTGATGAAGATTAAAGGTGACCTGGAACCATAAGCTATAGCACCCCAAACCATAACTCCAACAGTGTGATGAACATGTCTTTCAACAAAAAACTGTGGATTCCTCCTTTCACCACGTCGCCTTCTAACCCTGGCACGACCATCGTGCATGCCTAAACAAAATCGAGACTCGTCACTAAAGACAATACTGTTCCATTCCTGATCCCAGGGTGACCGTTGTCTGCACCACTCAAGGCGATTACGTCGGTGTTCTCGAGTTAAAGGGAGGACCCAGTGTGGCCGGTATGAAAACAAGCCAAAACTTCTCATTCGTCGGTAAACACTTCGCATGCCAATAGGTCTTTCGTGTTCTGCAAACCATTCATTTGCAATGGACCTGGTAGTGGAGAAACGGTCCCTTAAGGCCAATAATCTTAGGCGGCGATCTTCACGGTCTGTTGTTCTACGGCGGCGTCCAGTGCCCCTTGCTCTTTGCGTACGGCCTTCTCGAAGCCATGCCTGACAACACCTAACCACAGTGTCTACACTTCTTTGCACTCTAACTGCAATTGCCCGAAAAGAAAGTCCAGCTTCCCGAAGTCCCACAATACGGCCCCTATCAAACTCACTAAGTTGACGAAATCGTACAGGTCTCCGTACTCTAGGCATCGTAACCGATCGTAAAGGATGTCAAGAACCAAAATCCGCCAACGTTGATTCTTTACTGCGGCTGAAATATTCATTTTTAGAGCGTTAGTGAATTAAAAAAAAACAGTATAAAAACCGGAATGTCCAACTGATAAGGCTGAAATTTTTTTCACTTGTTATGTACAGTAAGATAAATACATTCACCAACTTTTATTAAAATAAAACCATTTAAACTGGGTGTTCGGATTTAAATGTCACTTAGTATATATTCATCAGGTTCACATAGACATGGGTCCTAAAATGCCCTGAAATTATAATTTGAAATCAAAAATTTGTATTATTTTCATTTTTACGAAAACAGTGCACTTTAGGAAAAAACACGACCGTAATTATATTTGTAGCAAATTGAAGGTAAAATTCGAAAAATTGCACGTGTCGAAAAAAAACAGTGGCGTACTATTTTTATTTAGAAAAATGATGCCACTAATCTCCTGTATCTCCGTCACTGGCGCACGTTAATTTTAAGTAAGGACTTTTGAATGTGGAAAATACTCAGGTGAATCCTCATACCAAATTTTAGTTCATTCCAGTTGACGGTTTTGAAGATATTAAAAAAAATGTTTTTTATTTTTAAACTTAAACATTCCGTATATTTTAGTTGGAGCCCTCGAGAAAAAAATGTTACATAGAAGACCCTCCCTTAAAATCCTGTGTATGAAGTTTCAATTTTGGTCACGACTGGTGAATCACCCCGTATAAAAATAACCTAATATTATCTTTTTGCAGATATAACCACATCAACAATAAACAAAGTGACGGTTGATGACGTGGTATTTGATGTTGGAGAACAGACTGTCATGGGCAAGAAGAATTTCGTGAAAGACGTTGAAGTATTTGGGAATGTCACCACGGACTTGATAAATGGTCTCAACATATCGCAGGCCTATCAGAATTCAGTTATGTCCAACAAAAACATCATAGTGAATGGAAGTATAGTAAGTGTGAAAATGAGTGACATGGATCAATATTTTTCTCGCCTATAAATCCATCCTCAGATTTTCATGTGTTTTCGTTATGGACAAGTACAGGGTGCGTCATCTATTACTTTTTTTCTATTTGAAAAATCAACACGCTTTTTACGAGGTGAAATCGATTTTTTTTATTGATAAATGAAGGTTGGTTTATGCCAATTATGTATGAAAAATAACATCAGTCATGTGACCACCGCGGCTTTGTTTACAGGCCAACATCCGAACATCAAAATTTTCAATGACTTTTCCCAGAATAATCGGGTCTATGGCCGCAATTTCAGTCCGAATATTGCGCTTTAGGTGTCCGGGGACCATTCGCATACACTTTTCCTGTCAAAAATCCCCAAAGAAAATAGTCAAGAGGTGTTAAATCGCACGATCTCGGGGGCCAACTGACATCTGAATTTCGTGAAATTATGCGGTCTTGAAATTTCGTGTGCAATAAGACGATTGTTTGGCGAGATGTGTGAGCCGTTGCTCTGTCTTGATGAAACCAAAGATCGTTGGCACCAATACGATACAATTGTGGCCACAAAAAGTCTGATAACATGCCGCGATAACGGTCCCGTTGACGATAATGGCCTTTTCTTTGACATCTTCAAAGAAGAATGGTCCAACGATGCCACCAGCCCATAATCCGCACCAAACAGTCACTTTTTCAGGATGGAGAGGTTGTTCATGACATTGGTCTGGATTTTCAGCCGCCCAGAATCTGCAATTTTGCTTATTTACGTACCCATTGAGGTGAAAATGAGCCTCATCAGAAAAGAGCACTTTGGCCGAAAATCCGTCTTCTCTTTCCAGCATCCAATCAACAAAAACACGCCGCTGTTGATGGTCTGCCGGCTTTAATTCTTGTGTTAGTTGGATTTTGTATGGAGGAGGTGTAAATCAATGTGTAAAATCCGGCGTAAAGTGGTCTCACTAATTCCCAATTGTTGCGAACGGTGCCTAGTCGAGGTGGTTGGATCTTCTCGCACACTTTCACTCACTGCGGCTATGTTTTCACGAGTACGAGCTGGACGAGCATGTTGGTATGGTCTACGACGTTCAGCTGAACCAGTTTCCTCAAAACGATTAACAATCCAACGAATTCCAGGCTCTGTAGGGCGTCCATATCGGCCAAAACTAGTGAGAAGTTTGCCAAAAGTATTTTTTTATAGTTCGACCGTTTTCGTAATAAGTTTGGATAACCAAAAATGCGTTATCGTGGTGTAAACGAATCCATGATTATAAATGGCAATGACTTTTGACTCACATGGTAACACATAAACTTATAGGTAAAAAAAAAGTAATAGATGGCGCACCCAGTATTAACATGAAAAAGAGTAGCTAAACCATTATGAACCCCAGCTCCCCCAGTCTCTGTGTATATTTGCTTAAATTAAACACCCTTTAATATTTTCAAATTCGATCCTCACCATTTGGATCTCGAAAACGGCAAGAGATATGCAGTCGCTTAAATGGAGGATTTAGGTAACTAAAACTAACAAAATGCCGCTTAGAAAGTTTCAAAATGCAAAGTACCCAGAGAGACACAAAAAAATCGAATTTTGCCAAACCGTTTTAATTTTTTCCTAACTTCATTTGTAGTGGGATTTTGAAATAAATTGCACATTAACATTGCCACTTTGTTCCTGTACATGAGGTATAATTTGAATTTCAATATGACGTTTCGCCTTTTGTCCTCCACCATAAACTTTATTTCTTATTATTTACGACATATTGTTATTAATTCTGATTTCAAAAATGTATTCCAGGAAAACAGAAGTTCCTGCTTCATACTTCATTTGGCTGACGGTATAAAAAATGTTATTCAAACAAAGTGATTTTTACTTTGTGTTTTATTTTCTTTGTCACACACTTGATTTTGCAGGTAATGAAAAAACCATCACATATAGCTGGGCCCATTCAGACACAAGCAATAAATTCTTGTCCGGTTGGACTTATAAAGGACGTGATACGTAAACAAACGCCCGAACTAGCTGCTAGAGATATACAAGAGATCAAGAACAAGATTGTTGAGAATATTGAGACAACCTTACCCATCGCTCAAGGTATTACTATAATCAAGCAGTAAAATAAAAGAGAATAACGTAAAGCATGGTACGCCACTGTGTGTAACTTTCCCCGATAGCATTATATATTTATTAGATATTTTTTAAAAATGTCTGTTAAATATTTGTAGCGACAGATTTTTTAATATTTAATAAATATATGTTTTATATATTCATAAAATATTCATTATAGATATTTGTAGTATATATAATTCATATATTTTTACCATATGTTTTCCAAATATTTAGAAAATATATGAGGAAATATTTTAAAATATCAATTTCATAGTTTGATGAAATATTTAATATTTTTCGTGAATATGTGTTTAAGAAATATATGGAGCAACAGATTTTCAAGCATCAATCTGATACATATTTTCAGTGTATATAGAAAATTCTTCATTGGTTATTTTAGAAAAAGGAATGCTTTTATGTATCTTTTTTATGAATTGGGTTCATAAAGAAAATTCATTCTAGATTTAAATGGTTCAATTTGCGAGAAAAATATCATTAAAAAAACATTCTAAGCCTCTTCTGCATCTTGCAAATCCACTGCTTTGAAAAAACAAACTCACTAATTATGAACTACTCTAGAAAGTGTATTTATGGGAATATAAAATGCAGTGGAACAATATTGGTGCTGAGCACTGCTGAGTTACCCCGAGTAGCTCAACTGGGTCATTGAAAAGCAGCTCTTTAATACACCTTAAACATCATTGGCAGGTTATGAATATAATTTTCGTCTCCATTTTCAAATAAATCCACCAATCCCAAATAACTGTTACATTTCAATGCTACTTATTTATGGTCTTGTAAATACCTTTATATTCAACTAGCACAATAACGTTTACGCGTCAGATAAATTAAGCAATGTAATTATCACAAAACTTACCCTTTTCTACAAAAGACACTCAAATAATGTACCACTTGGATGTACATAGGAAGCACGCTATCATAGTGAAACTCACGGGCAAAATGGATGCTGGCAAACGGGTCGGCTCAGGTCGACTTGTCATCATCCCATGGGTCGTTCGGGGTCACACGCCGTAGCCGAAAATATTTAATGAATGTTTTCTAAATAATGGAGTGTTAATATTTTTCATTGATTGAAATGTAAATATTTGATGAATATTATAAAAGCAATATTGTATTTAGAATATTTAAAAGATAAATGATGATGATAAATATTTAATAAAAATATTATACTCCAAATATTTATTAAATATTTGTTTAAGATAATAAAATATTTAAGTAAGATAAAAATATTAAATATTGGATAAATATTTAATGAATATTTCGTGCCATCGAGGTTAGATAGAGATAGACCATCTTGAAAGACAAGACTTTGGATTAAAAAATGCACTTAAGTTAAAAAGCATAGTACTTTTCTCCACACGACCTCCTCAGGCACAGATATGACCTAACCCCGAATACTGCTCACATGTTTGGGGTGCTACCGCCCCGACTACATTATTCATGCGCGTTGCTGTTCAGAAGAGGGGTTTCCGACTGATCGATAATTTCTCTAACGGAAAGTTTCGGGACCCTTTCGCACTGCTGGGCCCTCTAGCTCTCTTACACCGCTATGCCAGCGGGCTTTGCCACTCGGAGGCTTCCTGAATGATGCCGCCGTTCGATGTGCCTCCCAGACCGACCCGCCTGACTTCTGCCTTACATCCTAACCGTGTCGAACTTTGAACATTCAGAACATGGAGGATACGATTGCTGCTTTGTGCCTAGGGTATCGAGATTTAGGGAACAACCTAGATGGGGAGGCTTGACCCAGTTCTACTAACCTTGGGCAGTTCAAAAACTGGATTAAGTGATGAGACTGGCAACGTAACGTTTGATCTGGCAACACTGGAGGCGCCGGGCGTGGAGGGACAACCAGGGAGCATGTGATCCGCCGTACAAGTTTGAACTCGCTCGAGACATTCGGTTGACCGTTGCGTTTTTGTTTATGAAACAGTTTTTTCAATTGTGTTCTAAAAATATACACACAAAAAAGAGTGCTATTGATTCATGAGCATGAGTGTCTATGACATTATGATATTGAATCGAGATCACAGATATTTCGTTGTTTTAAAGATAAGATAAGATTACAATTGAGATAATTGACCTTAATTCAAAGATATATGTCTTAGAAACATATCGAAGCCACCGTTCCTCAATTGAAGATAGTTGTTCTTAAACCAAGATTACTTTTCTTTGTGTGGAATATTAAATGATCCAAGACGTTTATAAATCATATAAAATTTATTGCTTTTGACACCACCAACTTCCGCACCGAGTGCTATCCAAGGCAACTACGCCACTGGCTACAGACTTAGTCCCATCTCTTAATTTACCGACATAGCAGCTGAGGTGCCCTGGCATTCAGGCTTCTGCCTGCGCGGCTGCTCCGGTGTAAAAAACAAAAATGGGTTTAACCTCCAAACGAAATGACATATATTTATTAAAAGACATATTTAGCTATTAACAAATCAAACCATTTCGTCTGATGCTCCATTTAGACATACGTGGACCCCCGATAATCCGGCCCCTGTCTAACCCTGTAATCCGACATGTCTTTGAATATGTATTACATATATACGTATTTGACAATCTTAGCTAATGTAGATCACGCAGGTTTGGACAGGTTACAACTTGTACGCGCCACCGCTATAGTGCTCGACGCGTAAGCATTGTTTTACTTGAAGTTTGAATTTGACTACTGGTGATAGCGGTACGGTCTAGCGTGCGTTCATTGTTTACTATTTATTCATTGTGTATTAAGTATAGTACCTAGTAATGTCATCACAAACTCAGAAGCGAAACCTCAAAACATTGACAATTAAAGAAAAATGTGATATTTTAGACCGCTTAAATGAAACTTTCAGTAGTTTAGCAAGTGAATACGGCGTAGGCCAATCTACAATTTATGACATTAAAAGAAACCACGAGAAGATCAAGAAGTTCGTCTCATCTACTGACTGCGGGCCAGGCAAGAGACAGACACTCAAGAAAGCTGAACATCCAGAAGAGGAAGAAGCTTTGTACATGTGGTTTCTTCAGGAAAGAAATAGGCTTGCACCAATTTCAGGACCCATGTTGTCCATGAAAGCTAAGTTTTTTTATTAGGAAATAACAAAAAAAGATGATTTTGTGGCCAGCAAAGGATGGCTAGAATGTTTTGAAAGTCGTCATGGCATACGTTTAATGACTATTACAGGAGAGAAACTTTCTAACGATGCCACCTGCATAGAGACCTTTAAATTAAGATTTTTGCAAAAGGTGAACGATTTAAATCTTGACCCGTCACAGGTGTACAATACAGACGAATCAGGGCTTTTTTGGCGTGTGATGCATAACAAAACTTTCGTTTCTGGTAACGAAAAATCCGTACCTGGACGAAAAGTAAGTAAAGAGCGTGTAGCCATACTACCATGTGCTAACGCTGCGGGCACACACGCGCTTAAGATGATGGTCATTGGGAAATCTAATAAACCACGGGCATTCAAAAACATTGATTTACCTGTACACTATTACGGACAAAAAAGTGCATGGATGACAAAAGACCTTTTCAAAAAGTGGTTTGATGAATGCTTCGTACCTGAAGTTAGAAAATGGTTAAAAGATCATAATTTTCCTCAAAAAGCGTTGTTGCTTCTTGATAACGCTCCCGGTCATCCGTCTGAAGAAGAACTAACACCTGAGGATAAATACATCACTGCGATGTTTCTTCTGCCAAATTGCACTGCATTGATTCAACCAATGGACCAGAATATCATTCAGTTTGTCAAGCAAGACTATAAGAAAAACCTACCTCTGAGAGCCGTATCAAAAGACCAACCAATAGAAAAAACTTTAAAAGAATTTAATATGAAAGACTTGGTTTTTGCTCTTTGTCAGTCGTGGAATGCGTTACCGTCATCAACTATTAAATCGCCTTGGAAAAAGTTATGGCCTGATATAGTCACCACTCCTAGCAACGTTCCACAAATCAGTGTTACTTCGGAGGATATAGAACAAGTTGCTACTAAAACACAGATAAGTCCGGAATATTTGGAAATCTGGTGTCGTGGAATGGATAAAGAGAAAAATGTTTTTCATGAAATGTCTGACGAAGAGATTATAAAAGAGGTTTCTCATTATACAACAAACAATCAGGAAAATAACGTCGACGTGATTGCAACTGCTCCACATGTCACAGCACAAGACGCAATTAACGCCTTTGAGCTAGGTTTACAATGGGCTGAAGAGAATGGGTACATCCTACAACGAACTTTTACTTTTGAGAAGACTGAGAATAAAGCTCTGATCTCGCGTTATAACAACCTTTACTTTTGAGAAGACTGAGGATAAAGCTCTGATCTCGCGTTATAACAACCCCAAACAAAAAAATATTGATGAATATTTCCAAGCTTCATAATTTGATAAATTCATTAATGATTTTGATTAATAATTCTTGATTATTTTGGTACATAGGTATGTGCATTTATGCTTAATTTTATAATAAAACGTAAGCTTTCTATTGTTATTTAATTTACTAAATTCGACATACATAAACTATGTATAATTTGTACTTCAAAGTACATACATATACATAACATATATGTATACATAATCTTACCACTGGATATGTAATTTTTCGGATAACAAGGTACTCTTTTGTAAAAAATTCCGGACTATAGGGGGTCTTAGGCAGTGCTCTATAATCCGACACTGCCCTGCATAATGGTTGTCGGATTACCGGAGGTCCACTGTATTCGTTTGCCTTGGGTTGCTCATCCGCAGGTTCATAGATGCACGTGTTTGCGTCAGGAGTTAACAACTTTTTTCTGTTAACACCTGAAGGTTGAGGTTTTTTAATTTTTGATGAAAACTTGTTGCCAGTTTGATACTTGACTGTTGAATAATAAAACGGATGTTAGAAACAGGTAGCAACAATAATTTGCTATATATGGTATCTTTTTCAGCCCTGCCATCTGAGTTCATGTATTTGGAAACATCCAAAAGCCTTCAAATTCACGTGCCAAACAGTAGACAAACAAAGGTTGTGCAAGCGAAAGATTACGTTCTGCTCCAAATAACAGGAGAGAAACCTGGAGCTCATTGCTCATTGGCTGATACGTGCAGATGTCCTGTACATCATACCTTGGAGATATCACCACAAGGAACTGTGACGGACATGCCTACCAAGGGTGAAATGAGGGTGTTCAGTTATGATGATGATACTATGATCATCCACTTCCTTTCGAATAGCTTGAGCTATAATAGCACATGCAGGTAAGTTATCTAAAGGGTTAGGGAGACGCTCCTTAATAAAAAAAGATTAATGTCACAAAAAGTAAATTTCGACAAATAAACAAATTATTTTTGATATACAGGGTAGCCCAAAAGTGAAAGCAGACCAAACATTTTTTTATGGAAAATCCTTTTTATTCTTGTATTTTGAGATTCTCTTTATGCTTAAATATGTTTTATGTATAAGCGTCCATGCCTGAATTAAACTTTTTTTGAGATATTGAGGTTAGAAATGAGCCTTTCGTCATATGCGACACCCTGTAAAATCTAAGGGTTGATTAACCAGAAAAATGTCTATCTTAGGTTTTACGATCTACTGTAATATGAGAACTACTTTAACAGGAAATTAATTACGCAGAACCTAGAACATGAGAAAAAGCTGATTTTCTAACCTCAATAGCTCAAACAGAATTATTTCTAAGTATTTTTTTAATTAGGACAGGAAAAAACAATGAACCAAAAAATCTTTATTCAAAATAATATAGAACAAACAAAACAAAATTAATGGTAGCTGCATAAAAATGATTACTTACCGTTTATTTCTTACGTCGCAGCAATTTTTGTAGTAGCTACTAGTTTCGGTGACGATCAGTGGACGTTCATCTTTTTTTGCGTGTTCTCGCTACCTCATAGGATTGTACTGCGTTAAGACTACATGTTGCCGGTTCTAACTACAAAACACCAAATTTGTGACATTCATCTTCTTTCCCCTGCACCGTTCATATTCTTGTCAAAGTTGTAGTAGCTTCGTTCTCAAGGTTTCCGAGATCTTAGACAGGGCAAAAGCCATTGAATGTTTCCACACTTTTTTTATAATTGCGTTTGTTGGATGCCTCTCCTTCGCTCGTCTCTCTCTAAATAGGCCCGAATAGTGAGAGGAGGGTCTGATGTCATTTTTCAAGATTTTTCCGCTTATTATTCATAATATTGATTTGTCCTTTTGCAGTGTAAAAGGATTCACATTATCAGGTTTTCACGCAGTCAGTTGCAACACAAAAATACAGTGTCGCATCTAGTCAAACCAACTTTTACACAAAAAACGCTACGTAGCAAATCGCTATTTACTGAACTTTGAACTTCGTCAAGAACTGTATGCAGGCCTAGTTGTAATCGTTCTAGACCACAGCGATATCGATTATTTTCCGTCTTTTCCGTCACAAAGACATTGCCATTGTTATTCATAATAATTGTGTACGGTTCATCTTTGGATTATGCAAATTTGACCATGTTTCTGACAAAAGCCAAACAATATAGTGGATGCAGTTTGAGGATTTAGTTAACTATATTATTTAATTGTCTCACGCAAACGTTTGATTACCTGAAAGCCCCAGTACTTAGAGAAATTTATTTTAGCAACTATGCGCAGAGTAAGCCTTTGAGCCACAAAGTTATAAGAATTCCATAACTGATTATTCAAGCAAAAATACACGATATTCATTGCTACACGTTTCGAATCGACTTAAATTTTTCATTAATTCACAATTCACCTATATCTTAGCATGTACGAGTATAACAGTTTCCGCTTTAGTTATTTTCTAATATTGTTTCCTTTGTATATCCTGTTTTTTAGTTACGCTAAGAATTTAACTTTTGAACTTTGTTCACAAACGCTGTTTGCAAGAGTAGCGAAACTTCGCCAATCAGTAGTTTGTAAATAAAAACGATTATAATTAATCATTAATAAATAAGTCGTGGCGTGGCGGTCGTTTACGGGGGATGTCTTTTAAGTTTTGCATATAGAAACATAGTAGGCCGCGCGGATCGAACGTCAGTACTGAATCTTAACCTCACTCTTTAGTAAACTCAAATTCAAAGTTTCACAACAATACGTGCAGGGTTCTCACTACAGTGAATTTTTAAGTGTCACCAAGTCATTAGAAAAATGGAACTCAACCGAGAAGATTTTCGCGCCATAATTTATTACAACTTTCAGAGACAATTATCGCAACAAGAATGCCTTGCTGAGTTACTGTCTGTTTTCGGCAACGAAGCTCCACATCAGTCGACAATTTCCCGTTGGTAAAGTGGATACCAAATAAAATCCGATGCACGTCATAGGTGATGTCATTCATAAAAATCATGGTTACCAACAGTTGACTACATTCAATGTGACATTTCTACTTGAAGTTTAAATTTCCCCGTCTCGGTTCTGTTGGTAGTGCCGTGCAGAGAAATGTGAGGTTGCCACTTCTCATTTGTTGACATCAGTTGCCATTGTCCTTTTGTCGTACTATTAGTTCTTTATTGTTTAGTTTGTGAGTTTTGCGCTATTTGAGCTTTGAATCGTTGCCTTGCCAATTTAAAATTGTTCTTTTCAGAACAACAGTTACTGTGAAGTGGTGTTAAGTATCCAAAATGCCAAAACAACTTAACAGTCGGTGTAAAGAGCTCATATCATTGAATATCTACCAAAATCAGGTGTTTTTATTCAGAAAGGAATTTAATTTTACAACAAGTTTATTTATTTTTAATATAATGGTATTATAGTAAATGGTAGGTATATATAAACAATTTATTTTATTAAATTTATTTGCTTAAAAGAAAATGTGCAAATTCTGGCAACAGCGCACAGCTCCAGATCGATGACGTGCATCGGGTTTTATTTGGTATCCACTATATGAAGAATTCAAACGTGGACGGTTAGCGACGATCCCAGGGTGGGTGCACCAAAAACGGCAGTCACCCAGGAAAACGACGATGCTGTGCGCAAACTCGTCAGATAGACATGTGACATATCGCGAGATTGAGGCGTCCTTGAAGATCTCAAAGAACTGTTACTGCGGATCGGTATACCATCATTTGTTTGCCAAAAGTCATCACCGAGCTTCGAAAAATCAACCCCGAAAGAAGAATCATCCTCCACCAAGACAATGCAAGCTCGCACACCGCCCAAAAAACAAGGCAGTATTTAACGGAAGAAAACGTGGAATTATTGGACCATCCTCCATATAGTCCCGATCTAAGTCCTAACGATTTCTTTACTTTCCCGAAAATTAAAAACAGACGTGGTCAAAAGTTCCAGTCACAGAAGAAGCAGTTGATGCATTCAAAAATGCCGTTTTGGATCTGCCAGCAAACGAGTGTGCTTCGAAAATTGGTTCGAGCGCATGTAGATGTGTATTAATCTTCGTGGAGAATACTTCGAAAAACAATAAAGTCATTCAAAACTACCTACCGTGTTGTTTTATTTCCATAGGCAAAACTTAAAAGACATCCCTCGTACTAGATATGTAGCTCCATACATGAAAATCAGCTTTTCTAAGTTTACACAAAGAAGAGCATGTGTTATTACACCTTGATTTATGAGTACTAGCGCAGTATTTATTTATATTTCATTGTTATAATGATTTTGTTATAAAATGCACAATGTTTAGGACTGAAGAAAGCAAAGTTTTCAACGAGTACTCCGCGATGAGTTGGAACACCTACAACACTAGCACAACTACTGCGGGCTTCCATCAGCATGAAGCTATTTTCATGGGATATATTCGCAAAGTGGAGTTCTTCTCTCTACACGGGAAAACGTACGCTATTATTGGAACATTCTATGATCCGATATTAGACACTTACGATCTTAACTGCATAGTATTAAAGTTTGAAGGTGCTAAGGTAAGTACATTTTGATTGGATATGTACGTATCTGTCAAAGAATACAGAGAGAGTAACGTAGTAGAAGAACCAGAGTCTGCCATTTGGGTGTGATCACCCATTCATTACCTGCGGTAACCGTAATAATAAAGGCTGTCTCAATAAGGGCGGCGGATTTGATTTGCATAAAAAACAATTTCTTTTCGAATTAAGCGAGTATTTATATTTCAACATGAAGAGGAATAGTTGTGATTAAACATGAAATATGATATCCAGTAAATGGCCACCCCGAAACCTCTTTTCTTAAAATTCTCGATAACGTTTTCGCACAACTGTGGCTCTATTTCGTCGATAACGCGCCGTATATCTTCTTTAACGCGTTCAACTGTTTGTGGCTTGTTCGCATACATCTTTCCCTTCACATAGCCCCAGAGGAAGAAGTCCATTGAAGTTAGATCGCACGATCTTGGTGGCCAATTTCGATCGCCAAACCGAGAGATAACACGGTCTGGAAACTTGGTCCGCAGTAACACCATTGCTTCGCGTGCTGTGTGGCAGGTCGCGCCGTCTTGTTAGAAGAACATATCCTCCACAACAATTCGATCCAACTGGGGCCACGAAAACTCAGTTAACATTTCGCGATACCGCACACCATTAACAGTTACCGCAGTTCCAGCTGCATTTTCGAAGAAGTACGGTCCAATCACTCCGCCACTCCACAATGCGCACCAAACTGTAACTCGCGGCGGATGCATTAGTTGTACGATTATTACACGATGGTTTTCAGAACCCCAAATTCTACAGTTCTGCTTATTGACGTGCCCGTTCAGTTGAAAATGTGCCTCATCAGAAAAATGATTTTCTTCGAGAAATCCGCATCAATTTGGTGGTGCTCCAGCGCCCAATCAACGAATTCACGGCGCTTCTGCGCATGGTCCGCTGGCTTGAGTTCTTACGTCAGTTGCACCTTGTACGCATGCATGCACAGATCTTTTGTCAAAATTCGTTTTAGAGTGGGCCTGGTAAGGTTCAATTCTTGGCCACATTTCCGAATGGAAGCGCCTGGATTCTCGGCCACACTTTCCTGCACTGCGACTATATTTTCGAGGGACCGACCAGGACGGCGACGAACAATGCTCTTCATATTCAGCAACGTGAATTTTGCCTCAATTTTTGTAATTAAACGACGAACTCTCGACTCATTTGGCGCATTATTGCGACCGAAAATTGTACGTGATTTGCGATCTGTTTCCGCGTAATTTTCTCCATTTATGTAGTGAGTTTTCACAATAATTAAATGTTGCTCGTTTGAATACTGCTCCATGACGTGTAATCGCGTAGTCTGGACGTGACAGATGTCATCAAGTAAACACGATATCATTTATACAAAAAAATGGCTGCAAATTCAAATCCGGCGCTCTTGTTGAGACACCCTCAAAGAATAACAATTCTTGACGCAATTTCAGGTCTGGCAATATGCAGACCCATCAAAAGGGGTATTTTTTCAATGAGATTATGCGAAAAAACATTCAATTTTTTTTTCTAAGCAGATGCGAAGATATCTCTTGTACTATACCTACACAGGTAGTCGATTGCCAGCATCAGATCCCCTCGGAAGTGGGTCGCGTGGCTATTAGGTGTCTACAGGGCGATTCACTATGACAAGTTGGTGCTGTGTGTCTGGATGCAAAATAAAGGAAGGCAATGGTGTTCAGATGCCTCGCTAATAATTTTAGCCAAGTACTGTTATTCCAGCATATTTGGAATCCGTATTTTTCATACAGAAGCTCAGGTCGTAATTGACGAAGGAGATCCATCCAAAATTCATCTAAGATTTAGGAGTGTTCCATTCTCAAAAACGCGAATGTGATTTGTACTCTTACTTCTAATTTGGAGGCTCCTTAGAACCTTTTCGGAGCTTTGTTGAATATGTTACGGAATTGGAGGCAGAACTTGGTTGAGCTGTCTTGTGTAGACCCGTAGGAAAACGACTGAAAAAGGAAGCCCTGGGCCCCAGTTTTACTCACCCTGTGAACAGTTTTCTGCTGATCATTTTCTTTCACTTTATATCCACATTTATTTCCAGATCAAATATGTCAACCGAGATATAGTCTCTACTAGGGCAAATAAACATGATCCTAAATTGAGAACATTAACTCATCTATACATTTATCGACATAAGACTGAACCGAGTGCCATCTGTTACCTGAATCGACCACTACGAAAGTGAAAACAATTCACAATTGGTGGAATTGAAGTATTCACATTTAAAATACGTATTTCCAGCAAGTTAGCTCGCTAAAATTCAGTTCTGCGATTCTATGGATACGATTTCCAGAATCACAATTTACGAATAGCGGTGGAGCTTCGGGCATAATCGAAAACATAGTAGCCGCTGCTAATGGATTTTCGATCACGACGTATACTAAGCTGTTATCAAGACAATATCTGAATATAATTCAATTTGGCAACTGCACATCCTCCAGTTGCTTGGACTCCTCCATGTTGCCAAATTCAATATTTTTCAAACAAGCCTCTTAACCTTGGTATAAGCCCGAAGACAGACTTGTTGAAAATTGAGGTTTTTCCATAGAGGATGGTACTATTTGCATCGACTGAGTGTTACAAAGCCTATCTTATCCAGTGATACGTAGATCGCAAATCCTTACTTCTGGCTTGCTAATCTTTTTACCGTAGGATTTGATCTAAAATTAAATTACTTGACATTGAAGATTTTGATGAAAATGAAGATTTTGCTTATATATCTTATTTTAGATAGGAGATCAGAAGAAAATTATTGAGCGTTTAAATGTTCATGCAAAAATGCAATATGCAGACTTTTAGTGGATTTCTTAGATGAGCGCGTGACAACATCGCTTCCAGTTCTCTACTGCCTCCCAATTTGGAATCGAACTATAAATCAAATTCAAGCGGATAACCAAATGGAAATGGTATTTATATTTACCATTTTGGGTTGGTATTTACCAATCCGTTCAAGCGAGTGTAGTTATCAGTTTGGTTATAAGATCCGTGACGTCACGAATCAGCTGTTATATGTCATAAATCAAATTCAAGCGGATAACCAAATGGAAATGGTATTTACCATTTTGGGTTGGTATTTACCAATCCGTTCAAGCTAGTGTAGTTATCAGTTTGGGTATAAGATCCGTGACGTCACAAATCAGCTGTTATATGTCATAGTTATCACCGCAAAATTGTGGTATTTACCCAACTCAAGAATAGTTTTATATTTCTGGTTATTATTTCAAATGTGACAAGTTAGAATGTTGTCGGGTATTGGATATTGTTATAGTACTTCAGCTTTATTTTTGAGAAAAATGATACAGGCTGACTTCAGTTTTACCATAAAGTGGAGCACCTTATTAGTTATACTCATTACGGTTGTTGGGGACACTTTAAATGTAGTTCCTATGCTTAACAAAGTATCCTGTGTAGCCATATACCACAAGAATATTAAAATATGGCCATATAAACTCACTAGATGATATCCACCTGTATACGGTTTTGCTAATTTCTTTTTTCATCATTTCTGCTGAATCAGTAAATGTTTTCTTTGACATGCGGAAAAATTTAGAGAACTGAAAGTTATCATAGCTACAAAGCCATGGTTCCATCATCATCAAAAATCTGAAAAAAACATTTCTCCCATGAATATTATGAAAGGTTTCTTATTGAAACTTTCCATATACAGTTGTAGACGAAAAAGCACCGATTATTAAGTGATAATAAAAATAATCAGAGATTATATACGCGCTTTTCTAAAATAAACAACTTGCAACAAAACCGCGGTTAAAACCAACGCGTTCAAGCGATTCGTGTAACTGACGTCATCAACCCGTGTGTCATCTTGAACCATATTATAACCGCGGTACATAACACAGAAATTTTGGTTATTCGCTTGGATTTGATTATAGTTATCACCGCAAAATTGTGGTATTTACCCAACTCAAAAGTAGTTTTATATTTCTGGTTATTATTATTATACAGGCTGACTTCAGTTTTACCATAAAGTGGAGCACCTTATTAGTTATACTCATTACGGTTGTTGGGGACATTTTAAATGTAGTTCCTATGCTTAACAAAGTATCCTGTGTAGCCATATACCACAAGAATATTAAAATATGGCCATATAAACTCACTAGATGATATCCACCTGTATACGGTTTTGCTAATTTCTTTTTTCATCATTTCTGCTGAATCAATAAATGTTTTCTTTGACATGCGGAAACATTTAGAGAATTGAAAGTTATCATAGCTACAAAGCCATGGTTCCATCATTAAAAAAAAATATCTGAAAAAAACATTTCTCCCATGAATATTATGAAAACTTTCTTATTTAAACTTTCCATATACAGTTGTAGACGAAAAAGCACCGATTATTAAGTGATAATAAAACTAATCAGAGAATATATACGCGCTTTTCTAAAATAAACAACTTGCAACAAAACCGCGGTTAAAACCAACGCGTTCAAGCGATTCGTGTAACTGACGTCATCAACCCGTGTGTCATCTTGAACTATATTATAACCGCGGCACATAACACAGAAATTTTGGTTATTCACTTGGATTTGATTATAGTCGCAGAAAGAATATTTTTTCTTGGGCAGGGCCGGCTTCAGAGTTGTGTGCACCCCATGAAACTGCACCTTGAGGCGGCTGCCACACCTGTCTGTAGCCGCCCCTATTCTTGGGTATAGATGTTGTGATTATCTGTAGGTAGTAAACGGTCTCAGATCGACGAACGTGGAGGTACCACCCGGTAGATCTGTACATTGGGGCCATGTCACATACACACGTGGTTCCCCGCTAGAATCCATGCTACTTCCCGATTCCACCTATATTTCCCTACAACCACACAGTACCCATGAGCAGTGTTGCCGAACCTACCGATTTTTCGGTATTTCTACCGAAAATATATAATTAAAATGTCAGGTGACGATGCTACAAGTTCAGAGGTAAAACACACAAATATTCAAAATCTTGAATAGAATAGAGTAATTTTTTAACAAGCTACGATTAAAGAAATAATGCACAATAAAAACAATACATAATGCAAAAATGCATTTTGGCAAAGAAATGATAGCATTGTATTTTTAGTTATCTCTATACACAGGATGAAATAATCAGATGAAACGGATTTACTTGTAGATACTACTCTAAACAGGCATATGAAAAAAGGCACATGCGACCTTAAGCCCTGAGTGATGGCCCAGATATGAAAAATGCCAACCGCTTTTTCAGATAACTTAATATTTCTATGGATGTCACTGCTACAGAATGCAGTTCATGCAATATTTCCATGCCCCTTTGTCAACGATGATGGGTAATAGCAACGAAACTCTCCTGTTCAATGTTGTTTTCAGACCAAGGCTGTTGAGATACAACGAATACCAACACGAGGAGTGAGAGAAGTATTTGCTCTCCATACAGCCCAAGGAGTGATACTGGTGATTGGCAACTCTAAGGAGTCAGATTTGTATCACGAAGAGGAGGAAACTCACATTCTTAGGTTCGATGAGTTTACTGAACAGGTAAATTTTTCTCACTTATAATATGCCAGTATTTTGGTTATACCAAAATATCCCAAGGTCAGTTGTTTAAGTAAGACCAAAACAGGTCACAGCCTCGATGGCGTAGTAGGTTAACCCTGCACTTCCCACGCGGCGCGACAAATGATCATGCTCGGTACAACTTAGCCCCTCTTAGAGAAAGTTAGCTACGAATATCTCAACTTTCAAAGCATAAAATATAGGAGAATATATATACAGGGTGACTTTGAAGTTGAGTCATTAATTTTCAGATAATGATTGTAGAAGGAAGATAAACCAAAATACTCGTATGTGTGTAAAAATAAAAAAAAATTAAAAAAAAAATTTTACCTTGTTTTATAAAGTATCCTCCCGACAAGTATTTTAGTGCGGACCTGTATTTGATCGTGAGGTCTTGGAGCACCGGCATGCCGTCCCCTGTGAGGTCTTAAGTCACCTGATTCACGAGCCCGTTGTACTACATTAACAAAGGCACGAGGGGTTGGTTGCACTCGATTGGGAAACCGATCCGAATAAACATGTGCCATTTTTTATTTCGTTTGAGCCACGCAGCAAACACCACTATTCACTCACGCGTTACTGACTGAATAAAAACATCGTGATCAGCGTTTCAAATTCTTTCGCTTTTTTGTTTCCGATGCGATGAACCGATAAGGCTGATTATATCCGTTGTGGCCAAACACGAGCACATAATATTATTATTGAGACAGGGCGGTACTCAAACTTCTAAAGGGCTATAACTTTGTTACTTTAATTTTACCAGAAAAATGTTAAAGGAAAAAAACATTTCTTTTGATCAGATCTACTCACTGTTAAAATAAATGACTCAACTTCGAAGTCACCCTGTATAAAGTATTTACAAGAAAATCTCGTAGAAAAGTAAAGTAATAGAAGACTACTCAATGGATCGCAGAAAGCTGAGCAAAACCCCAGTAGTCGCAGTCAATGTAGCAATGTGGAATGACCCACTATTTTTATTTCCGTAATCAAAAAGGGGATGACATGACCTTGAAGGTTATAGTCGTGGTCAAGTCTACGAAATTCTAATAACCTATGTTTTCTCACTCAATATATTAACATATATGCCTATACTGATGCAAACTGTCAATACAGCAGATATGCAGTTTGTCCAACTTTGATGTTTTTTAGATAAAATACTGGGCAGGGCAAAATTAGGACACCCTGTATAATTGTGAGTATTGTCCTTGGATATCATGTATAATAACCCATAAATAGTGTTTATTTGGGGCAATAATGTTTGGAAACGCTTAATAGGTTTGCTAATAGCCCCTTAGAACTTTGGATGAAGATGCTCTGGAAAGCTTATTCCCAAAGTTTAAGCAAGATTCATCAGGAGCTGATTTCGGACCGGTTTGTGTCCCTCCTTTCTTGCACATTCGCCCGCACATAGCGCGTTATTGTAAATCAAACGTACCTTTTGGTTGAACTTAAACATTGGAACGGATGTCTCAGAGCTATCGAAGTTTGAATCATTTGTCTTTGACCTTCTAAATACTCATTTTCAGTTTGTAAACCTAAGAAGTCTTCCATTTGGCTGCATTCAAGCAACAGGGGTAGTTTTCGGTGCTGACAGCCTTCTAATACTCGCACATAAGACTATGCCTGTACAAATTCTGAAATACTATCCAGAATATGACAACTACTACTTTTACCAGAATTTAAACCAGATTCAAGCTCCTGTAGTGGGGATTTCTTCGTTCTACACCGGAGGTAAGTCCAAGACCATTACCAAATAAATAATATAATAATAATAGTCTAATCATATTAGAGGAAAATATCCCTGGCTTGCGAAATAATGGTAAAGTCTGGTTTTATTGCTGGAGGTTGTTCAAGGGGGTATTCAAAACATGGACGCATAAAATGGGTACAAAATTGTTTGTGGGAAAATTTTTTATTCGACAACAAAGAATGAGAAAACGTGTTTGGGGATTCAATCGAAAGTGTTGGCCGGAACGGAATCTCTTTCCATATAACATTTCTAGGTGTTTATGAGACCTTCAAAATGAGGCCACAAGTAAAAAGAACCGACTAATAACAAAAAAGTTGTGGCCAAAAACCGAGGCAAACTGCAGGTTTTGGCACGTGTTGGTAATGCGACGATGGTTTCTGGCAGATGTTTGAAATTCTTCAAATTCGTAGATTTCGTACTTCTAAAAAACCACAACAAAATTGGAGTATTTAGTCAAGTAGTTTTTGAGAATTTCTAATTGTTTATCCCACAAGACATGTTTTCCGGCCATCACTACTAGTTTATTGAGCAATATACAGGGTTAATTCAAAGGGCCTTTTATAGCAAAATACATTTGTTTTTCGCATAAAAATAACATTTATCTTTCGGGATGGTTTGTGATTCATATCGGCACGGTAAACACGGATATTTTGCTATTGAATGTTCTTTGAACGAACCCTGTATATTACTCAATAAACTCGTAGTGATGGCCGGAAAACAGTTGTTTTGGGATACAAAATTAGTGATTCTCTAAAAACTACTTGACCAATATAATCCAATTTTGTTGTTGTTATTTAGAAGTATGAATCCTACGGATTTGAGAAAATCCAAGTAGTTGCGTGAAATTATCGTTGCATTACCAACAAGTGCCAGGTATCATAAATACCTAAGAATCTTATATGCAAACTGTTTTCCTTCCTGTCAACACTTTCGATTGAATCCCAAAAAATACGTTTTCTCATTTCTTGTTGTCAAATAAAAAGTTTTCCCACAAAGTTGGTGCCCATTTTATGCGTCCATGCTTTAAATACCCCCTTGAACAACTTGCACCAATAAAATCAGACTTTACAATAATTTCGTGAAAATTTGCTAATATGATTCGACTATTATTATTACATATTATTATTATTATTATTATTATCGTCTTTATTGACCAAAATATGGTACATTACATGGGTGCCAGATTTAGCACCTGCTATTCCACCATCTAACCCCGTATAAAAGTGAAAAAACTAGTTATACAAAAACAAAAAAAAAATATGTGAAAATGAATGGATTATGTCACAAAACAATAGAATGACTTATGATTGAAATTTCCCGAGATAATTTCCCTGCAAATTGGACGAAAATGATTTGCTTCTTGGGTAAATCAGTTACGGAAATTTCAGATTCAACGTTGGTTTGACTCTGAGACTCCGGATGGCCTCAAGTGACCCATTTTGTACCTCAAAACCAGCCTCACAATGCTTCTTGATTTTGTGAAGGTCATACTCGTATCCAAGTTACATTGTCTTGTAAGAACGGGAAACAAAATGGAAAGGACCATGCATTATTCTTTTGGGAAAATTTATTCTGGTGGAATTTTTCTAAATCGTGAGGACGATGAAAGGTTCTCATTGCACCGACCCAACATTTGAAGCGGTTCCAAGGGTCCAGGAGGCTTAGAAGGTTTATGCATAGCTTATAATTTGAGTTAACTACATCACAAATAGCTCAAAAAAGTGGAACGCATATACTCTGTCTCAAATTTAACCATCACCATGTCAAAGGTACATCTTAACCTGCTTAGTTAATATACTACCTACCCTTTTCATCAGGGTTCATTTTTTTGTTCCAAAGAATGGGGCACATGAATAAATGACACTGAGTTTATCATATCATAATACTACTTTTCTGGAAATCCAGCCGTGTCGGAATATTTTTCCGACTTTGAAAGGTAGTAAGGGGCAAAATGAATATAAGGATTGATACAACTTACCATAACAATTCTTTTGAGCCATTCATGTTGTAATTAACTCATCCAAGTTGAGATAGATTGACTCTACAAACAACGCCGTCATCAGACCCTAGCGAAATAAGACAGCGCCATAGACCTTATATCCTTGACAGTGGATAGTTGTTATGCCTTTGTTCGCTGTCCCAGACACCAAGCCTAGACCATGCTGATGAGTTACAAAAAAAGTACGAAACACCTATCTCTGGTTGGCTGTCTTTACATGGACGAACCAAAGCAGCATCTTTAAGTTAGACCCTCCAAATAAATTAATTACGAACATGTATAACCGAGAAATCAAACATATCAACAGATCCGTACAATTAGTCCGTAACATCCTTTCCTTGCCCCAACACCCGAAAACATGCTGAGTCTCGGCAGAGCGCCCGCAGAGCGCCAGTGGTGCAGGACGCATACGAACACTGGCACGCCGGCAGCGGCCGTTAGTCAGCAGTTGTCGAAAACATTTTTCCATCTTTTTAAGGGCAAATATACAGAGCATTCTATGATGTGTGAAATATGTCTAGTCGGTGCAAAGAATTATCGGGGCTGGAAGTGTATTAATATACCTCAAAAAATGCCCTCCCATATCCTCCAACAAGCCCCCAGCCTCCAATTTTTACTCCTAAAAATGTTCGGGACCCTCTGAAACATCAAAAAACAAGGTTTGGGCGATTTTTTTCGTTTTTGGCCTCTTTCTTCGCCGCCACTGGACCGATTTTCAAAAACTACAACGCTTTTTCATCCTTGGCATGGTAGTAACCTTTTATAAAATTTGTATCAAAGTCCGATTGATACTTCTCAAGAGAGCGGCTAAGGATCAGCGGACAGACAGACACAGACCGACAAACACCGATGGAAATGAGTGACATGGTTTTTCGTGATGTAGAGCTTATACTGTAACTATCATGTTGTATTAATTTATTGACTCATACGCGTGATCGCTCAGCGACGGAACGGCTGTCGAGAGGCGACAGGCTTGAACAAGGTGGTGAAATATCTCATTTGCATTAAATATTTTATATTTTACAACTGCAATCCAAGATGATTTTGTGGCCTTAAAAATAATAACGTATTGTTTTTCCACACATGCTAAGAGTAAGGAAGGAGTATGAATATTACCATAATTAAACTGAAAGAAAGAATGAAAAGTGATTCGGCCTGAGATAAGATGACGCCTCAACGCTTCCAGGCTACAATGCCCAATACATTGGCGTAGACCAGTAGTAGGAACTTGTTTCGTTGAGAGTCTAGTTACCGCGTGATATTGTTTGTTGTTAGAAGAATTGTTATTTGGCTATTTCTGTTGTCATTGTTCGAGTTATACTTATATTTCCTTAACTATGGAGGGTGAGACTGGGAGTGGAAGTACTGGAACCCAGGGAACAAGTAGAAAGCTAAGTAATGCATTGAAAAAGGACGCGAAACAAATCGTGCTCAACGTGTTCAAATATTTGAACAAGATTATGTCGCAGGGAGATGCACGTACGCGTTGCGAAAGCATAACAGGCGTCCCAGGGTGGACTGTTCGCAGGGTGGTGGATAAACAGAAGAAAACTTTTCTTTATTAGGAATGAGATACCAACCCTTAAGGCCGTACATGCAAAGATCAAGAGTAATGGCATTATACCCCCAGTGAGCATCGAAGTATTAAGGAAAACCCTGCACGAACTTAATTTTCGTTACGGAAGGCGTAATCGGAAGTCAGGATTGATAGAGAAACCTGAAATAGTCGCGTGGCGTCGAAAATATCTACGCGCAATAACTGAATATAGACGACAGAGCAGTGTTGCCAGACGAATTCTGCTAAAAATCCCTAACATTCTATTTTTTTCCCCTAGAATTCCCTAGATTTTTATTTTCTAAGTATACCCTCTTTTTTCTGTCTACTCGCCACCACCAATTTTTTCTGTATTACATATTGAATTCATAATATGATTTAAAAAAAATATATTAAAAATTACATTTAAAAATAAAACTTTATTAGATTAAAAAACGGAATTTTCTTAATTATCTAACTTAAAATAATACATTACTTGCCACTAATCTTTTGAGTACAAATTTTTTTGGCTCATTAGTTTAAGATGCTCACTAGTTACTTTAAATGACTGGCAGCAATTATCAGACGAAAATCTTGTAACACATACGGCATTTAATGATTCACTTCCTATTTTGTTTCTTTTTTTTTTGTTTTCGTAGAGGGTTGATCCCTACGATTTTAAAAATATATCAGCTGTTGATTACTTATAATATATTATGCAACTTACATTTGATCAGAATTTTCTGCTGTATCGGACTCCATCATCACAAAACTAAACTTAAAAACTTTGAACAAAGATTCTTTTTTAATTTGACCGTCCTAATATTCACATTAAACGCACTCAAAAACATCGCGTCACACTTTAGTATTGAACTGGGTATGCGTAATACAGTCGTCGATGGCGGCAGGTGGCGGAGAGCTTATCGGTGATTCACACAGAAGATGTACAGTGCAACCAACCTTGTAATTAGCAAAGCTGTATACTGTTTTATTTAACAATTATGTTAACATTGTCCGTTTATGTTTTTGCAATATAGATTGGAATTTAATTATTCATTAATCTTTTTTTGAAACGGTAGAAAATCCCTAGAATTTCCCTATTTCCCTAAAAGTCCCTAGAACTAGAAAACATCGTAAATTCTCCCTAGATCTAGGGAGAATTCCCTAGAAATGGCACCACTGCGACAGAGCAGAAAAATTATTATTTGGACAAGACGTGGGTAAATGCAGGTCACACAGTTAAAAAAGCTGGATAGGCAAAAATGTACTGAATAACCGACAAGCAAGCATTGAAGGTTTGCCAACAAGTCTCCGTGCACCGTCGGGAAAAGGTCAAAGATTGATCGTTACACATATTAGCCGCGATAGTGGCTTTTTAGAAGGATGCTACTTGACTTTCGTCTCTAAGAAAGGGGGTGATTACCAAGACGGAATGAATACCAGCTGCTTCGAGAGCTGGTTTCAAGGGATGCTTCAGCGAGCTGAAGCCAACTCTGTGATCGTCATGGATAATGCTTCCTACCACAGTCGTCAAGCCAAACTTGTATGGTTGCGCGAAAAGGGCATACCGTTTGGCGATTTATGTGTGAAAGCGGAACTGTACGAAACAATTAAACATCACAAACCTGAGAACATTAGTTAGATGAAATGGCCCGTCATTGTGGTGTCACTGTGCTCAAGTGAAGGGTTATATTGCGCGCCATAACACAATTTTTAAATTACCAGATATTAAGGCTTTGCTAGAGAAGTCTATACAGCTAGTAACGCCTGAAGCGTGGCATGTTGTGAAGGAAGAATCAAAAATGTGACAGCTTGACCACAACAGCGACACCATCATTTAGCCAGCTGTAGTCAATCTTGGAGAAGAAAGCGATAGCGACAGCGTAATACTTTCAGATGGAATTGGAAGCCACGACGAAATTTCTGATCTATAACGTATTTTTAACCATTTCCTTTTTTATTAAACATACGAAAGAAATCAGTTCACTTACGTGAACATCGATGAGTCATCACAGTTTTATATCGCTTTAACAAACCCTTGTACCGTACAGTGAGTCATAATGAGCGTGCGCAGTACGTGAAGCCGTACATACGCTTTCTCGTGATTGGTGCAACTTGCAAGAGGGGAGGTGGGTGGACACAGAGTAGGGATATTCCCCTATCGCTTCCGTTCAACTACAATCCTGAAAACATACGGGAGCCGTGTATGTCTGTACAGTGGCGTAGTTATAGGGTTTATTTAATCGTACAGAGTTGAATGCGTGCATCCTAACATAATACCATGTTTGTGTGTAATTTCATGATTACGGAAATTTACTAATTCTGTAAGCATTGTAATCAATATCATCTAGAAAAGAGAGTTAAAACACAAACATAATTGTTCTGCTCATTTTGTGATTACATGAAATGTAAGGATTTCTTTGTCAGTTTTTTTGGACATCCTCAAAAGTTGACAAAGTGGATTAGTCATTATGACAAGTTACTGACGAATGCCGGCTAATACACAATTTAGAGATAGAGAAGTCTCACTGCTAAGTAGTTGGCACCCTAAATCGTCGTCATCCTCACTGCTACTATCTTATGACAGCTGTAGGTCAGATTCATCGCTGTCATGACCTACTCTGATAATAAATTCCAGGACGTTATCCATTATACATTCCCGACTTAAGTTATTCTTCCTCCACTCTTGATACATGGTCGCAAACGTTTCTCCATGATTCTGGAATGACGTGGTCTGATGGTTGTTTTGCCAATGTAGAAATATCGCCCATTTTAATTAGAGGCAGCAACCTCACTTTTGACAATGCCCCAGATTTTCTCTATAGGGTTCAGTTCTGGATGGTAGGGAGGCAAGTGACATCATGACCATTTTCATCTAAAACCCTATCTACGGCATACAGTTTGTTCAATGGTTTATGTTTTTGTATTATACGATAAAGTTCAGGTTTTGTGATATTATCAAAAGGGATATTCTTTTCAGTGAGCATATCTGCTTTTTCCAAGCAGACCGTAGATTACGGTCTATCGGAACATTATGGTAGGATGCATTGTCAATTTGGTGCTAAATTTGGTATAAGTTTTTCTTGTATCCATTTCTTATAATTTTCATGATTCATATTATCATCATGATAATCGCCTGTTTTTAAATCTGATTTAAATATAAGGTCTGCATAGTTCGTGTAGGAATAATTGGCAGACAACTCACTGGCAACCGCGCAGATGAGCGGACGCCGGCATCGGACGCGGCGAACACGGAGACCGCGCGGACTTTTTTTCGTAAAGCAATCCGCACTTCCCCGCGGTACCGCTCATCCGCCACCTGCCGAGGTGCGCGTCTCGTGCGTTGTTACCCTAGAGTTACACCATCGTTGATAACAGCATTGAACACCGCCATCACCTTCATTGTAGGTCTCCTTTTATGGATATGCACAAACTTGTATATAACATCCACTGACGACTTTGGGCTAGATTTGTTTATGGTTTTTCGAGAAGAAGTAAATTTTGTATTCGGTGCTTTGGAGTCATTTTCTTTAACAACACGCTTCACAGTATTTATGGATACACCTGTAGCTTCAGCTACTCTCTCAAATAAACGGCTAAGATGTATAGTGGCTTTTTAGAACGATGCTACTTGACTTTCGTCTCTAAGAAAGGGGGTGATTACCAAGACGGAATGAATACCAGCTGCTTCGAGAGCTGGTTTCAAGGGATGCTTCAGCGAGCTGAAGCCAACTCTGTGATCGTCATGGATAATGCTTCCTACCACAGTCGTCAAGCCGAACTTGTATGGTTGCGCGAAAAGGGCATACCGTTTGGCGATTCATGTGTGAAAGCGGAACTGTACGAAACAATTAAACATCACAAACCTGAGAACATTAGTTACATGACTGATGAAATAGCCCGTCATTCTGGTGTCACTGTGCTCAAGTGAAGGGTTATATTGCGCGCCATAACACATTTTTTAAATTACCAGATGTTAAGGCTTTCCTATAAAAGTCTATATAGCTAGTGTGCATGTTGTGAAGGAAGAAAATAAAAATGTGACAGCTTGACCACAACAGCGACACCATCATTTAGCCAGCTGTAGTCAATCTTGGCGAAGAAAGCGATAGCGACAGCGTATTACTTTCAGATGGAATTGGAAGCCACGACGAAATTTCTGATCTATAACGTATTTTAAACCAGCTACTCTCTCAAATAAACGGCTAAGAGGTATGGTTAATTCACCTGTTTACTTTTCTCGCTTTATATATTCAAACACATTAAATATAATTTGTCGTCCTTGGCTATGAACAACTTTCTTGTTATTTCGTTCCCTACTTTTTTGAAAATAATTTTAATACAATGTTTCATTTGCTAATTTATAGTAACTTACATTTTGCCTGCCTGATCTACTGGTAGTCTTGAAAAAGACTGGGTTGTAGTTTTTAAGATAATTAAAAATAATACCCCTGGAAAAAACATAAGAACGCCTATGTGACCTATATATTTGTGACTAATAATTGTAGTAGCGTTTCCCGCGTATTATTTCTGCTTTCTGTGCATTCAACGCCCCAGATTTCTATGATAATTAAAAGTACTACCCCTGGAAAAAACATACGAATGCCTTTGTTACCTATACCTATATATATATTTTTAACTAATAATTGTAGTAGCGTTTCCCGCGTATTATTTCTGCTTTCTGATTACAGGTCATATAACATCTAATTTTCAAAAAATTTCGCAATTACAATACTTCCTAGCCTGAAGGCGTGGAAAGTAGAAAGAGACCGATTTTTCGGTGTAGCTGTATAAGGCTTAACTGCCCAACTGTTAAGCCTTCTGGGTCGCTTTAACTCGAGGTGATGCAATGAGAACATTCTGGGAATCACTTCCACATAAGAAATTGAAATTTCCAATGAGAAAATTTTCATAAATTCAATGTATCTGCGATCTAGACAAAATGAGTTAATCGGGATCGTAGATTTCGAACCCGATATCAGTTTGATACTAGGGCCCAGAGAGGTCCCAGGTGACCTATTGTATACCTTGAATTGTTTGACTGTAATATTCGAATTTAGTTCTTTAAATTACCTAACTCGCTAGTAAAAACGGGAGACGAAAATGAAACTTTACCAAACAATAATATTTTTGATTCACCAGTATTTCTTTGTAGGCTTTGGGATCAGTGATGCTTTCCTTTGTGTGGTGACCATTGACGGTGACGTTTACATCTACTCATTCAAATTTATAGTGGCTTGGAATCTAGAGATTAAAGTGAGAATAGAAGGAGCTACTGGACTTGTCCCCTTTGAACTTAAGGGCGAAAGTTTATTGTTTGTTTCTTCAACTAGAAATAGTTCGATATTGACTGTTGTTAAAAATGGGCCTAACTGAGGGTTCTGTAATTTATTATTGTTATATTTAGTATGTGTTAACTATGTTTTAATAGATTCGTATATATTTTTAAGCATGGTCTTATTTAGTTCAAAACTGGCAAAAGATAAATACAGGATGTCATTTAAGTACCTGACCTAACTTCAATTGGTGATTCCTTCAGTTTCTATATGTATACTCAGTTTCATTAGAAGTGTTACACCCAGAAAAAATAATTTCTTCAACTTTTTTGGCAATGAGGAGTCTTACATCAAGGATGAAACGGTAACATTCTCACGAAATTTTGTTGACAAGTAATAAGAAAAAAAAATAATTATGTGTTGGGCGACCCCAGAGCTGAATACACTCCTATATACATCTAGGCATCGATAAAATGAGATGATCGATGTCTGGTTATGGCACCTCGTTCCAAGAGTCCCAGAGTCTGTGGCGGATGGTGCAAAGTGGATAGTCTCCTCTCCATCATATCCCACACATGTTCGATGGAATTTAAATCTGATGAACCACGGCAAAAGATTAAAACATGTAAGCGTTGAAACATAAATAAGTTGAAATTGTCTATTAAAATTCATTATTTTGATTTCAATAATGTTTGTATAACACTGTCAAGGCAAATCTAGAGACACCGAAACACCTCATATATCAAAATCCAAAAAGGCGTGAAATTGGAATTTAAAGGTTGAAATTCTTTATCATTATAAAATACGCTATTTTGATTTCATGACATTCTAATAAAACCAGCGTCATTTGGACTGCTAAGACAAATCCAACGACACCTCGTTTATGTCAAGATTCCACGAATTTATTTGAACTGTAGCCCGTGAAATACTAGATTTTTTGTCCACATACATATACGCGAAAACATGACTCTCCTTCTCGGGTAACAATTGCTCCCATCCACTGGCTAAAATTCTGCCCATGCATCTGTGCACTCACAAAATTTTAACATAATCTGCCGATAAATTGAGAATAATATAAATAGACAAATTAGGCTCTTGAAGTACCCAACAGATTATACTCATTGCCTATGGACTACAAAATCCCAGTTTCATTATATACAGTGTTAATCCTAATTGCCGATAATATGATCAAAAATCCTTAGACTAAACTTCATAAAAGATTATCTATCCATCAGGTAGACAGACCGAATTTAAAGATACAGTCAGCTGCGCCCAGTGCATGTGCCCTTTAAAATTTAAATTTCTACCCCGCTTGGATGCACCCGTGCACCAGCAGATCCCAGGCACCCGTAAACTACACCCTCTCTGATCGATCTTAGGGTGGATTCCACCTGCATAATACAGTCAATGTAGTTACGTTATACTCCTTTGTTTGTGGAATAATACAATATCATGCAAGCAAATAAAATACAAATATAGGTGAATATGCGGTGTTTGGGTTTTCAGTGTCAACTAAGAAAAATCGCTTATTTTGTTGTCATATCCATTACGCCGCAAGACTATATGATATGTGATACACATTGGACAGGGTCAGATTATATGTTGATTTTGACAGATTTTATAGGTGCCAGGGGAAAACGTATCCCCGTGAAATTTAAACTAAAAAAAGATACTTTAAACATGATATAAATACCACTGGCTAAGCAATTTCAATAGTTCTTGATTAAAAATAACAAGGCTTCGGTTCCACCGGTCTTGAAAACTGCCCGAGAAGTGATGCCGAGGCAGGGTAGTCACAAACATTAAGGTACATTAATTATGATATTTTTTTCTATTCAAGAGTCTTTGTTATTCACATGTTGTAACAATTTATCGTTGAAATTCATAACGATATACTTATCAGGGTGAATATTAGAACCACTGGAAAAGGTGATCTGTCAACACCACGTGAGCAACTGACGCGTTCCTGGTTCCAATAGGTCAAATCGCGCTAGTTTCAAACTATTATTTCTTGATTTTCTATGCTCTGATGAAGTTAAAATCGCGAAATTGATGAAATTTGTACTGTCTTTTCACAAAGATCTGAGTACGAAAACAAAGAGTATTCGTATATTTTTATACCAATTACATATACAAAGATACATATTGTTAATTTTCAAGCATATTGGGCCTAAATCTTACTGATTACCTCAATTTAATCATGTTCCAAACAAAGCATGGTGTTTTACACTATCTGGATGATTTATTTCCACAATTTGTCGATTTGCTTAAGACTTTTTTAAAGGAACAATGAAATCGTAAATATCGTATATTCACCCATATGGCATAATACCCGGGACCCGAGCTACAATAAAACGTGCGCTCAGCATGATTTAAAATATTACATTGATGAAAATGTAGAATAACGCGTGTTGACTCTCCGTCTCCGTCAGTAGTACGCGCGTTTCGAGGCACATTTTTTTTGTCGCGCATCAATTTAACGCTCGTGTATCCAAGGCGTTAAAGTTTCAGAAAAGGAGCCACAGTGTAATTGAAGACCTCGGTGTAAAAACCAGGTAAATCCAATGTTTATCAAAAATTGCTTTTTCGAATATTCTAAGTATTTAGATCATTGCGGATCGTTTGGTGCTAAAATCAAGTAAGTCCAATGCATCTAATGTGAAATAGTATAGTATTCCACATGCCTGGTCAAGTATTGGTATTGGTAGCATAAATCAGGCAAATCCCCCCTAAAAAGGCAAGAAACGCACACGCTGCCCTGAAAATGGCCATATACCCGATGAATGAAAAAAACAAGTACGTTCAACTTCAAAAAGGTTTAAAGTCGTAAACGTCAATCAGAACATGATCATGGATTTTGCAACACATCTTAAAGCTTATTTAAATCTGCTTTTGTTAGGAATAAAAATATAAGTTTAGCATTTAGCAAAATGTGGTATTATGCTTTCCAAGTTCAGATATGATGCAACCTATGCCCTTTGCCGCTGATGTTAAACTTTATCAGCAAAATACATACCAGCATCCGATCTGTGGTACTATAAAAATATCTTCGGAAAATCCGAAAATTTTGAAGTTCCACAAGAAAAAGCTGGTCATTCATATAATTGAAGATTTATTTTTGTTACCCCTTTTCAAACTTGTTTTGGTTTTGTCCTCTTTGAGTATTAAAAATTAAGAATATTGATATAGGATAGCGTTTTGATGACTAGATGTTGAGTTATAAGCGACAGAATGTACCTAGCATTTGTTTTTGGCAACAAGAAATTTAGAAGAACGAAGACTATTTTTCCATTTTTTCAATAATTTTCTGTAAACATTTAAGAATATTTAATAAAAGTGAATAGTGGACACTGACGATGAAGTGATGATACTACTGAAGCTCAGGTAGTCATACACGTCACATAGATGAATCCGACATAGATTGAAGAAAATGTTGGTATTCGTCAATAGGTATAGGTACCTACACTATAGCTTAAAAACAAATCATTCAACGGTTATAGTGATAAGACACTCTCGGTGATAGTGACCAGAAACGCAAACAATATCAGAGTACCTGTAATACAAAACATCCAGATCACAGAGCATCTTATCGAAAATCACTGGGCTATATTCAAACACTCACACCACCGTGACCCCTTGAAGGGCATAACTATGTGATATCTATCTATCCTTTTCTATCCACACGTAGGTAGCTTTTAAATAAGATGAAAGCTTTCCTGAAGTATTTTTTTGTAGATTATAGAATTTAGAATTCATATAGGTAATCTGGCATTATCAGTTCTCATATCTCAATAGGGTGTGAGCCCATTGGCAATTTCGAAACGGCCAGGCATGATGTCGTCTCAAAAACATGCTGATGAATCATACTGTATGAATACCTAAAAATTACAAACTAAAATCCATCGTCATTAATTCTATTTCCCATATTGTGCACATACAATGAATAAGTACCATAGTATTCCGTTACGTGCTTATTATTATTACCCATGATTTACATTGAAAACCGAAAAATCTAACGATATTTTGGTTTCCTATGTTAAATCCGTCGAGAATCTAACGGAAAACACGGCGTCTATCCATTTTAAATTGACCAATCAGAGTATGCTCTTCCCGCTTCTAGAATGAAATTGCGGGCAGCGTTGCCAGCCAATATTTCTGCAATCTAAAATACTAACTGGTGGCTGCCATTATTTTCAATGAGTTCAATCTGAGATTGCTTCAAGACGCATTTGTAGCAGGATGCAGGCCATCCTGTATAGGCAGTCAAGTAACCACGAGTGTCCATTTTTAATTTTAAATGCATAAAACCTTTATGCATCCTTACTACTCTAGGTCTAGGGAATTAAGCAACGCACAATCTGGCAACACTGTGCGCGAACATTACAATTTTACCGTTGCAATCTTGGCCAGATTGTTTCACATTTTCAGTCCACTGTCCACTTTCACGTTTTGCATTTCGTTCTCAACCTGTTGAGAAGTGGCTAAAGAGTGATGTAAAACGGTGCTCCGTGAATAGTTCTGATTAACGTTTTGTTTTTAATTTATTGTTTTTGATCAACAATGGCGAATCGTAGGAGAGGTGTTAGTTTACCTAAAGAACTGCAAACAGATGAAAAGCTGGTTACTAAAAAGGTGAGTACCACAACTTACTTGTTGATTCTCTTAGAGGGTAGCCATCATTTATGGTTATGGGCCGTATTAGGTAATTTGATTCGTTCCATCGAATGCAGGTACCTTTTTGTGATAGAATTGAATAGACAGTTTGGCCCACTCACCTTATTATACTGTAAGAACAGAAGATTTAACTGGCCATCTTCATCGACACCCTGGGGGTGTACTCGCTCTTACCCTTTTTTTCTGAAATAATCATTTTTCTCATTATTTTTGGGTGTTTTACAACGCAATGAGCCTTCCCCTAGGCACTCGGGTACATAAAACGTTCCAATAAATCGAACGATTGATTTGGCGTAAAGTTTTCATTCAGAATTTTCAACAACATAGCGATGAAGCGTTTTCATTCATATAATCGCATAAAAGCTTTCAAAGTACACATGTTTCCTTCCAAAATACTAATTTTTTAAAGGGCTCTGTTCTGTTAACACACTCATAAAATCACATTCAAAGAATTACCCATACATTGAAAAACAAACTTGTTGACCAGAACTTTTGTAATTTTTGTTTTTTATGTAAATTGGATTACTTAACCTGAAGAAGTTGATGTGGGTTAATCTGTATAGGTGTAATTTTCTGAGTATGCCTTTTTATATGATTTGTAGAGCAAAAATATTCTGTAAATATTCATTTCCTGTACCTACATGATGCCTTGTCATGTTTATTTTGCTGTTTCTACCTGTCTTGCAATAATGATTTCATGCTTTCTGAAACTTGATTCATATTAAATATTCTGAGTCACCATCATTAAGAGACAGACTGAGCATCTTATTCACTGACCTTTTGACAAGTTTTGGATGTTTGAAAATTTGGTTACTGGTTCATTTCAACTAAGCTCCTATGTTTTTTGAAACCTGCCTTGAATTTTGACAGGTGTTGGTACCATCTATACCAGGACTTTTTTGTTTTTGACTGATAGAACAGCTTGTTGTACTACAATCGGACTAACTTTCTAAAAATAAAGGATTGACAAGTTGAGTTTTTGAGAATATTTTGTTCAAAAAAAATTTTTTTTTAATATTGGTGAAAAAATTTATAGATGCATCGGATATTTGTTGTTTATCTGCCAATATTGTTCCATCACCATTCTTAATTTCATCAATATTTGGCTTCACTTGAATGTCTTTTGTTAGTTGAGTGATCGACAACCGACCACAGTTTTCTTGTTGAAATTGATAAAAATATATTTATTTTCATTATATTTAAGGGGGGGTATCTCCACCTGGTGATGCTTTCATTTTGTATAGTTCCTCTTTTTTATTGGTAGACTTTATCAAACCTTTAATTATCCAGGGATTCCTGCTTCTGTCATAATGTTTAATTTTAACTCTGTTAGTATTACATTCAATTAAATGCTCTATGCCTTCAATGAGTGTGTTTTCAGTGAAGAGATTGACAAAATATACTTTTCTGTAGGCTTAATAAACACTTAAGAATGGTCCTTATGTGAACAAATAAACATAGATTTGTACTGCCATACTTAGGTAAAAGTCAGTAAAGTCCATTTGCTGCCTTTTTTAAACTTTGACATCAATACATTTCTTTTATGATTACAATTACAAAATATACCTTTGATCATGTTATTTAACAAAACTAGATCTCTTTGCTCTTTGTCAAATATACTTGAAATGTAAGAAACATGCTGTTTTTAGATAATTTATGTAATTATTTTTTGTTGTATGTAATTGTAAAACGTAATTCAAATATATAATTATTCGATGTTGAAGAGGTTCACTTTTGTGCTTTATGTCAATTTCAATGTGAATTAAATTATTTGAGAATAAAATCATAATAATACTATTTGTTATACTATTATTAAAAATCCATAATTTTGAACTCAGTTTTCTCAGACTTTTTTATCAATTTATTGTCTTTTACGAAAGTATGGCAGTGTTGTCCTATACCACCAGCTGACGGTAGTTGCAACTATTGCTTGGCAGTCTTTGTCTGATATGAGCATATTTTTAATCCATAGATCCATAGATACACACATGGACAAATAAATAACCAATTTTAGGGCTTCATCAATCTGTTGCTAATCAGAAGGCATAATATTCTAATTTCTACATTTTGTATATGAATATCAACATCTAGCCAAATGCAATGTAGATAACGGTGCATTTTACATGACTGACAATGCGTCAATCCTCCTAATATAAGAATATGCTATGACCTCCCTAGTTTATGCTGAAGAAACTTTACTTTGTAATTTGGATTTAAAAACGAGTAAATCTCTCAGCACACCAAGGAATAAATGATGACTATTAATATCGTAAAATTGTTTGTATTCAACCCAAGAATTTGTAACAATAATTCACAGATAAAACGAGGGCCATGCTATACATTTTGAGATACACGAAAACTGAATGCTATGAAAATCAAGGAAGTCATAAAGGAAGGAACAACTGACTATACGACCCTTAGACTGTTACTGTTCTTTATTCCTACTTTAGCCCTTGTACAGCACAAATAATATATTTGTATTATTTTTTCAGGAAATGGCACAAAGAAGAAGTTTACCTGCCTGCCCACCAATTCCGAATAAAGTAAGAAGGAACATTTTGAATGTTCCGTGTGAAAAGCTGCGAGTCTTGTCTTTCCTCAGCTCTGGTAAGTGTCTGTGTTGATTGTGGATAAGGCTCTGACACTCAACAGGTCGTATACATGTACAGTAAAAACACTTCATGTAAAGGTTGAAAATGGAGTCATGTGGATTGATTCAGTTTATATGTTTACTCAGTGACATTAGAAGTGTTACACCCAGAAAAAAATAATTTCTTCAACTTGTTTTTTTGGCAACATAATGACTATATTTAAAGCATGCTGTGGTAACTGCCGTATCTAGAGAGCCGTCCACACGTCCCTTTTCAGCAAGACGACGAACATTCCCATATTGCTCGTCGTACTACGACGGACTTTCTTCAAGAAGCAGGCGTTAATGTTTGGTCGTGGCTAACCCTTTAACCGGATTTAAATCCCATCGAACATGTGTGGGATATGATGGGGAGGAGATTATCCACTTTGCACCATCTGCCACAGCTAGTCCACGAAGTTCGAGTTGCTTGGAACGAGGTGCCACAACCAGACATCGATCATCTCATTTTATTGATGCCTAGAGGTATACAGTAGTGTATTCAGCTGCGGGGTCGCCCAACACATTATTTTTTCTCTTATTACTTGTCAATAAAATTTCGTGAGAATGTTGTCGTTTTATTCTTAATGTAAGACTACCTCATTGACAAAAAATCACGTTGAAATTATTTTTTATGGGTGTAACACTAATGCCATTGAGTATATTATTTCTATTAGTGATAAGAGAAATGCCTGATTTTGACCTCCCATTCTGTTTGACATTCGAATAATATCGCAAATATTTCTTTTAGTTACAATTTAAAATTAGAAACTCGAACAACATCAAAAAACATAGTTTGGCGATATTTTGAGATATCTCGTCCATGGCTCCTCCGCAGGTGAACCGGTTTTCAAATTTTAACCTTATATAAAAAATTATCAACCTAGTCGTACTTAAGTTATAGAGGCGCCAGGAACCTACGGGAATGAATGACATAGCTTCTCATGACATACTTGTCATTTGACATCTCAAAAAAATGACCAAGTGTGTACTTCCCACCCAACGCTTTCATCAGTTCATAAAGGATTTCCGGCACAAGTTAGCCATTCCGAAAAAAAAATCAGCTGCAGACATGTGTAACAAAAAATTAAATATCCTTCCTTCTCCCCTTGAGAGAAACTCCTGCAGGCTTCCATGATCTGATGATCATTCCCGTGTGAAAAATACTGGTCTTGCACCATGCACACTGCCCATTTGTTTTAAGGGTAAGTGTACGGAGACACACACATGGTAAATTGAAATATACCCTCCCCCACCCCCGGCAACCTCTAATTTTTATCCCATACAAAAATTTGGCCGAAAATGGTCAGTAGCTTGTGAAACAAAAAACAAAGTTTAAGCGATTTTTGTTCGTTTTGTTTTTGCCCCTCGTTCTGCCGCCACTGGTAGGGATGCAAACTTTTTATAAATATCGATATATATCGAATTAAATCGGCTTAATAGACCGATATATCGATATTTCATATTTTTTTGGAAGCTTACAGAAATTAGAAATCCAATGTTGTTTCAGTTATATCAAACAGTTATCGATTATGTATGTGTCTGCTTCCTTGTAGCCGGTTTCTGCTCTTCTGACTTATAGTGGCTCCTGCTTTTGAAAAAATACGTTCGGAAGGAACGTTTGTTGCCACAATTGGTAGATGACTCATTGCAGAAAGATATAACGTGAGTTCGTTGTCACCTTCCGTTTTTTTTTCTTTTTATTTGCGTGTAAGCCAAAGATTTATGGTGCTTCCAAAAATCAAATTCACTTTTATCTTCATCCTCTGAAGATGGTGATGAACCTATTGCGGCTACGGCTGCAGATTTATATTCTGAAATTAATTTTCTAATTTTTGTAATCGCTTTTGCACATGCGTCAGGTTCCTTAAAAGGCAAGTTTTTGAAACGAGGGTCTAGCGACGTCGAAACTGCTATTAACATATTGTATTCCAACTGGCCAAAACGCTTCTCCATTTCCAGAGTAATATTTTTCTTCAAATCGCCGGCAATGCTTGAAGTGATCTTCGATTCATTGTATTGGTCAATTGCACAACTTTTGAAATAGTGACATAATGTTCGGCAGAAGCCTCGCTTGTTATAGCTTCCAGTGGTCGCAGAACATACGTCACATCTTTGCGTTTTACCCGATTTTGTGGGTATTTTAATTCGGGTGGGTTTTTCGATATTTTGATACGATATATTGAATTTTTCGATATCGATATCGGCGTATCGTCGACCTACATGTCGTATAGCATCCGAAAAACATAACATCTCAAAATCGAATTTTCTCGATTACAATACTTCCAGGCGTTGGAAGTAAAATCAATATCTCGATTTTGCATATACTTTCCTATTTAGTACCAGATTTCAAGTCATACAACGTGATGTCTAGTGGGACTGGAAAAAGTTGCTTACTCCGTGCATGTTCATATCATATTATTGCTACCAAGGCAACAGGGACGTATTGCTGATATTATCAAACTGCAATCTGAAAATAAACTTTGCAGAACATAAATGGGGAAATAAATCTGCAGTAGCAATATAGGCAGCTTGTATAAACATATCTTCTGTGTTGAACAATTTGGTTGATACTCTGACACATTTATGATTGTTTATACTTGAAAAATTATGCTTTCGTAACACTAAATAAACTACCACCCACTTTCTGTCGGACACTTATTCCTAAACTTACCTGCTTTATCTAGTAACATGAGCCTGTTTTGAAAAAGAAAACGCATTATCAAGTTGAATGGGCTGCTTATCGGGAATATACGTTGGTACGGAGGTCTGGAGACATTTAAAAATTACGATCTTGTTTACATCCACTCATAAAAGTTGATTAGATGCATAACCTTTGACATAACGTTTCAACGATTATTTCGTTGTTTTTTACTCCAGACTTTCTCCTGTCTACAATTAGTTTGGTTGTTCTGTGCTTTTGTACGTTTTAGCTCGAAAAATACTGAATCAATCTACTTGACTATTTTTCCACAAAACTATATTTACAAATTTTTTAGTACACGTCCGGTCTTAAGTTGTTCTTATTTCTCTTTTAGCTACTCTAAGTCCAATGTATGACCCGACTTTGGGCAGCACATATTTAGAACAACTATTCCAAAAGTCGTATATGATTGGCCAAGGTAGTTTCGGCAACGTCTACCTAGCTAGAAGCAAGATCGACGGTGAAGACTACGCACTCAAAAGTCTCAATACTAACGTCAGCGTGAAGGACAAGTATGTTGAATTTAATAGTTTTTGGGGACCGTTCAAGCATTTCACTTTATACAGTGGACCTGCGCTAATACTGTCCCTGTCTAATCCGGCGCTCCCTGTAATCCGACACGCCTATAACTGTTGATTGTACATAAACATTCATGCAAATCTTTACTTAAAATAACTATCTAAAACTGTAATGACTCATACGCGTGATCAAAGCATGACGGGCAAGGTTAGAACTTTGAGTGTCCGATTTATACATTCTAAATAGTACACTTATTATTCGGGTAACAATATGTCCCACAATCATCTTGACAAACTCTTGAGATATAAAAATACAAGTATGTTGATAAACAAAAATTGGGTAAATATGAGCCTACCGTTTTGATTCACTCCTTTATTACAATTTTGATTTTATTATGCTCACAAGATCTCAGTGATTTGTTATAATAATCTTGAGTAAAACGGTTTATGAATTTTTGGACTTGTTTTCAAGAGAAATCTTCCATACAGCGATCTGCTCGAATAAATAAATAACAGTTTAAAAAACTAAAAAAAAAATCATTTTTATTTACAAAGAATTTATGTTACAGTAGTAGATGGTCGATAATCATAATTAATGACCCCAAAATAAAATTTTATTAACAGAATAATTCAATTCTGAGTAAAAAGAGTGCGGTACATCTTCCTACATTTTCATAACTTCCCTCTCATAGATAGTTGCTAATTCATTGCTGATTCATTTAATATATCAAGCGCCCAACGCTTTTTACTCTGAATTTTCTTCCAAACCAATTCCTTTTTTATTAAACATTTAAAAGAAATCAAGTTCACCCACATTAAAAATGAATACCCCACCACTGAAAACCCGACTACCGGTGGTTGAGCGATGTTCACGTGAACATCGATGAGTCATTACAGTTTTAGATAGTTGTGGATAATGCATGATTGGACAGGTTGTAACTTGTACGCGCCACCACTATTGTGGTTTGAATTTAACTGTATACATGTAATTGCGGCCTCATTGTTTATTGTTTATTCATTGTGTGTCACATATACATACCTAGTACTTTCTTCCTAGCCCAAAATTCTAGAAAAAAGTGATATTTTGGATCGCTTAAATCATAATAAAGCCCTCGGCAGTTCAGCAAGTGAATAAACACGATGTAGGTCGTCTACTGACTGTGGTAGAGGAAAAGTCAGACACTCACAAAACCTGAACATCCAGGGGTGGTGAAACTTTGTGCATGTGGTAAATTAGTAAATTAGTTATTGTTTTTTTTTTCTAAGTTCTATTGCACTGATATATACTTATATTCATTTGAAAACTTCCCACCACGGATTTATCGAAAACCACTGGTTAAAAGAAAAAACGCCGAGACACGTCAACATATTTTTCAAGGGGAACAACTTTCCAACCAAAAACTACTTCACCCTCTCTCACCTCTGCCTCCTAGGGTCACCTCCTTAAAAATTTTAAAACAAGGGGTATCGAGTATCAGATTGTTTGAAAGGTCTTTCGAAGTCCTTTACTTTGACGTTTGATTTTTTAAAATCGGTTGATTCGTTTTCAAGAATATTAAAAAAATCAGAATCTTAATTTGTTCAGATAGAAAACAAAAACACGAAAATATGACTTTTTATTTCAATAATTATTCAAAATGTTGCCCGTTATTGGCCAAACAATGATATAGGCGATGTTCAAATAATTCCTGACGGATATTTTCAAAAACATGTGAGATCATCGCAGCTTTCGATGATGCGTTGACGAAGTTCATTCAAACTTTCAGGTTGGGGAGTAAAAACTATAGATTTCAAATAGCCCCATAGAAAAACTCTAATGGCGTCAAATCAGGAGATCTAGCAGGCTATAGGCCCTCTTCGCCCTATCCATTTATATATAGATTTGGAAAACCCTAACGGGCAACATTTTGAACAATTATTGAAATAAAAAGTGATATTTTCGTGTGTTTTTGTTTTCTATCTGAACAAATTAAGATAAATATTTTTATAATTTTCTCGAAAACGAATCGACTGATTTTGAAAAATCAAACGTCAAAATAAAGGACAACACACCCTGGGGGAGCCGCGGGTGGAAGAGGGTGAAATAGTTTTTGGTTGACAAATCTTTTGACGTGTCTAGGCGTTTTTTTCTTTTAATCAGTGGTTTTCGATAAATGCGTGGTGGGAAGTTTTCAAATGAACATCCTGTATATGTATATATCGGTGCAATAGAGCTTGCAAAAAAACAATAACTAATTTACGTTAGGAAATAATTATGTTCAATGTACATTATGTACTAAATGTGTTCCACAGGATATTACGAATAATCAAAAACTAAAAATACAAAGGATAATATATAACAATAAATTTATAAAGCATTAAAATGTTCATTGATTTTTAAGTTGTTGAAGTGCGAGACCAAAGCTTTGTCCCTTAGTTTTCTCAAAAGTAAAAGTTCGTTGTAGGAGCATATGACATGACGACTTTTGAACTGTTCTAGCCATCCCTTATTAGCGACCTATTATCTTTTCTCATTATTGCCTTGTAAAAAAAACTTTCGTGGCCGACATGGGTCCCGAAATGGGCGCATCCCTGTTTCTTTCCAGAAGAAACCACATGCACAAAGCTTGGGAAGTTTTCAAATGAACACCCTGCATACATAATTCTGTAATATGATTCGCTGTCCAAACAGATTCTCTGATTTGTAATTCGTCGGATTACAAGGTACACTTCCGGACTATAGAGGGTTTTAGACAGTACTGTATAATCCAACAAATTCGATAATCCGACAACGCCCTGCAAAACGATTGTCGGATTACCGCTGATCCACTGTATAGTGTTTAAGGGTATTTTCAAAACCTGAGACAAACATTAGAGCTCGAACTTGAAATCGGGTTTTTTTGAACAACATTATAAATCAACTAAATTTTGACAGCATACTAATTGGTCGAGTATAGAGTATATATACAGCATAAAACAATTGGAGAACAAATATAACTGTATACTATTTACAAGCATAGCAAGCCAAGAAGAGAACATTGGAGAGAGCAATGGTGTTCCTTGCTTCATTTAGATTACCAGGGACTGACTAGCCCTAATGAATTATTGCTAATCTTCTTACGCGGTGTACCATATAGCAATTGCTCAAAAATAATGTATATTTTTTAATGCGTGATTATTTATTTGGGAAAATGTATTCTTATTTAATTTCGACAAATGAACTGTTTTTGAAAAATTCGGCCTTATTTCAATGCTCCTCCTATCCATTCACACTGCAGCCAATCCCCAAAAAGGACATGAGCCTGAAAGAGAAAAGACGTTTTTGGAGATACTCCACAAAAAAAACAAAGCTTTGTCAAGTAAATATTTTTCATTTTGGTATGAAATACATTAGATTTCTAATGTTCTTTGGCAGGACATTGAATAAATGCAGTAGTAGTTTGAGATATTTCTGAATTTCGACAGCCTTAAGTTTTTCACGCATGCTGGATTGTTTCACAAGTGTTCCTTTTTTTGTTATATGAATTGGGCACTCAAGTATATAAATGCAAGGTAAAGTACGGGTGTTTAGATGCATAAATAAATGCATTTTCACAGGGATCTTAGTAATTAAAATTAGCTATAATCCTGATGCATCTTCTTTGAAGCGCAAATATGTCTGTAGCATGAACAGAATGTGCCCAGGTAAAAATAGTATTAGTGCATGTAATGCATTTAGCAATATTGCATCAGGACTAATCTGTCTCTGACGATATAAATGAGTTATTTATTTTTCATTTCAAGCCTGAACCAGTTACTGTGCTGTCAAATCTTCGTTGAATTGTTCATTGTTTAAAAGTTGAGAAAAACCTATTTCCAGTGGCGTCCTTCAGGAGCCGTGTTTCCGAAATGAAACGAAAATAGTCAGAGGACAAAGTAGTCTTGAATGTTAGCCTCATGTTTTGGAAGCCATTATAGTTTTTTGTTCACCAACGAGGATTTTTGAAATAACTCCCTATATGCTTTTGAAAATAGGAAGTTTATTTTAATTATTTCAAGATACGCCGAGATAACCAACAACGAAAAAGTTGGAGTGCACCCGAATTGTGTGAGATTTTACATGGCTTGGGAGGAAGGTGTTGACGTGTATTTGTTATTAGAACACTGTGACATGAGCCTCTCAGATTTGGCTAGCCGAACAGACGAGATTACTGAGGATTTGTTGTTGAACATACTATATGATATATGCACTGGCTTAGACTATTTACACAAGAAAAGCCTCGTGCATCTTGATATTAAACCAGCCAACATCTTACTGAAGCGAGGATATTTCAAAATAGGAGATTTCGGAACTGTCGTAGACTTGAACTTGGTGAGTCCAATAGTTTTGATAAATTGTATGCATACTAACTACTAAGTTCTTCATACTCTGACTAGTATAAGAAGGAGGGATTTAGGGGTGTCAATCCCGAATGGTTTTCGTAATCCCGGGATTTTCGAGGCTCGGTGTGACTATCCGGGGAGCAGTCCCAAAAAAAAATAATTTGAAAATTAAACTTTTATTTCTCGACAAAAAACAGAAATTGACTAAAAAAATTCAAAGAACTTAACAAAGCATAAATACTACAAACGATGACTATAGATACAAGTCTCATAATGAACAGTTAAGTGAGTGACAATAAATATAGTATATAAAAATAAACATTTTGATCTTCTTAAACATGAACTAAAAAACATTCATAAGAACTGGGAATGAAAATTTAATTATAAGTTGTTAAAATACGATCCCAAAAATATGAGTGCGCTTAATGTTTCGTCTTTTAGACTTGAACGGATTTTATTACATATAATCCAATAAGTACCACGACACACTTAAGTAGAAGGTAGGCTTTGGATTGACTTCCCGAATAACAAAAACTTACCTATATAAAAGTGTCACCGTTTCTGAGATATAGATTTTTTCTGAAATTTTGGAAAAACGAACCTTTTCATCTGCGGTCTTTAGCTGCATGTACAAATAGGGTTATACTTTGTTCATTTTTTCTATAAAATACTTCTAGATAGTTGCTTTATCATATACAAAGGCAATGTAGTTAAATGATATTAAGGAACCATGATCAAATAAGGACTATTTTGGGATTTATAACCTTCTGATGTTTTTTCCTCAAATTTGACCATCTGTGGTGAAACAACAATGTACTGGGCTATAACTGCATTATATTGAATGAAAAGATTGATCATTGAATACAGATTTCAGAAAGGCACCTCACATACTATTTGGAATAGAAAAAACTGATAGCTGCTTTTGTAAGTGACTGACACACTCTACAATGTAATTATTAGATTTAAATTCAAGTTGCACTGGTTACCGATCATTGACGTGCTAAATAGTACAAAGCTACATTATTATTACCTGCTCCTCATATGATTTTATGAAACTTACTGAAATTCGGACTCGAGTCAGTAACAGTACAAAAGAATAATTTTTTATCATGGTTCCTTAATACCTTCTAACTACATTGCATTTGTATATGATAAAGCAACTATCTAGAAGTATTTTATAGAAAAAATGAACAAAGTATAACCTTATTTGCACATGCAGCTAAAGACTACAGATGAAAAGGTTCGTTTTTTTTTAAATTTAAGAAAAAATTCAATATCTCAAAAACGGTGTCACTTTTATATAGGTCGTGGTACTTATTGGACACCCTGTATATCCTGTAGACAAAAAGCATCTTTCAGGCTCTACACTAGTGGGCTGAATTTTTGACATAATCGTATGCTTTTTGACGCAAGCTGCCACGATTTACGCCATTTAAAAAAAGATCAATTTCTTGGCTAACTATACCAGATAATCCTTTCGTCTTTTTCTGCTTTGATTCCCAATGTATAACTATTGCTTTTTGAAGTTTGATACCCAACGGTTCATAAATATCAATAAAACGTTTATAAAAATAAAACTAAATACCACCTAATAAAAAATTTCGTGACTAATACCGAAATTATAAGCCAATCCCGGGATCTTCGAGACAGGTTTTCTTCCGCGATCCCTGGATTGACACCCGATATATACTTTTTTTTTTAATTTTCTCATGTGTTTAGGTTTGTTTTGAATTTGGTTCTATCATCACAAGGTGGGTTTATGATACTTGTTTCTGATTGCCCAGTTTTCGATGTAGTTTCACAAAAACGCTTTCTAATTGGTCATTGTTGATCCAGATCATAGGTTTTGATCTCCGGATCAAGTTTAAAATGTTTTTGTAAATCTGCAACAGAGACGTTTGATATGATCAAGCATGCTTACCCAGGTGTTGCTTTAGCAAGAAGTGGTGTGTTTCGGTGGCACCAGGCCTTTTTGGAGGGCCGGGAAGAGGTCGCTGATGAAGACCGTGCTGGAAGACCTTCGACTTCGACAAACACCGATAATGTGACTCGTGTGCGCAAAGTTTTGAACTCAGACCGTCGACTAAGTATTCGTTTAATTGCCCAGATGTTAAATTTACCAAAATCTGTGGTTCACGACATTGTGACACAGCATTTGAACATGCGCAAGGTGTGCGCGAAGATGGTCCCAAAAGTGCTCACTGACGACCAGAAATTGCGGCGAGTGGAAGTGTGCCAAGAAAATTGTGAAAGTGACTCCAATTTTTGAATAACGTAATCACAGGTGACGAGTCGTGGATCTTTGAGTATGATCCCGAGACAAAGAGGCAATCTTCCGAGTGGCACACGACGGCGTCTCCTCGCCCAAAAAAGGGAAGAATGAGCAAATCCAAAGTGAAGACGATGCTCATTGTCTTTTTTGACATCAAAGGCATCGTCCACCATGAATTTGATCCTCCTGGACAAACCGTCAACGCCAAGTTTTACGTGGAAGTGCTCAGGAGACTCAAACGAAGGGTCAGTCGGGCCCGACAAGACATCGCACCCGACAGGAAGTTTGCATCACGACAACGCCCCGGCTCACACCGCCTTTCTTGTGTACAGCTACCTGACCAAGGCCGGCATCCCAACGCTTCCGCAGCTGCCCTACAGCCCAGATGTGCCCCCCACCCCGGAGTTTCTTTTGTTTCCTCGCCTGAAAAGGCCGATGAAAGGCAAGCATTTTGAGACGCCTTCAATTGCATCGACGCAGAAGGAGCCTATTTTGAAAGTTTTTAAAGAATTGTACGGATTGGCTCAATGAATTTTTTTAAATCGACTCAGTCCTATTACTTTCCGGACAAACCCTGTACATGATGCGTTTCAACTTTCAGCCGCCGACTATCTGCAAGTCTACCGTGTCCGATGGAGATGCGAAATACTTGGCACCTGAAGTACTTGACGGTGTCTACACACCAGCTTGTGATATATTCGGCTTAGGAATTAGCCTTTTAGAATTAGCAGCTCGAGTGAACCTGCCTACTTCCGGGCCAATATGGCAGCAAATGCGACGCGAAGTTCTTCCTAAAGAATTTTACGACAGTAAGTTCTTCATTTTACATAATTAATTTGTGATGTGTTTACTTCCCATGCATACTGGCGAGGGAGCATTGTAATGGCGAAAATTTCGAAATTGATGTATGTTTTGTTTTATGTTATATGACGTGTACATCATCCATTTCCACCTATCGGTCTATTCACTAATTTTTTGACCCCCTGTGACTTGGAAAGTACTGCTGGAATTGGGGTGAAATTTTCACAAATTTTTCGAACCAAGGTTACTATTATGTCAAGGACAAACACGCTTTGTAGTTCATAGTTTGAGAGAAAAATTGTAAAGGTTCAAAATTTGGGGTTGAAGGAGTGGGGTAGGATATACATCAGTTTTTAATGTTAGTATGTGAACACGCTTCCAATCCCCCAAGTAATCTTACGCAAATAATATACTTCCCGGATATTTACTATTAAAACTTGTCCCGGGTCTCCGCCTAGGAGTATTTTTTTTATACTCCAACTACCACGAAGGCCTAAGCACCCATTGGGTGCCGTGGGGCTATAGGGGGATACATGGGAAAGGGGGAACGCCAGACGGACTCTGGCGAGGGAACACGTGTGCATGCAACATGCACACATTCTGGCTCCGCCTACGAGATCCGCCGGGTGGTACCTCTGCGTTCGACAGTCAGAGACCGTCTACCACCTACGGACAATCACAACATCCATAGCCAAGAGAAAAATTTCTCCTGGCACGGGACTCGAACCCGCACAGCGCACGGCGACTGATCAGGAGACCGAAGAGTCTACTACTGCGGCCACCGCTGCCGCCTAAAAGGAGGAGAAGGAGTAAGAGTAGCTTTAAGCTGAATCTCGCCTTTTATAGCTAATAGTAATAAAGACGATTATTATTATCATTATATTTCAAGTTTTATGGGTAAAGGCACATGTCATGAGTGAAATATGCCTAATAAAGCGTGAAAAAATTGAGATACAGTAATGGACAAAAGTATATAGACAAATTAATATTGTGCTGTATTTCTTTTTTAACTTGTTTTATTAATACACCAACCTGTATACATAATTAGTTATAGCATAATATTCACATAACACAGGACCAGGACAAAAATATATAGACAAAGCAAAACAATTATAGAAAAAAGAAGCAAAGTTCATTGAATTATAGAAAACCAACCAAGAAGTTTCTTGATATAAGATTCATCAATCTGTCTCCACTTTTGCTCTAAAGCGGCAAAAAGTTCATCCTTCTTTGAATAATTTTTATCTCGTATTTGCTTATCTAAGTATTAGACTGTGAAGGACATTTGAGAACTGGTATTTTTTCATCAAGAAAGAATTTCTTTGCGAGATTTGGTGTGCTTCGGGTTATTATCTTGCTGGAAGATTGATCTTAAGGGCATATTGTCTTCCATATAGGGTAACATGACATGCTTTAGTATGTCTGTGTATACAAACTTATTCATAATGCCATCTATTTTATGTAAAGGTCCCATCCCAAACCCCGAAAAGCACCCCCAAACCATAACAGACCCGCCTCCATGTTTGACAGTGGGCAAAGTGTACTTGGGGTTCAATTTTTGTCCACTAGGACATCTAACGTAATGAACACCATCTGATCCAAACATATTGAACTTGGATTCGTCGCTGAAACATATCCTCTTCCAGTCACAGATGCTCCAATCAAGATGCAACCGTGCAAATTGCAATCGGTCCTTACGGTTTTTCCTCGAGATTAGTGGCTTCTTACTCGGGTGACGTGCAAATAACTTCAAATCATTTAATCTTCTACTTATAGTTTTCGTAGAAACACTGACAATTCCTTTTGTCTCGATTTCGGCTTTTATTTGTCTTGGGGTTTTAAACGGATCTTTGGGCGAAATTACTTTTATTAGTCTAACTGATTTAGCATTTAGTTTTCAAGCCCGACCACTTCTCTCAGAGGCTTCCAAGATACCTTTTTGTTTATATTTGTTCAATATTACCCAAACTGATTTACGCTTCAGCTTCAAATTTTTGGCAATGTCGACTTGACGTTGACCATCTTTGTATAACTCAATGATCTTAGTTTTCACATCGAAAGACATTTCTGGACCACGCGGCATGGTATTAAATACACTCAACTTATTCCTCAATACTTGATGAACACAAACTAATTCTGACACGAAACTGTACTAAACTAATGTTGAAAAGAATTTATCTACATATTTTTGTCCCTCATAAAAAAGTGCTTATATGCAGACTTGTATTGTGTTCATTGCAGATAATGTAAAGACAAGGAAATTAGTTTTTCTACTAATAACGCATTTGTTTATAGAGCAATGAAGTATGAATTCGTTTTCTAAAGGCATTTAGGTAAATATTCACATTTGTCTATATACTTTTGTCCATTACTGTATATCCTCACCCACCCCCTGCATCCCCTAACCCCCAATTTTTAACCACTGCAAAAGCTTTTCCGAAAATGATCAGGATCGTAAAAAATGATTATCTTTTTTTTTTGACCTTTTTCCGCCGCCGCTGGACTGATTTTCGAAAACTACAAAGCTTTTAAGTCGTTGGCATAGTAGCAACATTGTGTAAAAATGTCATCGAAATCCGAATATAGACGGAAATGAGTGACATAATTTTTCGTCATGTACATGTCGTATAGGTACGACAAAAAAATGGGGAAGATAGGCGAAAAGCAGATCTACAACATACCAAAAAATGACCATAGAAAAAGTTTTACTGTTTTTGAAATATTAATTTTTTTTGTCTTTTCGAAAAATTTCTTCGTTTTATCTATCGTTTGTTGCTGATTAAGCAGGTAATTTATCGCATTACTTTGCAGTAGCAGTCTAGTACATTTTTATTTCATTGCTGAATACCAAAGTTGAATAAAATAGTTCTACACAATAAAAATTACGGAGAAGAGATTAGTTTGTCAACTTTATCTACTTGTATTTATAGAAAATATTTCAAATGCCAGACCAAGTATCTGAGAATATTTTGCAAAAAAAAACCAAACAGATATCCTGTTATGTCTAGGCACAGCAACAAATGAGAGCCAAAAAAATTAATATCTCAAAAACAGTAAAACTTTTACTATGGTCATTTTTTGGTATGTTGTAGATCTGCCCTTCGCCTATCGTCCCTATTTTTTTGTCGTACTATTTACCGGGTACCCTGTATAAACATACTAATGCTTTCTCTATTTATCCAGAGGAGGTTTCCTTAGGCTTCAAGGTTATCATAGAAAGAATGTTGAAACCTCAGCATGAGCAAAGGCCATCAGCGGAGAAGATACTGAAGTTCAGTACTGTGAAAATCGTCAGAAACAGGGATAAGAAGGCACCTAGGATAGATTATGCTCTAAGTCACATTGTAAGTCCACACGTCGTCCGTCAGACGTTCGCTCTTCTGTAACAGTTTAGGTGGGAGATGATGTCAATCAAGCAGATTGAAAGGAACTTCCCGTTCTACTGATTCTACTCGCATTAAGGAATACCTCAGTGTCGATTGTAGGGTGGCGCTACAAGTCCACCACGGCCCACTTCAGGTCTAAACATCATTAACAACCAAAAAGAAGGTGGTAGAACACCCGCTAGCTTTTTCCAGGGTTTCTTAAGAATCTCCACATGTTTCCGCGCCTAAACTACGCAGTCGGTTATCTTCCAAAACAAATAAATTAATGATGATGGATCCCTCGAGCACTAAGAACTCCGGGATATATACTCACTCCACTCTCGGAATGTCCGGGTGGAGGGGGTGGACTCGAGGGAACAACATCGAAGATAAAATTTGTTTTTCGAGCATCTGCGGGATTAACAGCAACATTGATGCTGTTCATCACTACCTGCGATCCAATCGTCCCGCTGTGCTTTTCTTGGCGGAGACAAGAATCTCAGAGTCTGCACCGATTAACCATCTTATCTTCCCAAATAACGAGGTGCACTCCAATCTGAGACAGAACGGGGGAGTTGTGGCTTTTGTCCGCAGCAGCATTTTGTGGCTTCACCATAACTGGGACGACCTACTCGAATACTACGCTGTCAAGATCAACTTCCTGAACATCAATCACTCCTTGTAGACTACTCATATTGGCAAATTTCCAGAAAATAATTGCACAGTCCGGTTTTGGCAAGTTGTTCATAAAATGGGTACACCAATTTTTGTGGGAAAACTTTATTTGACAACAAAGAATGAGAAAACTTGTTTTTTGGGATTCAATCGAAAGTGTTGACAGAAACGAAAAAACTTTTCAAATGAGATTTTTTATGTATTTTTGAGACTACACGTAAAAAGATCCGACTAATAGCAAAAATGTTATGACCGAAAAACGAGACAAAATGCAGGTTTTGGCACTTCTTGTTGGAAATGCGACGATAATTTCACACAACTACTTGAAATTCTCCAAATCCGTAGAATTCATACTTCTCAATAACAACAAAATTGGAGTATATAGGTCAAGTAGTTTTTGAGAATTTCTATTTGCTTATGCTTTTTTTTGTCATCACTACTAGGTTATTGAGCAATATACAGGGTTCGTTCAAAAAACATTTATTTGAAAAATACTCGCGTTCACCTTGCTGATATGAATCACAAACCAATCCGAAAGATAAATATTATTATGCGAAAAACAAAGGTTTCGTTTTTTTCTTCTAAACAAATACAAACATTTCGTATTTGTAAGTGATTGAACAAATGCGCTACGATATTCGAAAAACATACGTTACTCTACCCATTTTAAAACAAAGCGGATGTGTCTTTCGCCTTTTGTTGCGAATTACTCACAAATACGAAATGAATGAATTTGTTTAGAAGAAAAAACGTAATGCATCCTTTTTTGCATAAAAATTATCTTCCGGAATGGTTTGCGATTAATATCTGCAAGGTAAACTAGTGTATTTTGCTATAAAATGCCCTTTGAACTAACCCTGTATATTTATTGCTCAATAAACTAGTGATGGCTGGGAAACAGATGTTTCCAGATACACTATTAGAAATTTCCAAAAACTACTCGACCAATCTACTCGAATTTTGTTGTGGTTATTTAGAAGTACGAATCCTACGAATTTGAAGAGTATCTGCGAGAAACCATCGTCCCATTACCAACAAGTGCCAAAACCTGCATTTTGCCTCGGTTTTCGGCCATACATTTTTTGTCATTGGTCGGATCTTTTTACGTGTTGTCTCATTTTGTATTTCTCATAAATACCTAAAAATAAAATAAGTACCACGACAAGCTTAAGGAGAATGTAGGCTTGAAACTTAAACCTATATAAAAGTGTCACCGTTTTTGAGATATTGATTTTTTTCTTTAATTTTAAAAAAACGAACCTTTTCATCTGTGGTCTTTAGCTGCATGTACAAATAAGGTTAGACTTTTTTCTTTTTTTCTATAAAATACTTCTAGATAGTTGTTTTAACATAAACAAATGCAATGTAGTTAAAAGATATTAGCGCAATGGCAGTCGGTCTTTTTAGACGCTGGTCAAGCAGATTGAAAAGAAAATTTCACTCGGTAGCCTTTTAAAAAAACTGGATACTTTACTCATGGGATTACTCTCTTCTTTTTTGTTTTAGGCTGATTTATTGGAACGCGGAATTATAAATGAAATACAGGTGGATCAGGAACCCGAACTTTTACATGAAGGACAGGTGGATCCGGAACGCGAAGTTTTAGATGAAGGACAGGTGGTTCCGGAACGCGAAGTTTTAGATGAAGGACAGGTGGTTCCGGACCGCGAAGTTTTGGATGAAGGACAGGTGGATCCACCCTTGGAAGATCTTCCAGATATTTTAAATAATAACGACCTTTTCGGTACTCCTCCAGGCGCACCTGATCCGTCCTGGGTCGATGTTCCTGATTATGAGTAAGTGTATATGGGTCAAAACTAAAATTCATCGACCTGACTTTAGTCTAATTATATTAGACGGAAATACCGCTGGCTTGCGAAATGATTATAAAGTCTGGTTTTATTGATACAAGTTGGTCAAAGGGGTATTTAAATCATGGACGTATAAAATGGGAACACCAATTTTTGTGGGAAAACTTTTTATTCGACAAAAAGTGTGAGAAAACGTGTTTTTTGGGATTCAATCGAAAGTGTTGACAGGAACGAAAAAACTCCGAATAAGATTTTTTGGTATTTATGAAATCCAAAGAATGAGACCACACGTAAAAAGATCCGACTAATACGAAAAAAGTTATGGCCGAAAACCGAAGCAAGATGCAGGTTATGGCTCTTGTTGCTGCAACCACTAATACTTTTACGTGCAGTTTACAGATTGTGGCTTTCATATTCCTTTTTTGAGTTTGAAGGAAAATGATATTTCGAAAAGTTGCAAAATTATACTTTTTCCACAATTAAGTCAAAATCAGAAGATGGTAGTAACAGTTTGTAAGTTACATGTGGAAGGCAAATATCTCTTAAAAACTGAGTCGGCTAATGGACGTTAAGCAATGTGTGGATGTATTTATAAGGCTAACCTCTATAGTTACATCAATAGCATCTATATACCTCCTTTAGCATTGTGAAAACGGTAAATGTTTGGCCAAAATATCGAACATTAGTCCTAAAAGCACCAATTTAGTGGATCAAGAACAAAATTCAACTCATATAATAATAATATTTATTTACTCCTTAACTGGAAATATAAAGAATAAGTAAATAAATATGAAGCAAGGGTCCATAGGAAGCATTGCTTGTACATGGACTGTTAATGTGGCAATTATGTATTATGATTAAAATATGAATAAAGATGCAACTAATCAACGAAATATTCGATGTTTACATTTACTATTAATTTGTGTACGTCTGATCCATTATTTTAACTTTTTCTTGAAATCATTCCCCAAGCATGGGAACGAATACGTATAATTTTGGTCCGAAATAAAGGTATCATAGATTCATTTGGTCTAGGAACAACTGTTTCTCTTGGTTTATTCCTTGTGTGATTATTTAATTTTTAAAGACTATTCATATGTGCAAACACCAATATGGCGTCCATAAGAAACATAAAGTTGATGCTGGGGGACAAGGGATGAAAGGTCATATTAAAATTTTCATTATGACATCTTGTAGATGAGAAAAACTGACAATGTTAATGCGCAATTTATTTTGAAACCCTACTACAAATAAAGTCAGGAATTTAATTTTGGTAAATTTCGTTTTTTTTTTTCGTCTCTCTCCGGGCGTACTTTGAATTTCGAAACTTTTAAGCGGCATTTTGTTAATTACCTAAATACGCAACTTTGCCCTGATCTATGCGACCTCGTATCTCTTACAGTTTTTGACATCCCAATGATGAGGGTCGAATTTGGAATACCCGGTGGTGAGACTGCTCCATATCATTTACAAAAAAAAATCAATTTTGTGCATTCTTGGTTCAGGAAGGTATTTGAATTGTCAGCCCAATAGACCGGTAAAAATTTTCGAAAAAATCACTTTTGACTGAAATATCTGCCGAGCGAATTATCACATCTCAGTTTTGACTTGCTTGGACAATTTTACTATTGAATAGCCATATACGGGGTGGAGCATCGAAAACGAAACAGACGCATTTACTGGCGGCTCAGTTTTTTTTTTTTTTTTTTGAAAAACGCACAGACCCGTCGATTTTGTTTTCGAGGGGACACAAGTTTGGCAAAAGATCACGTTAACACGTTGGTGTCACCCCCTGAGCGGGGGTGACACCAACCCTAAAATCTTAAATGGAAAGGGGGGGTCGAGTGATACCTTATTTTAAATGTCTTTCAGTTCCCTTTATAATTATGTAAAATACATGAGCTTCAGTTCAATAGTTTTGAAGATTTATTGATTTAAAGCTTAAAGTAGACTTTAATAGGTACATCAGATTAGTTTGTACTACTTTCAGAAGAAATTTGACTAAAAGAGTTTACTTAATAAGTAAATGCTTTTCTTCTCTACGCCCATAGTTTGTTTATTATTTTGTTGTTGAACGATGAATATTTTCTATTCAACACTTGCTTTTCCGACGAATGTTCCTTTTTTTCTTTAATGGCGTAGTAAATCGTCATAACTGCCGATTTAGTTCGATTCTAATCCCAGAATTTATCATGAAGTTCATACACAGCAGACACAAAAATTAAATGTTTGGGCTGGTATTTGTGGCGATCATTTAGTTGGTCCTTTTTTCTTACCTGGAAATTTGACCGTATTTGGAATTACTGGAAGACGCCATAGATCCTGCATTAACAGCCATAATTGAAAATCAGAATGATCGGCGGTACATTGCGAATAGGTTGATGTTCCAACAGGCTGGTGCCCCACCACATTACGCATTACGTGTTCGACAATATTTAGATCGATGGATTGGTAGAGGAGGTGCCATTGAATGGCCCCCAAGATCGACAGATTTATCACCTTTGGATTTCTTTATTTCTATATTTTAAAAGCAAAATCTATGCTACTCAGCCAACATCATTAGAAGACCTGCGACAAAGAATTGTGAATGAGTGCCTTCAAATTACTCCTCAAATATTGCAAAATGTGCGGCAACGTTTTGACCAAAATCTTTATTATTGCATGTAGAGTCATGTTGGCTATTTTCAACATTTACTTGCCTAATGGGTCAGTTCATTCTTCATTTTTAAATTACTTTGCTGCCAAATGTATTGATCTCCACTAATGATGTATCAGTTTTATTTAAGCTTTCGTTTTCGATGCGCCACCCTGTATATTGTGTGACCTAATGCTTCCAATGAAATGAGTAGCGAGAAGATGGCAAATTCACATTTTTTGTGGTACCTTCAAATTTTGACCGAACCGTTGACCTAGGGCCCTAAAATTGTACAAAGCCTCGTGCCTCCGTAGGTACTCTCCAGTCCTGAGATACGACCCGCCAAACCACGTCGTCGAATTTTAGTTATCCCATCGTGAAGCAGTTCTATGACCTAGTTTGTTTGCCTGAAAAGGTTTCTTTTTTGTTTCGCTGCGTTATCAAAAATGCCTTCTTTTCAGTTATTTGATGTACGCGATGTATTCGATGGACCACTCCTCGTTTGCGGTTGACCACTCGACGCATGCGATTGGTCGTAAAAACCTGTTCAACTCATCAGCAAAGACGAAAACACATACAGTCACTTCGGGCGAGCTCAACGATACGTTTCAAGCATCGTTGTCTCCGCAGAATGAAGATGGTGAAACGTCAGAAAATCATTCCAATAGTCAATTGGCAGTTCATCTGAACAACTCTGGTGAAGGTATGGACCATGATGCAGGAAGACGTTATGGTGATGACATGAGTTCGTCTACTCCTCTATCGTCTCGGAAACTACTCAAAACTAGAATGTCCCTTGATTAACTCGAAGATTTTATTTTGGTCGATCATTGAGAAACTTGACAAAGTCTTGTAATTTTTTTTTATTTAATATCTTTTCCTCATTAGCTGTGAGCGCCATGATTTTTAAATCAAGTTCTAGAGAACATATTTACTTGCAACCACCTATATACAAAGTTATGCACTTTGTATAGAACATTGCCTAGATCATAAATGCTCTCTTTGCTGCCTAATTACTCAACTTGATTTATTAGTGTGATCCTTATTCTGAAGTTTTTAAGATCATTTTCACAGAAGTCCATTTGTTCAAAATAAAAGGGAAAAATGTACTCCAACTTTATTTTTTCACATGTTTGTATGGAGTCATCAGATCTTCGGGATCTTACGACGATTCTTCATTTTGACAAAACAATCTTTCTGGAATTTATGTTACATATATACATATTTTTGATACAGGAAATTCTTATACAATTTTTGTATAAGGTCCACCTTGCTTTGCGTATGCGTACGAATTCAAGCTACCAATGATCGATCTTTCAATAGTCTTTCTGTATTGATCTCGGATCATTGTGATGTAGATGTACTTATCACTTGATCAAACTATTTGACATGAAAGACTGTTTTTTATTATTTGTTTGTTTTGTTTTTATTTATTTTGTACAAGTATTCTACTTTTGTTGAGAATCCTATCTTGGGTTTGAGAAAAATTGTTTTCGTTTGGTTAAGTTGCTTAGCAGTTCTTAGTATCAGAAATCGATTTTTGTCGACAAAGGTCATTCATTCCTTTTCCTAAGATCAACCTACATTGTGACTAGTGGACCAAAACCAAATCCTCGAAACACAATTATTGCATTTTCACATATTCAGATTCCAGTCAGACCCTGATGTGAATATAGATTCGATCCTTGTACATTTATAGCCCATAATCATTTATTAACATGTACTATTACTACTTTCTAGTCAACCATATACTGTATTCCAACATCCCAAAAATTATATATGAGGTGAAATGAGATACTTTGGCGTCATCCATGAGAATTTTTCAGATCGGCTTTGGAAAGGTTGGTGTTGTATGAGACGCTAACTTTTTCAGAGTAGATTTCTAATTGATGCAGAAAGGAGAAACAGCTGTGACAAATTTAAATAAATGTTATTTAGCTTGCAATGCTGCCTTGGCATTAAATCCAAATCTATTCATTACTTAATCTTTGTCTATACAGTGTGATTCTTTAATGATTGTGCCAAAAATATATCCTAGATTACGTTCGTGGAAATAATGATATTAAATCAAATATGCCTTTGTAAAATGTCTGAGAATCTCTTATGAAGCAGCATTTTGCTAAGGTATATTTGGCTCAATATTATTTTCACGAGCTTAATGTGGGAATGTTTTTTTGGCGCAATCATTAGGTACCGATCTATATATATAGGTCATATCACCTTTTTCAAATTTCTTGTCAATATTAATTTATTGTATGATTCCTAACAGTGATTGTTAATTCCTCCATTCCTTAAGCGTTTGTATATGTATATGCAATTCTCACGTTCTTAGTTAATGAATCTTATGCTTGCTGGTCCCAAGTCATATTTAAGATCACAAACCAAATCTCTCGATAAGTACTAGATAACCCTCTTTGAATACATGAAATTATCCAAATATTTTTGGAAAAAGTTCAGCGTCTTACAATTTTTTGTCATATTCTGATGAGTAAATGATTATTGATTTAATGTAATTGACTGAAATTTGTAGGTTCTCACACAATTTTGTAAAGATTTAAAGTTTTTCAGATTTTAATCTCTCATGGTGTGAATTTTTTGTCCTTAAATTATCTGTAAAACATGTTTTTGATTAGTTCAGGAATTATAGGGAGAACTAATTTTTGACAAGCTAAATCCGAATGTGTTTTACATCTACCAACTCTATTTTTAAGTTATATTTTTCACGTTACGTTTTGTGTAATGTTTCACGTAATGTCGTTACGTTTTATGTAATTTTCACGTAATATCGTTACGTTTTATGTAATTTTCACGTAATATCGTTATGTTTTATTTAATTTCCCACGTAATATCGTTACGTATTTTAATTTTTCACATGATCCAAGCTGTCTAAGCAACGTAAGATTTTAGTTTTCGTTAATATAGTATATTGCTGAACAAGGTGCTGAAGTGTTCCTTTGAGGGTTTATAACCTTATGTGATTTAAAACTCAGCATTTGACTGTTACAAAGTAACAGTACTGGTGTTGGCGTTTTGGCAATTTCACCAAGGCATAGCCTTTTAGATGTAAGGAATTGCAATATTAGAATTTTGTTTTATTTTATTCATAACCACCTACACTATTAGACTCAGTATTTTAATTTGATCATCGATCGGCAATTTTAACTCATGTAATTTGGTAATATCTGAATGGTATTTCTCGATTTTGATACAGCTTATATGTTTGGTGGTTTGACGTTATCGTCGTGTTGTGATTGTAGCCTTAAGTCTATTTAACCAATTTTTAAAAATATATTTTGTATGCTTTAATAAAAGTGTTTCTCTTATGAGTGTTTTTATTCCAGCGCGAGAATAGAAGGTTGAAATTTTGCTTCAACCACCGGCCACATGTTACTATAATATATTTAGTGTCACAGCAATGAAATCGGACATACTAGTCCTCTTAAATAGCCGAAACTGCCGCAAAAGTGATAACATAGCCACAAAGTTATGTCCGCTGGCGTAAAAAAGGCTTGCGAATATAATAATAGTCTGGCTTTATTTATACAAAGTATAAAAAGGCGAAGTGTCGCTAAAAAGCGTTTTTCAACTTACCCCAACAAATATTTATGTAAATTTTCTAGTCCCAATGAAAACAAAAAAGTTAAAAAAACCTGTAACGAGTCCCTATTCATGGCCATGGCTACTTACTGGGCAATGAAATCGGAGATAAAATGCTTCAATCTTCTTTTGAAATTCTTATAGAGTAGTGAGTGAACTAACTGGCAACGCGTTGTATAGCTTGATAGCAGTATATACGTACGACCTTTTAAATAGAGATGTTGAATGTCTCGGGATAACCAAGATATGCTGATTCTTTGTGTTCAGTTATTAACATTAGTATCTGATAAATTTGCTTGATAAATATGGAGGGGCTTGTGTTGTGATTACCTTATGGGTCAAGGTCAATACGTGCATTTTTTTGTAGCTCTTCTATTTTTTGAACATCCAGCTCACGATATTTATGTGACACTGTCTCAAATTTTCTCACTCCACAAGCAAATCTGAGACACACATTTTGAATAGTCTGAAGTCTCCTTATCTCAATCGATCTTAGTGCAGACCCATAAATACAGTCACAGTAGTGAATCCTAGACCATATTAAGGTTTCGCACAACTTCAGCCTGAGACTAGTATTCATACTTCTCCTAGGAGGAAATAAATGCTTCAAGGCACCGAATGATGTTCGGCACAGTTAACTAACGTGTTTTTCAAATCAGAATCAATCCAGCGTTCTAAATTCTTGCACTCATTTTTTATAGGGATTGGTTGATCCAAAATGCTCAATGACAATGATTTTGGCGGACTTTTTTGATTTTTGGTCCAAATATAACTGCGGATGATTTTAACGGGTTAATTTTGAGATTATGGGCACAAGATACGTTAGATAAATTTATTACATCATTATTAATCAAATTTTCGGCATTTTTTAAATCTTTAATATCACAGCCAAAGTACAATTGAGTGTCGTCAGCATAGTGATGAATACTGCAGTGTTCAACGTACTCGTGGAAGTCAAGCTTATTGTCGTAAGAGTTTGGTTTTCCGTAGACCAGTCGTTTTTTGTAAAACAGCAAAAAACCCTTTGTCGCTGAAACGGCTAAGGATATCTGGGATTTTTTTACACGTAAATTTTTCTAATTTTTGGGCCATCAAAAAGGTATCTGCATTTTTTTTTTGCTAAATTGCTTAGTTTTCGCGCCACAGCTTGCTGATAGTTTATGGGTGAGGGGCTTGCGGGGACAAGGGTACACATCACCAGCCGCCGCAGTGATAGGCCGGTCGATTTCGAATAATAAGCTAGAGCTGCAAGAAAGCTGTGAACGTGTATATAAATGCGTGGCAATGATAAGAATACATTACAGGATGTAGAAGCCCAATGAGTCATCAAAAGACTCGGTTTCGAGGCTCCACGTTATCTTCATAATCATCCTCGCAAATCAGTTTGATCACGGGTGGTTCTTGATCTACGACCATGATAAGAGGTTTAGCAGTACTTGAGCCGCGTCTCTCCGTTGGGCTAACATACGCCAACGCAAATATGTAAAGATATTGGAATGTCTTGACCAATTCAAAGTTGAACTCCACACAAGATCGAAATCTCTTCAAGACCTATAGCTTTATTGTTCGAGATCGTACAAACAACTACTTTGCTTTAGGCGAATACTGAAGAACTGAAATTAGATGCATTCAAATTTACTGATTTTCATAATGAGGTCTCAGAAACAGAATTACTTTTGGAGATACCAAGACTGTGAAGACACTTAAAACCCGCTAATGTTACAGTTTCTGATTGGGTATCTCTAGATTTTTAAATGTTATTGCAGAATGAGATTTTACAGAATCTCTTCCATATCTTATGATTGCACTAAAATTGTTCATGACGGTTTCCGTGTCCGTAGCTTCATGTGAAAGGAGTTTCAGTAAACTAAAATTAATAAAAAAATATTTGCGGGCAACAATGACCCAATCGCGGCTTAGCAATCTTGGCATATTAGCGATCGAACACGAGGCAATACAAAATATAAATTTTGATGGAGTTATTTCTGAGTTTGCAGCTGCCAAAGCTAGAAAGAACAGATTTTAATTGTACGATAAATATATTTTTTCTGTCTCAGTTTTTATTGGGGTTTTGTTATTTGATCAATATTTTAAATATAAATATCAAATGATCAATGACGTTTATAAATCATATAGAATGTATTGCTTTTGACTTTCGATGGGGTGACACACCCAAGGTAGCTACTTTATAAGGGAATCTGTAATACTAAGGTTTATCACTAAGTTTGTAGCACCATCTCAGGGACATTCTCCGAACTTTTTATAGAACCTATACGAAGTGTTATAGAACCCTTCAAAAATATCGAATACCTAGCGCCATCTTTGGACTTTCCTATTACACTGTGGCGCTGAATTTGAATCAAATATTCAAATTATATACATATAAGGTATTTTAGGTAAAATAACGCTAAACCTGATGATGTTTTTAAAATGTGTATTTTTTTAATACAATACATAAAAATAACAGTTATTCTAGTTGTTAGGAATCTAAAAGTAGTCGGTATTACCGATGTACTATCGCGGGCATAAGAAACTTGAACAGCATACTATTGTTATCAGGTATGCATTGCCAGGGATCTCTTATCAGTGTGGCAGTGCCTTGTTATCTCTTTATAAGATAAGGTCATCCATAGTTCAGGAGATAATGCGATGTCCATGTGTTTTCTGCACGTGGTTGTACCTATGTAAAGTATAAAATAATCTTCTTGAGAACAAATGAGTAATTAATCTATAAAAGTAAAAATACGAAAATGTTTAACTAAGTATTAAGTTACTAAAAATAAAATTGAAATATTCTTAATAAATTCAAAAATAAATTTCAAAAAAGGAATATACTGAAAGTAAACTAAATAAAAATAGATACCTTTAGCAGTTGCTGAATTTCTATAAGGCGTAGTTAAGTTGATGTCTTCAGATAATCCTGCTTTTGGGCTATAGCTTTCAGCCCAGCTTTCACCTATGATTATGAATAAAAAAAATAAAAATAAAAGAAGTTGAAAACCACATACAAATATTTGACTGAATATTATTTTATACATACAAGTTTGAAAATGTATTCAATTGAATTAAATTTAAGTTTCTTTTTTAACTAAATACTTGCAAAATATATACTGAAACATACTTACATTTTAAATGGTTTGGGGGAGCTGAATTCACGTCTTTTGATGAGACTGGTCTTGGATGTTCTGAGGAATGTTCAATATTTACTAAACGTTTTCCTAATGCAGAAGTTTTTCTTTTAGGACTTGTGTGAGTATATTCAGTAGTACTTTGGATGTTACACTTCTCTGTTGCTGAGCCCTCCTGAAAGTTATTTTTTTTTTAAAAAGTGTCAATAGTTGAAGTAATTATACATACATATTCTAGCTCTCACTTTATTAATGTACATTGTTAACAAGTTTCTAATATTTAGAAATCTGTCACTATCTAAAGTAAAATAACTATTTTTAAACTTACCTTCTTCATATATAATGTTTTCTTGGACCAACTTGGTGTCTGTTGAAGAACTCTTCAATAGAATTGTTTTAAGAGTCTCTTTCATTTTTGCAGCCAACGGATTAGCAATTTTCCTACTACCTTCATGAAATTCGGGAATACTCTGAACATTTTCCGAAACCATACCTAAAAAACAATTGAATTTCATTATATGTTTATAATTCTAGGAAAGTTTTTCAAAAAATTGTGGAAACCGTAAATGCTGTGAAAGTTTTTAGGATACCAAAATGTTCGTATCATCTAATCCTGATTATTCACCGATTGGTTTATATATCTAAACAAAGTTATTACTTACTTGAAGATTAAGTTCAGAAAGATGTAATGTAAGAAAAGCTGTTCTTTTCAAACTTCTCTTGGTTCCAGGCACTTTATCACTTTTCGAAAAATGTAAGTCACACACCAAATAGCTTTTATAAATTTGTTCGTGATTTTTATTGTCCAAAATTGGATTTGCTCGATCCACTTGTTGAAAAGAGCGGTATCATATTTTGGAAATGTATGCCCTTTACTGATTGTATCAGTACAACCAGGCACTACGGACTTTTTAAGTCCCCGCTTTCCATAAGCCTCCATTACAAAAAGTTAGTTTGTGAATTGAAATTCAGTTAAAGCTCAATGAATATCAGTATCACCGACAGTGAACTAATAAAAACGCGGGCGCCGCACACGATTCAACTTTATATTCAACCAGCGCCACCTTCAACTAACTTAGTTGAAGGTGGCGCTGATTCAACGTATATCAACCTCAAAGCATTGAACTGTCAAAAAGGACGGAAAACCTAGTATCAGCGCCACTCTGTTGTTACACTCCGTACTAAGTATATAAGAATATCACTCATTTAAGTTTCCCTTATACTGACTGCATTTGCATTCCTGGTGCGGCGCGCGTTCACAGGGCGGCGGTTACAAGCTTCAAGGTTAGGCGACGTGTCTGGTCGTCTCGCCAGTAGCGGCGCGGCAGGGTATCGCTAGTACGCGTTCCAACAAATTTTTATCAGGTGATGAAATTGGAATTGACACTAGCGAACTGGTTTCAAGGATATTTTGATATTTAGCTGCGTTTAAAGTTCGATCTTTTGCGACATTTATTTGTTTAGCAATATCCCGAAAACTCTTTCCTTGATGGAACAATTTTTGATTAAAACTCTGATTGCACCGTTTGTTGCTTTACCACGCGACATTCTAAAGCAAATTGAGTCACAGAATTGACTCTTAAATCAGAATGTCAAATTGTAAACACTTTTTTGTTTCCATGACCTGCTTTTATTTTTTTTAATATCGTGTCCGAACATTTTTCAATGCGATGTACTTGTAGATGCTAAGGATTCTATTGCGTTTCTTACGATTATCGGATCACAACAACGAATCTGACATGATATACTCATCGTAGTAAGCTGAAATTTTCAGGGTTTATTCTACATGGACTGAAATAGTTTTTACAATAAAATAAATAATGAAATACAACCTCAATTTTTTTACCGCCCTCCAAAGTTGAGGGCTGGAAGAGGTTTTTTACAAAAAAATGAATTTATGATTTCTAATTAGCTCTGTTAATAAGTGACATAACCATTGCTAAAACTAACATTTTAGCTCATCTCAAAAAAATCACAGCCCTAAACCTAATGGTTTAGTTGTATTTGCGATTGAAAGTTCATTATCCTTTTTTTGAAATATCACAAAATTGCAAATATGTCCTGAACTATAAAATTTCGGACCACACGTATAGGGGTTCATTCGATAGGTTTTGAGGCACTCTATCACCTTACCTCCATTGATCCACTACTAACTTTACACCCTGTATACGTATAAATCGTAAGAATTGTGCTGTAAACGTAACTGATGATATTGGAATACCAAAGGATACCAAAAAATCGCAATGCTCAGTTTCTATAGCTATAACTTATAGTTAGTATGCATCTGTCGCCATGATGTGTCAGAAAGTAACACAATGGTGCGGGATTACAAAAGCAAGTGTCAGACTCTAGGGGGATGCGCGCGCCCACCGCGCCCCTCTCTAAGTCCGCCACTGCCTTTTTTCCCTTCAAATAAATAACACTCCGCTCCGACAGGGTAGTGGGAAGCTAGGTTGGCCGGGTGGGTATGAGCGCCGTGCCACTGATCCGCGGCCGGTCGGGCCGTGAGTTCGAATCTCGCCTTCGGAAATAACAATTTGAAGTCATGGATGTACGGCTCATAAACCACCCGGGATCTAGTGTCCCTTTTTTTAAATATACGCTTGATATTTTAAAAGCATACTTTTGTATATTTCCATCTCTCTTCCTCATCATAATGTACAATAATGGTTTTTCCGAAGGTGTAGATAAATACTACATAAATCTCAAAATAATAATAATAAAAAAAAGTTTCTATTTTCTCCTGAAACATTAAAATTATGAGACTTACGATGTTTTTGCACTGACCGTATCAATTTTAAAGAACATTTTTATTAACTTCTCTCTCTCTACTTCTCAAATGGGACATTGCGTTCTCCGGTTAGAAGTATAAAAAAGCTTTTAGGTGGGAGGTATCAAGCCATTTGTTCATCTCTACAGACATGACACATAGTTTGATGAATACTAACGTTCATAAATAAATTCTCACACTTTGGCTAATACGTGCACATACTACGACTTTAAGGTCGGATTTTTGATGATTCCTGAGTTCGTAAAACTACGCAAATACTTCCGTTTTTTTTTTTGGTTACCCCCTCGTATGATAGATTGGATTTATATAATTTGATATGCAGAGGTCGAAGATACATGGTAGTTAAGTGAACCACGATTCGAGTGATTGGTACCGGCAAGGTAAACACGTGTATTTTGCTATTAAATGCTCTTTGAACTAACCCTGTACATTGCTCAATAAACTAGTAGTGATGGCCGGAAAAACAAGCGTTTCGAGATAAATATACTAAGTAACATATAAATCCGAACACCCAGTTTAAATGGTTTTATTTTTATAAAAGTTGATGAATGTATTTATCTTACTGTAAATAACAAGTGGACAAATTTTCAGCCTTATCAGTTGGACATTCCGGTTTTTATACTGCTTTTTTTTTAATTCACTAACGCTCTAAAAATGAATACTTCAGCCGCAGTAAAGAATCAACGTTGGCGGATTTTGGTTCTTAACATCCTTTACGAGCGGTTACGATGCCTAGAGTACGGAGACCTGTACGATTTCGTCAACTTAGTGAGTTTGATAGGGGCCGTATAGTGGGACTTCGGGAAACTGGACTTTCTTTTCGGGCAATTGCAGTTAGAGTGCAAAGAAGTGTAGACACTGTGGTTAGGTGTTGTCAGGCATGGCTTCGAGAAGGCCGTACGCAAAGAGCAAGGGGCACTGGACGCCGCCGTAGAACAACAGACCGTGAAGATCACCGCCTAAGATTATTGGCCTTAAGGGACCGTTTCTCCACTACCAGGTCCATTGCAAATGAATGGTTTGCAGAACACGGAAGACCTATTGGCATGCGAAGTGTTTACCGACGAATGAGAAGTTTTGGCTTGTTTTCATACCGGCCACACTGGGTCCTCCCTCGAAAACACCGACGTAATCGCCTTGAGTGGTGCAGACAACGGTCACTCTGGGATCAGGAATGGAACAGTATTGTCTTTAGTGACGAGTCTCGATTTTGTTTAGGCATGCACGATGGTCGTGCCAGGGTTAGAAGGCGACGTGGTGAAAGGAGGAATCCACAGTTTTTTGTTAAAAGACATGTTCATCACACTGTTGGAGTTATGGTTTGGGGTGCTATAGCTTATGGTTTCAGGTCACCTTTAATCTTCATCAGAGGTAACATGAACGCGCAGCGTTATATCCACGAAGTTCTAGAACCCCATCTTTTACCCTATCTTGACACCCTGGCAGATCCAACTTTCAAACAAGATAATGCCCGACCACATGTTGCAAGAGTCACAATAGACTTCTTTCAACATAATGATGTCACATTGTTACCATGGCCACCAAGATCTCCCAACTTATCCCCAATTGAGCACGTGTAGGATATGATGGGTAGGAGATTGCTGAATTTGCAACGTCCTCCTCAGACTCTAGAAGCACTTCGAGAGGAGTTGGTGGTTGCCTGGAATGAGATACCACAGGAGGACATTGACCACCTGATCAGAAGCAGGCGTAGGCGCGTTGGAGAATGCGTAGCACATGAGGGTGCATCCACACATTATTAAAGGTCAAAGGGCTTTAAAGCAGTGCAATCATTTTGAAATGTTTATCATTTACTTATTATGCTTCATTAAGTAGTTATACAAAATTTTATTAAAATAAAACCATTTAAACTGGGTGTTCGGATTTATATGTCACTTAGTATAATCAGAAATTCTCAAAAAACTATTTGACCAATATACTTTAATTTTGCTATTTTTATTTAGAAGTATGAATCCTACGGATCTGACGAATTTCTACTAGTTGCGTGAAATTATCGTCGCATTACCAACAAGCGCCAAAACCTGCATTTTGCCTCGTTTTTCGGCCATAACTTTTTTGCTATTAGTCAGATCTTTTTACGCGTGGTCTCATTTTGTAGGTCTTATAAATGCCTAAAAGTCTTATATGAAAAGTTTTTCCGTTCCTGTCAACACTTTCGATTGAATCCCAAAAAAAAAACACGTTTTCTCATTCTTTGTTGTTAGATAAAAGTTTTCCTCACAAAAATTGGTGTACTTGTTTTATGCGTCCATCGTCCATGTTTTGAATAGGTACCCCTTTGAACAACTTGGATCAACAAAATCGGACTTTACAATTAATTCGCAAACTAGGGGTATTTTCAATATTTTCATCAAATTAGCAGTGGGGTAGGGACAATGGAGATATACCCCAATCGCGATCGTCGGCTGCCCGATACCTGACAGAGTTGTCATGTTGTTCTTATAGTCTGCAATTCCACGTTCGCAACTACCAAACTGATGACTTACGAACTCCTCTCTCGTCAGTCAGAGTAGAAATTTTACATTGTGTCACATCCATAGTCCTACTAACGTTTGTCTATCTGAATATACGTTTCTTAATTCTTACGAGTTTTACAGCATAATTATTGTTTTTCAAATGGATAGCTAAATTCATTTTTGAAATCTGGCAACTGCGGCTTTTCGACAGCATAGATGAGTCATTGTCAGGAATTTCCTACTTTTGGTTCCATACATAGGAGGCGTTGTTATCAAATGGATTACGACTGGTTGCATACACGTTAGACCTGGTAATCTGTCCTGATAACAGTATCTATGTAAACACATACTCCAATTATTTTTAATAATGCATTATTTAAAATCTTAAATGATTGTGAGCTAAATGTGTAAGGTCACAAAGTGGTTTAATCGAAAATGGCCATCAGGACTGTAAAATCAAGATAAATTTATTTAAAAAAGCACAATTTGAGCACCGAGCAAGATAAAGCAAGATTATTCAAGTTTTATCATCCCTGATATATCAGAAGGTAGGATTATTCATATTATGCATTATCCAATTTATATAAAACTTGTTTCTACTCCATAGATACAAACAGCAATGGCACAGATCCCTCAAATCAAGTACACAAAACTATTCATTAACAACAACTTTGTGGATGCTGTGAGCAAAAAAACATTTCCTGTTGAAAACCCAGTAAATGGGGAGATTGTGGCTCATATTGCAGAAGGGGACAAGGCAGATGTAGACAGAGCTGTGGTCGCTGCCAAGGCAGCTTTTTCTAGAGGATCAACTTGGAGATCAATGGATGCTTCAGCTAGGGGTGTACTCATGTACAAATTAGCGGATCTTCTGCTCGGACATATAAAAGATCTAGCTGCTCTGGAAACACTAGACAATGGAAAACCATACACTGACTCACTCTTCGACATTCAGTGTTCAGCTGATGTTTTCAGATATTTTGCTGGGTACTGCGACAAGATCCATGGTAATACCATACCCTCAGATGGTAACTACTTTGCTCTAACTCGAAAAGAGCCAATAGGGGTAGTTGGACAAGTAATCCCATGGAACTACCCACTGTTGATGTTGTCATGGAAATGGGGACCAGCACTAGCAGCTGGATGTACTATTGTACTTAAACCCGCAGAACAGACACCTCTAACAGCCTTAGCTGCTGCTGCACTCACTAGGGAAGCAGGGTTTCCTCCAGGTGTCATCAATGTTATTCCAGGTAATTTTGGGGTTTTCAAGATCTCCTTTTTTTGTGGTGCATGTAACAGCATCTCAAGCATTACTCCAAATTCAGATCTGCATTACAGTACAGTCGTGCTAATCCAAACACGGCTAATCCGAACGGTTCCGCGGCGAAAATTTTATGATTTTAAAGACGAAAATCCGTGAATATTTCAATATAAAACAGTATAAACCTTAGTTCAAAACAGTTCTTTATTTAATATTTACGCACTGTACATTAAGTTATGGTACAAATTTTAAAATGGAATAAACTACAGAACAGAACACTAATGTTTAGTATGAAAAATTGTGAAACATAAGATACATATAAAATATGTACAGTACAGTACTGATTATGTAGTGAATAAGTACCTAATCCATTACTCCAGACAATCATGTAATCCGAACAGGAGTCGGTCCGATATTGTTCGGATTAACAGGACTGTACTGTACTTCAGATTTTTTTCATAATCATGTTCGAATCCAACAAGGTGAATTGTGATTCTACAAAAAATGGGTAACTCAATCAATAGATATGAGGTTTTATTAAATTTTGTTTATATTTAGTTTTATTTTAAAAGAACTAAAAGTCTTTTATTTGGTCGCCCAATTGCAGCAATACATTTTGAATACAAGTTTTTGAAACAATACAAAAAATCCTCAAAACGTCAGTCCTTTACCATGTCACAATCCCAAAATCGTACGATCAAGTGGCCATCTGTTAAACATTACCATTAATTTAAGAAAACTTGCTATTTAACTACAATCTGTGATGTACTTTGATAATGTATATAGTACAACTTTCATAATATAATATTCCAAGCTTTAGTTATAAAATATTAAGACACAATTTGTGTTTAGTTCCATTCGTCAGTCCGTTGTGTGTTGTTCAAATATAAAATTCTCGCCAAATATCACCAACTCGAGATTGCATCCCTACTAAATTTCAACCTCGGTAGTGAAAAAAAAACAGAATTTGTCTAAAAAATAGTCCAGAAGTAAGTAACTCAACTAAATACTTATCTCCAAAAATATAGACGAGTTGAAAAACAGGTAAAGAAAATTATAAAATCTGATAAAAAAACAGAATTGAAGTGACTGAAGTTATAACTATAAAGAAGGAATTAGTGAAGAAGATGAAGTTATTATAATCAGAAGGATACTACACTAAGAGAAAAATCACCAGATCGGTGCAAGGTCAACATAGGTGCATTGCATTGCTGGAGCTGGTTTATTCAATGATTAGTGATTAGTAGTTCGCTTGTGTGTTGGTACTATGGGGTTGGCAAAAAGGGTCAATCAAAGGTGATCTAGTTCCCAAGCTATATCTGGAGAATACAAAACGGAGCAGTGACTTACAAAAAGACTGAACATAAGCTTGAAAAGAAAAAATAATTAAACTGCAACGTTTGGTTTGGGCAATTTTTATAACATGATGCCAACAGTCGTCAAGCAGCTGGAAAGAAAGAGTGAGTGTGTTATAATATATAATACCATCCAGCAAGTGTATAATATATTTGCTGGATAATATGAAAAATCTTTGTAAGAAGTTTTTGAATTGTTCCAGTTGTGACCAGATATTTCCTATTAACTATTGTTAATAGTTACTATAAGACGTACAATTATTAGATTCGAAGATATTAGTTCAAAGTTTTAATAAATTCCATGTTTTCTATGAAACTGTGTATTTTGCCAGTCCTATGTTACTTTCATTAGTACCATGGCGGTCAATTTCAGAAAAATCGAAATATCTCAAAATCTACAAATAAAAGAGACTGGCAATGTTTGGAACAATATATTCATTAGATTATCTGTCTTAAATATCCGAATATGTAGACATTTGACTATAGTAAACAAAATATGTCTAAATGTTGCCTAGTTTTTGTATATTCACCCTGAACATTTTCGTTACAATCTCCCTATTTTACTTCAAACGCGACTAGCAGAAAATTTCGAAAATGAGATATTTTTTGGATATTATATTGGATGTAGATCATGAAAAACCATGTCGCTCATTTCTGTCAGTCTGTCTGTTCACTAATCATTGGCCGATCTATATTTTATCCTATAAAACTGGGCAAAATTGTTCGATGAGCTGGCAACGCCGCAATCTAGGCGACAAGAATGACTAGATCGTATGTCTATCCCGGGGTAACGACGGAGTCATTTAGTACATCAAAGCGGCAGTTTTCCAATCTACATTTTCATATTTCAAGTCGTCCGCAGCGGGGTGAAACGTCTTATAGCACAGCCGACGTCAACTACGTCGGCTGTGCTTATAGGCGAACTATCAACACCAAGGTCATCCACTCCATGCAAAATCGAGGTAACTGTATTACCGGCATCTCGTGACGTGCTGCTTGCCGGGATTCACGGTTGCCAAGCGTGCCGATTTTTCGCCAAAGTGGAGATTTGACGGCTTCAAATGGATAGCTTAATGATTGGCTACTTTAATGAGCCCAGTATCCAGCAAACTGCTTATATCTGGCGTTCCCTATTTTACTTCAAATGCGACTAGCAAAGAGATATTTTTCGGACGTTATATAACATGTACATCATGGAAAACCAGGTCGCTAATCTCTGTCAGTCTGTCTGTCCACTAATCCTTGGCCCCCATATAAGCTATAGAGCTTGAGAACTGCTTGGATTTTGATGATTTCACACAATTTCGTAAACGCTTTGTTGTTTTATGCGGCGGCGGAGAAAAAGGCCAAAAACAAAACAAAATCGCTCTAACTCTTTTTTTTTTGACGTTTCAGGGAATCCTGATCATTGTTGAAATTCTTTTACGAGTTAGAAATGCAATTGCAATTTGTTGATATTGAAATTAATACACTTGCAATCCCAATAATTCTCGCATCTACTAGGCATATTTCACACATCATCCCTTAACACCTAGGAAAATATTTCCAGTCTCCGGATCGCGTATCTATCAATCGCAGTTGCTATGCTCCCCGGGGTTGTAAATATTGCATCTGTGGTAATGGATCCCAATCACGGGTGGACATGATATTGTCATATAGACTATGCTTGTAGTGTAATTTAACGAGATTACTTGATTTCGTGAGATATCAAACATTGTTGACAAACAGTTTTAGACCAGAGCTCCAAAGAAATCAGGCTGTAGTCACTGCTGCAATCTGAGGGGAATGTTTTCTCATGAAAAGCCCAAATAGTGGCCTAAGGTTTCCACGTCTTTTTGATGCCATTGCACTACATGGAAAATTGTATTAGTAGTTGTTTTGTAGACGTGAAAAGTATAGAGTCATAGTCTACTCGACGTCAACTTTTGAGATTTTCTAGAAAAGGATTTTGAAAAATTGGATATCTATGACTTTTGTAAAAACTCACTTTTTGGCTAAACAGGTATTTTGCATATAACATGAATTTGAAGCTAGGATCTACTTGGAGATCCAAGCGACCCATTGTTTGGCATCAAATCACCCACACCATTAGCTTGTGGTAGTCATACTCGAATTTAGCGACTCAGACTATCTGGCGGACTGTCAAGAGACCTAAATGAAATTTTCCAATATAGAGTCCTACAAGCAAATTTCCAAAAATCGCCGCAGATCTCTGATTTGAATCAGAGCTTGTTTCCTGAGTAATATAGTGCGTAGATTCAGAATCCATTTCACGCTGGGAGCACGGAAGGCCCCAAATATTCCGTTTTGTATCAGAAATTCCTATTCAGGCTTTTTTAATTCGAATTTAGTGCTTCAAATCCAAACCAAATTTCGTTCGCTTGAACGCGCAAAGAACGAAAATGAAAAAATCACATAGCTAAGCCATATTCTTTTCGTCTATTTTACTGAACCAACTTATATTTGTTATTCCAGGTTATGGACCAACGGCGGGAGCAGCTTTGTGTTTACATCCTGATGTCAGGAAAATAGCCTTTACTGGATCCACAGACATTGGGCACAAGATCATGGAATACTCTGCATCCTCAAATTTGAAATCTGTATCTTTGGAACTGGGAGGAAAAAGCCCGTTGGTTATAATGAATGATGCTGATGTTGATGAAGCGGTAGAGATTGCATTCAATGCAATCTTCGCCAATCATGGCCAGAATTGCTGTGCTGGCTCAAGAACATTGGTACAATCTGGAATATATGATGAATTTGTAAAAAAAGCGACTGCAAGAGCAAAAGCCAGGAAAATTGGCGATCCTTTTCAAGAAGGAGTTGAACATGGCCCTCTCATTGACAAACCCCAGTTTGAGAAAGTCCTTCGTATGATAGAATCTGGCAAACAAGAAGGAGCTAAACTAGAAACAGGTGGAAAGAGGTGGGGTAACACTGGTTACTATGTAGAGCCTACAGTCTTCTCAAACGTCACAGATCAAATGACTATTGCTAAAGAAGAGATCTTTGGACCTGTTCAAAGTATTTTCAGGTTCGATTCATTGGAAGAAGTTATTGAAAGGGCAAATGGCACTCCATATGGCCTTGCAGCTGGAATCATCACCAAAAATATAGATGATGCTATGACATATGCACAGGCTGTAGAAGCGGGATCTGTTTGGATCAATTGCTATGATGCTATAACACCCCAGACACCTTTTGGGGGATACAAGAAATCTGGATTTGGAAGAGATCTTGGAGAAGATTCACTCAAGGACTACCTACTTACAAAAACGATTTCTATAAAAGTGCCTACAAAAAATTAATAGAAATCATGAAATGATTATTTATATTGTTATACCATTATTATTTTTAATTGTTCTATATTATAAAACATATTAAACTATCTTTGAGGTGTTTTATTAACTTTTTAAATGCATGTTATCAGCATTTTTTTTCCAAGGTAGCGCCCAAATGCCAATTAAATTTTTTAACCGTTACTTGTAGATTGAAATATAGTATTCATATATTAGTTTCAACACCCAGATTTCAGATTGGTAAATTAGCCCGTTAAAAACGTGCGGAATGAGGAGGGCCTTTCTGAAAAGAATTATATCGACGAAACCATTTACATAGATTTTCGTAACCTGATAGATTTGCGGTTCAGTATTATACTCACAGAACCAGCGAGATAATTGTACAAAAAATCGTCTGTGATCCTGGTAGCAAATCTCGATCGTTACGAAAAACAAAAAGTACCGATATGTGTCTCTACGGAATTTGACGTTCCCACCAAATCAATATCAGGAGCAAGGCACATTTCCCATACCTCCTCGCATTTCTGCGATGCTGATAACAAATCATCTACACGTTCACGTTCTTGCAATACCCTGATGTGATCTGCAATTTACTTGAGATTTTGTATCCTACTCCCCCTTGCGTTTGTGCTATCCTGATAGCAAATCCTCATGCATACCATACTACAAGAAGAGTGTTTTTCACCCGGCAAGATGTATCAGGATAGCAGCGAGAAGTAGTTGTACGGCGTTTGAATTTCCGACAAACTGATGTTAGAAGCAATACACGTTTCTCACACCACCTCGTGTTTCTGCGATCCTGCTAGCAAATCCTCATTCATTCGAGTCTGCAGAAGAGTCGTCTTATGTGCGATTTTCACTCGATAAGGTAGGTAGGGCGTTTGAATTTCTGTAAAAATGAGGTTAGGAGCAATACACGTGTCTGATACATCCTTGTATTACTGCGATCCTGATAGCAAATGCTTATTCATGGGTTCTGCAAGGAGAGCATCAGGTCGCATCTGGAATTTGACGCGCGTTCGAGTCTTCCGCCAAATTGATGCCAGGAGCAATACACGTTTCCCAGTCCTCCTTACGTGTCTGCGAACCTGATGATAAATCCTTATTCATACGATACTGCAGAAGAATGTCAGGTCTGATGTGCGGTTTTCACCCGATCAGATTTTGTATCAGGATAGCAGAGACAGCGAGAGGTAGTTCTCACACCTTCTTGCGTTACTGCGATCCTGATAGCAAATCCTTATTCACACCAAATTGCAAGAAGAGTGTCTGGTCTGATGTGCGGTTTTCACCCGATCAGATTTTGTATCAGGATGGCAGAGACAGCGAGAGGTAGTTGTACAGCGTTTGAATTTCTGTAAAAATGAGGTTAGGAGCAATACACGTGTCTGATACATCCTTGTATTACTGCGATCCTGATAGCAAATGCTTATTCATGCGATTCTACAAGGGGAGCATCTGGTCGGATCTTGAATTTTGACCCGCGTTCGAGTCTGCCGCCAAATTGATGCTAGGAGCAATACACGTTTCCCAGTCCTCCTTACGTGTCTGCGAACCTGATGACAAATCCTTATTCACACCATACTGCAAGAAGAGTGTCTGGTCTGATGTGGGGTTTTCACCCGATCAGATTTTGTATCAGGATGGCAGAGACAGCGAAAGGTACTTGTACGGCATTTGAATTTCTGTCAAAATGATGTCAGGAGCAATACTCGTTTCTCACACCTCCTCGTATTTCTGCGATCCTGACAGCAAATGCTAATTCATGCGATTCTGTAGAAGAGAGTTTGGTCTGATGTGCGAATTTAACCAGATAAGCAGAGATAGTTGTACGGCATTTGAATGTCTGTCAAATTGATGTTAGGAGCAATACACGTTTCTCACATCTCCTTGCGTTTCTGCGATCCTGATAGCAAATCCTTATTCACCCCAAATTGCAAGAAGAGTGTCTGGTCTGATGTGCGGTTTTCACCCGATCAGATTTTGTATCAGGATAGCAGAGGCAGCGAGAGGTAGTTGTACAGCGTTTGAATGTCTGTCAAAATGATGTTAGGAGCAATACACGTTTCCCATACCTCCTTGCGTTTCTGCGATCCCGATAGCAAATCCTTATTCACACCATACTGCAAGAAGAGTGTCTGGTCTGATGTGCGGTTTTCACCCGATCAGATTTTGTATCAGGATAGCAGAGATAGCGACAGGTACTTGTACGGCATTTGAATTTCTGTCAAAATGATGTTAGGAGCAATACACGTTTCTCACACCTCCTTGCGTTGCTGCGATCCTGATAGCAAATGCTTATTCATGCGATTCTACAAGGAGAGCATCTGGTCGGATCTGGAATTTTGACCCGAGTTCGAGTCTGCCGAAAAATTGATGCTTTTCCCAGTCCTCCTTACGTGTCTGCGAACCTGATGACAAATCCTTATTCATTCGATACTGCAGAAGAGTGTCTGGTCTGATATGCGGTTTTAAGCCGATTCAGATTTTGTATCAGGATACCAGAGATAGCGACAGGTACTTGTACGGCATTTGAATTTCTTTCAAAATGATGTCAGGAGCAATACTCGTTTCTCACACCTCCTCGTATTTCTGCGATCCTGATAGCAAATGCTTATTCATGCGATTCTGCAGAAGACAGTTTGGCCTGATGTGCGAATTTCAGCAGAGACAGCGAGAGATAGTTGTACGGCGTTTGAATTTCTGTTAAAATAATGTTAGGGGCAGTACACGTTTCTCACACCTCCTTGCGTTTCTGCGATCCTGATAGCAAATCCTTATTCACCCCAAATTGCAAGAAGAGTGTCTGGTCTGATCTGCGGTTTTCACCCGATATGATTTTGTATCAGGATAGCAGAGACAGCGAGAGGTAGTTGTACAGCGTTTGAATGTCTGTCAAAATGATGTTAGGAGCAATACACGTTTCTCACACCTCCTTGCGTTGCTGCGATTTTGATAGCAAATGCTTATTCATGCGATTCTACAAAAGAGAGTTTGGCCTGATGTGCGAATTTCACCAGATAAGCAGAGACAGCGGGAGATAGTTGTACGGCGTTTGAATGTCTGTCAAAATGATGTTAGGAGCAATACTGCTGCGACCCTGATAGCAAATGCTTATTCATGCGATTCTACAAGGAGAGCATCTGGTCGGATCTGGAATTTTGACCCGCGTTCGAGTCTGCCGCCAAATTGATGCTAGGAGCAATACACGCTCCCCAGTCCTCCTTACGTGTCTGCGAACCTGATGACAAATCCTTATTCATTCGATACTGCAGAAGAGTGTCTGGTCTGATGTGCGGATTTCATCCGATCAGATTTTGTATCAGGATAGCAGAGACAGCGAGAGGTAGTTGTACGACATTTGAATTTCTGTCAAAATGATGTCAGGAGCAATACTCGTTTCTCACACCTCCTCGTATTTCTGCGATCCTGATAGCAAATGCTTATTCATGCGATTCTGCAGAAGAGAGTTTGGCCTGATGTGCGAATTTCACCAGATTATCAGAGACAGCGAGAGATAGTTGTACGGCGTTTGAATTTCTGTTAAAATAATGCTAGGAGTAATACACGTTTCTCATACCTCATTGCGTTTCTGCGACCCTGATAGCAAATCCTTATTCACACCATACTGCAAGAAGATTGTCTGGTCTGATGTCCGGTTTTCGCTCCATCAGATTTTGTATCAGGATAGCAGAGACTTGTACGGCATTTGAATTTCTGTCAAAATGATGTCGGGAGCAATACACGTTTCCCATACCTCCTTGCGTTTCTGCGATCCCGATAGCAAATCCTTATTCACACCATACTGCAAGAAGAGTGTCTGGTCTGATGTGCGGTTTTCACCCGATCAGATTTTGTATCAGGATAGCAGAGATAGCGACAGGTACTTGTACGGCATTTGAATTTCTGTCAAAATAATGTCAGGAGCAATACTCGTTTCTCACACCTCCTCGTATTTCTGCGATCCTGATAGCAAATGCTTATTCATGCGATTCTGCAGAAGAGAGTTTGGCCAGATGTGCGAATTTCACCAGATTATCAGAGACAGCGAGAGATAGTTGTACGGCGTTTGAATTTCTGTTAAAATAATGTTAGGAGCAGTACACGTTTCTTACACCTCCTTGCGTTTCTGCGATCCTGATAGCAAATCCTTATTCACCCCAAATTTCAAGAAGAGTGTCTGGTCTGATGTGCGGTTTTCACCCGATCAGATTTTGTATCAGGATAGCAGAGACAGCGAGAGGTAGTTGTACAGCGTTTGAATGTCTGTCAAAATGATGTTAGGAGCAATACACGTTTCTCACACTTCCTTGCGTTGCTGCGATCCTGATAGCAAATGCTTATTCATGCGATTCTACAAGGAGAGCATCTGGTCGGATCTGGAATTTTGACCCGCGTTCGAGTCTGCCGCCAAATTGATGCTAGCAGCAATACACGCTCCCCAGTCCTCCTTACGTGTCTGCGAACCTGATGACAAATCCTTATTCATTCGATACTGCAGAAGAGTGTCTGGTCTGATGTGCGGATTTCATCCGATCAGATTTTGTATCAGGATAGCAGAGACAGCGAGAGGTAGTTGTACGACATTTGAATGTATGTAAAAATGATGCTAGGAGCAATACACGTTTCTCATACCTCATTGCGTTTCTGCGATCCTGATAGCAAATGCTTATTCATGCGATTCTGCAGTCTTCTGCAAACTCTCTTGAGTTTGGCCTGATGTGCGAATTTCACCAGATAAGCAGAGACAGCGAGAGATAGTTGTACGGCGTTTGAATTTCTGTCAAAATAATGTTAGGAGCAATACACGTTTCCCATACCTCCTTGCGTTTCTACGACCCCGATAGCAAATCCTTATTCACACCATACTGGATAGCAGAGACAGCGAGAGGTAGTTGTACGGAATACGAACTTTTGCCATACTGATATATACATTTCCTACAGATCCTTCCGTTTTTGCGATCCTGATAGCAAATCCTTGTACCACACTGCAAGAAGAGTGCTTGGTCAGATCTGCGACCTTGACCCGATAATAATTTGTATCTAGAGAGTAGATATAGCGATAGGTGGTTGTACGGCATTTGACGTCCTGATAGCAAATCTTCATCCATACATAAAGACTCTGATCTGTAATATTCACCCACTTGGATTTTTGTGTTTCGAGAACCGAGACAGGAAGAGTTAGCTGTACAGCATTACAGTTTTCACCTCCTCTTGGGATCCTGGTAGCAATTTTTACTCATCTGGTTTAACGATTTTCCGAGAGCGAGATAATTGTGCCATTTTAGACCCATCCGACTGTTTTGATGGATCCTGTATCTACTAACCCCCAACCAAAGGAGGGCGATCTTGATCGGGGGTTTACCGTGAATTAAAAAGAAATTTAATATATTTAGCATTTACTTAATTTACAATATGCAATCATACATAAGATGAATTATACCTACAGCCAGAAAAATATCACCACATATTTTAAACTACATTTGAGTTCTAGATCAAGACTGCCTTTTCTAAATGTTTACAGTCCATACTTGTTCATTAACAGAGTTCAATGTAACAGCTAAAATGGGATGTATAAAACATTTCTAAATATACATAGAAAATTAAAACTTGTATAAAAACACCATTTTCGGTACTTCCTTTGTACATTTATTTAATTAAATTCATTATCAGACATATATAAAGCATTCGCACAGTAATACCAAACATGAAATAAGAGAAGTGACGGCGCACTTGCGCAAGGAAATTAAGGGCCAGAGACTATCTGCGCCTTGCACCTGCATTATGCACCAGATCAGGCAGCTCTAGACCAGTTGGAATCGATAGGCCCGACAAATAACGATACACCATGCAGTATATCGCGGTCTATTGGTAACTACGATTTTCTAAACAGTATTCTTTCGTGAATAATACAAGACCAGGCAAAAATATCTCAAAGCTGTGGTGCATTTACCTTACTAGAAAATATCGCCATGACATGATTAAAAAACTATCTAGGCTCCTCAAACTAATTTTCTCACCTAGCAAATATTTTATCAGTTCTGTATATGTATTCCACGTCATATTTTCACAAATATTTCGGTAACGCAATATTATATTCATACTATTAGTGCTACTTTGCACGTATTCGTTTTGATCATATTAAATGCGCCACAGATCAGAGGCATTTTTAGATGTGAACACTATACAGAGTGGCCCATTCATGTGTGGACGGAATATTACTCATAGACAAATACATTTTTGGGCAAATCTATTCATGGGATGTTCTACATGACATTTGAAGGCACATTTCTAAAATATTAGTCATTATACACGGTGTCCCAATTTCGACCTACATATCAAAGTTGTGCTTTTTCAAATGGAATGCCTCAAATTTTATTGCATATTTGGATAAACCAGTTCAAAAGAAGAAAATTGATATAACACACTATGGGGTTTTGGTAAGTAGCTACTGAGATATAAGGTCTTTTGTCTAGAAAAACCGCCCACTTCGGCAACCCCTCAGTCAGCAATTTTCAAATTTGGAGTGCTGAATTTTGTATCAAGGAAAACTTACGCACCTCAGCTTTTATCTTATTTATTACTTTTTCGAATTTTAATTTTTGCTCAAACAAGGTGGCCAAAAACGCAAATTGTAGTTTTTATCAAAAATTACAAATGCATCACCCTGTATATTTGTGCAAGTTTGGATTCAATTTTTTATAAGCTTAGTTCCCTAAAATATCGCATCATCCTTGGAAACAAATAAATCGTTGATTAGTTACAAACTGTCAAAATTAGCTTTGAGAGCATTATAATAAAAACGTGTTTGAAAATGATTTTTTCTAAAGAAGAAATGGTGAATCTGCTGTTCGTTTTGGGCGAAGCCCAAAGAAATAGTTTCCTAGCATCTCGCATTTATAAGCAATGTAACCCTAATATGCGACATCCAAGGCCGGAAACGTTTTCCACACTACGAGAACGTTTTGAATCTAGTGGAGCAGTGGAATATAGTAAAAAAAAATGTATAAATAATCCATGTGTCATCAATGAGGCGAATCAGTTGGAGGTTCTACTCGTATTAAAGTTGCAGGAAAATCCCCATTTAAGTGCTCGGAAAATTGAAGCAGAAACTGATATATGCAGAACTTCTGTCCAAAGGATTTTTCACAAGCATAGGTACCATATATCACCTATGCATGCATCAAGGCCTTTGTCCTCAGGATTTCGCAGCTTGAATGGAGTTTAGTAGAATAATGCTAAATAAAGTGATTGACGACACTACTTTCCTGGATAAGGTTCTTTTTAGCGATGAGGCCACTTTTAACGGCATAGGTGTTGTCAATAGGCATAAAATGCACTATTATGCGACGGAAAACCCTTACTGGGTTTTCCAAAATAAATGGAGCTTGAATGTTTGGGGAAGAGTTATTGGCAGACAAGTTATCGGGCCTTTCTTTTTCGACAACAGATTAACAGAATACTTGAATTTTTTGATTGAGCATTTGCCTTTGCTTTCGGAGGATGTCAACCTGCAAACTCGGATGCATATGTACTTCCAACATGACGGCTCACCTGTGCATTATCATAATCGTGTGCGTAACTAATTGGACACCTGGAGTAACAATCGTTGGATCGGTCGTGATGGGCCTATATCTTGGCCTCCTAGATCACCAGATATTCTTTCTATGAGGTTAAGTTAAGCAATAGGTTTTTTTTTATTTTTTTTTATACTCCAACTAACACGAAGGCCTAAGGCCTATGCACCCATTGGGTACCGTGTGGCTATAGGGGGATACATGGGAAAGGGGGAACGCCACACGGACTCTGGCGAGGGAACACGTGTACATGCAACATGCACACATTCTGGCTCCGCCTACGAGATCCGCCGGGTGGTACCTCCGCTTTCGACAGTCAGAGACCGTCTACCACCTACGGACAATCACAACATCCATAGCCAAGAGAAAAATTTCTCCTGGGACGGGACTCGAACCCGCACAGCTCAGGGCGACTGATCAGGAGACCGAAGAGTCTATTACTGCGGCCACCGCTGCTGCCAAGAAGGTTGATAGATATCCACCATCAACTCCGGAAAATATGAAGGAAAGGATTAAGGATGCTTTTCTGAACATAAGGGATGTGCAACGGTCATTTATCCAAATACTACGGCTGTGTATTCAACATGGTGGAGATATTTTCGAGCAGTTTTTGTAGATTAGGTCTTGAGTAGTGATAGTTGTTTGTTTATGTTGTTGTTATAGTTGTTTTTCACTATTATGCTTGAAGCTGATTTATATTGTTCTGATTGTTATTAGTTTTTACGTCAGATCTGTACTCTTAGTGACAATATGGAACTAGCCCTCTGTTTGTCTTTTGTTTCCATGGATTATGTGATTTTTTTCCTTAATTTTGATGTGTTGTTTTAATAGAATTAAAAGCTTAATAACTCAGAATCTAGTGATTTTATCTGAATCAAACCCTATGCCATAAAGAATCTTATAAAAATTGAATCCAAACGTGCACAAATATACATTTGAAATTTTTGAGAAAAAGTTCAATTCGCGTTTTTGAGCAAAAATGCAAATTCGAAAAAGTAACAAATAAGATAAAAGCTGAGGTGTGAAAGTTTTTTTTTTATACAAAATTCAGCACTCCAAATTTCAAAATGGCGGTTTGAGGTTGCAGAGTTGGACGGTTTTTCTGGACAAAACACCTTAAATCTCAGTAGCTAATTACCAAAACCCCATAGTATGTTATATCAATCTTCTTCTCTTGAATTGGTTTATCCAAAATGTAATAAAACTTGACGCATTTTATTCAAAAAATCACAACTTTGATATGTAGGTCATAATTGGGACACCCTCTAAAATTGCCAATATATTAGAAATGTGCCCTCAAATGTCATGTATAACATGCCATTAATAGATTTTCCCAAAATGTATTTGTTTATGAGTAATATTCCGTCCACACATGTATGGGTCACCCTGTATATTATTTAAACCATAAAACCGTGATGGACAATTCAATTAAAAACATTTACAATCTATAGTTTCCATCATCCGATTTTATCAATTAGGAAAATAACTCGTAACAAGAGGATTGAAGTACACATGCGCCACAGATCAGAGGCATTTTTAGATGTGAACACTATATATTATTTAAACAATAAAACCGTGGTGGACAATTCAATCAAAAACATTTACAATCTATGGTATATTCCGTTTCCATCATCGGATTTTATCAAGTAAGAAAATAACTCGTAACAAGAGGGATTGAAGTACACTAGCAAGACTAAGAGTACAAGCAGCTTTTAGAAACATATATCAGTGTTTCAGTTTGCTTCCATATCAACCCAACATTTCTCATGGACCGACTCATGTTTCCTCTTTGTTAAACAATATTACCTAAAAATTCGTAGCTACCAATTCATTTTAATAGATACATTCATTTGCCAGGCCCTCACAGATTGCAAGCATGTTCCACAACAAACATTAATTCTAAGGATAAACAAAGTCAATATTTGTCGTTTCACATAAGGACTGCTGAGCAGATCTAGCATGTTTGCTTTTCAATGCACACTGGATTCAAATTTTTGAGTAATGAGATAAATTTGATCAACCTATCACCTAATACTTCTTGAATTCTATATGCCAAAATCAAAATACCGCTAAACTGATTGGGAGCTAACAATCTTGAGAGAAGATTGGTTTCTTGTACCAAATTAAAAGAAACCAAAACGGGAGTCTGACTACTCATTTTAACTGTTAAAATTGTCACAGCCCCCTCACCACGAAAATAAAATTACATCATAATGATCCTAAGCTGATGAGACCTGTTATCAATTTTGAACAATGGTTCTTCCACTCATATTGCAGGATGCTACCAAAAATTGAATCTGATTACTCATTTTAAGTGTCAAAATAGTGAGAATTAAATAATCCCTCACCAAGGAAATAAAATACAACAAAACAGCTACTTAAATAAGTAGTAACAGATTTTTAGCAATGGTTCAACAATAAAATTACAATTCAATTCTATATACTTCATGTCAAAGTTTCAGACACAAGAATTAATGCAAAAATAACTGTAAAATGCTTCTTTTAACTTCAGCTTTTTCCACGCCAAAAGCTTTAGTTACCGAATATATAGAAAATACAATTACCAGGATTCACCAATTTTCCCAGATAACCAAAATGAGCATCTCATATTTTATTAGAATTCGTTACTGATATATACAAATAAATACTTGCAACGGTTACCAATTCACATGGTCCCAGTACGTCAGTTGCTGATACTATATTAAAAAACTTAAAGCTTCTATTTAAAGACTGAAAAATCTGATCTGCCCTTGAAACTCATGCCAACAACAAACCTCGTCTTATTTAGCCTAAGAAGCTTATTTGTTGACAGACATGTACGCCATCTATCGACAAAATTAATAATAAATAACATAAGTAACATGGATGTATGTTTAACATTTTCCAGAAAGACGTATGTTGCTTAATTTACAAAATGGTACAATTAATGGATTACACTATGTGAATGAATTCTTGATCGCTATTCAGAGATCCGCATCTCGTATATAGTCTCGATGTAAATTGTCTGTCAACATTCTCACTTCCGCAAACACACTGTCATTATGGTAAAGGTCTCTTCTTCACGCACTATACACAGGGGTCTAATCTGTACACCACCAAGGCCGCATAGACAAATCCCACAAGCTCAGGGTCGATCTTTTGCTTCTCACTTTCATATCTTCAAATGCTTCTTTGTGTAGATCATACCTAGCTTATCCTACAGTAATATGGTGGACATGGAGTATCTTCTTCAAGGACCACCTCTGAAAATACGAAAATATATTTGTTCCCTTTCTTCACAACATTTTCAAACATCATCAAAAATACGATGAAAAATACAGGTGGGTTGTTTGGGATTTGAAAAATTGAATTTAGATCATAATGTTCATGTACATACATGACCTTCAGGCGACTTCCACAGGATGTCACTTGACATGTTTGACATTAAGGAATGAACCAAATTTCAAACGTACGATATGATTCGAAACTAATTTAAATCATACATGCAGAAGAAACAAAAACACAAGAAGGTACATACGTATATCGCGTTCTATCAATTTGCCTGAAGTGACTTGCAAGAAACGAAATTATTTTCATTTATAATTTCATATTAGTATCGGGTTTTCCAATATGGAGTTGACAACTTTGAAGTTTCATTGTGAACGCTCCTTTAAACAACGCCTACAAATAAAATTTACTACCGAAATTCCGAGTCGGTGACTGCAACTTTAAGAGCGTCAACGCCAATTTTTGCTCATAATTTTCGTCCCAGTAGACAAGCAATTCATAGTCTAGTAAAAACATTTTAGTCCACATATTCGCTGCTGGATGTAACCGTGCCAGTGAGACAACGGGTTGGTCTAAGTGCCAAGAATATTGCTGCCGTTCAAGCTTCCGTCGCGAACGAACAGAACACGTCTATTCCACGGCGTTCTAAAGAAATGGGCATCGCTCAGACTACACTATGGCGAATTTTGCGAAGAGATCTTGGTCTGCACCCTCATAAGATCAAGTTAACTCAAGAACTGAAGCCGTTCGATTATATGAACCGACGTACGTTCTCGAATTGGGCTCTAGAAATGTTGCAAGAAAATGACCAATTCCATCGCAAAATCATCTTCCGTGAAGAGGCGCATTTTTTGCTAAACGGCTTCGTCAACAACAGAATACGCGTTATTGGTCAGGTGAAAACCCTCATGTACTTCAAGAAATACCACTTCATCCACAAAAAATAACGTGTGGTTTTCATTTCGTTGGTGAAAATGACCGTCACGTTACAGTCAACGGAGATCGCTACAGAGACATGTTGCAACGTTATTTTTTTTTTTTTGTCAACTGGATGGGCTAGATATTAATGATATGTGGTTTCAACAAGATTGTGCCACAACAACAATCGACATATTGAAACAAAATTCGGTGAACGTGTTATATAGAGATAGTGTGATTTAGCACCTCTAGACTTTTTTGTGGGGCTACATTAAATCATTGGTCTATGCCAACAAGCGGGCGTCGTTAGAAGAGCTCAGAACCAATATTGAACGAGAAATAGCTGCCGTTTCTGTCGAAATGTGTTTCATGTGTCATTGAAAATTGGGTTCAACGAATCGATCGCTGCGAAGGTGCCCATGGTGGACATATGAACGAGGTCGAATTTCATACATCCATGTTTTGAGTATATTCAATCCAGGAATAAAATTTTCGAGATATCTCAAATGGTATGCGTTTTGTTTAAAGAGCAAGTTGTAAAGTCCTTAATGGAAAATCCTTTATTAGGTACTTAACTAAATGTTAAGTGGCACTTAGTATTGCGCAATACTTTAAACCACTTGACCGAATGATTCATTATATTTACCGTAACTGTTATTTCAGTAAATAGTATTGTCACGTTTCAAAAGAACGATTTTCTGTGAGTTTTAGATGTCTAAAAATAATATTCAGTAAATACGTGATACACCTTATTGTGTTCTTGGTTTGCAGGCGTTTTATCAATTCGCTTAAATTCGCTAAATATTCCCAAATTGTACCGCCTTTTTAATGAAATGCCTCAGGGATTAATAAAAATTCTACAACAGATAAAAGTATAGGGTGTCTCAATAAGAGCGCCGGATTTGAGTTTCAAGAAAAACAATTTTTTTCGAATTAAGCGAGTATTTATATTTCAACATGACGAGGAATAGTTGCGATTAAATATGAATTAAGATATTCGGTAAATGGCCACCACGAAACCTCTGGCACAGAGTCAGTCTTTTCTTAAAATTCTGAATAACGTTTTAGCACAACTGTGGCTCCATTTCATCGATAACGCGCCACATCTCTTCTTTAAGGCGTTCAACTTTTGTGAATTGTTCGCATACACCCTTTTCTTCACAGCCCCAAAGGAAGAAGTCAATTGGCGTTAGATCGCACGATCTTGGTGGGCAATTTTGATCGCCAGATGACACGGTCTGGAAACTTGGTCCGCAGTAACACCATTGTTTCGCGTGCTGTTGGAAGAACATATCAATTCGATCCAACTGGGGTCTCAAAAACTCGGTTAACATTTCGCGATACCGCACACCATTAACAGTTACTGCAGTTCCAGCTGCATTTTTGAAGAAATACGGTCCAATCACTGTGCCACTTCACAATGCGCACCAAATGGTAACTCGCGGCGGAGGTATTGGTTGTTCGATTATTACACGAGGGTTTTCAGAACCCCAAATTCGGCAGTTCTGCTTATTGAACGTACCCATTCAGTTGAAAATGTGCCTCATCAGAGAAAATGATTTTCTTCGAGAAATCCGCATCAATTTGGTGGTGTTCCAGCGCCCAATCAACGAATTCATGGCGCTGCGCATGGTCCTTTGGCTCGAGTTCTTGCGTCAGTTGAACACTGTACTCGTACGCATGCAAGCACATATCTTTTCTCAAAATGGGTTGCAGAGAAGGTCTAAAAAGGTTCAATTCTTAGCCACGATGCCGAATGGAAGAGCCTGGATTCTTGGCCACACTATACCGCACTGCGACTATATTTTAGGGGGACCGACCAGAACGGCGACAAACAGTGGTCTTCACATTCAGCAACGTGAATTTTGCCTGAATTTTTGTAATTAAACGGCGAACTGTCGACTCATTTGGCGCATTATTGCGACCGAAAATTGTAGGTAATTTGCGAATTGTTTCCGCGTAATTTTCTCCATTTATGTAGTGAGTTTTACCAATAATTAAACGTTGCTCGTTTGAATCCTGCTCCATGACGTCTAATCGCGTGGTCTGGACATGATGGCTGTCATCAAGTAAACACCATACCATTTGTACAAAAAAAAGTAGTGGCAAATTCAAATCCAGCGCTCTTGTTGAGACACCCTTTATAAGTAGTTTGAAATTCTGCTTGAATGTGAATGATGGCTTTGCGATCTTTTTTCAAAATTATTTACCTGGATCGACCTTGCGCTGCGTTCGGTGTCTACAGAGGTAGAGGGGATTAGCTGCGAGATATCTGGAACAGCACTTTGGAGAGTAGTAGCGCCACCTGTTGATCAAGTATCTGACTCATGACCAGATTAAGTAGCCTGGACTCCTGCTGCACTAGCAGTGCTTTGTTATCAGGATGCCGAGCCAGGAAGACCAATGTGGCCGCTGCTCGCCTTAGCATGTCCAAGCTGGTCCCCATCGAATCTGGGTTTTCCCTCAACGCGCTTATACCTGAAACAAAATAGGAAATTAAATCCTCACTGAAAGGTGAAAAATCAGTAGGCTAATTACGTTTTGCAATCGCAAAAATCGCATTAGGTAAATAAAGTTGTACTCGTATTGCAAACCTTTGTATGATGGTGAAAGTATTCGAATTTGTAAAAATGAGAAATGATTTCCAATGTGCATGTCTATTATTTAAGTACAAATCAGAATTTCTTACCGTGTTGGTTGGCCACCCCTAAAGCACTAACTTCAGCCTGTTCAATAAATGCCACCAACAGTGATACACAAGGTGTCTGTGAAGCAACTACTCTCGCCATACTGCTGTCTGCTGCTGCTAAGTAATGCAACAGGTTTATGGAAAATTCTCGAAGCACCTGATCCTCTGACCTGAAAACAAAATAATAACATTGCTAGGTTTAGCGAGAAGGCACTTTTCCGTATAAAGCCTAAAGCGCGAACAAAAGCAACGAGAAAAACCTATTTCCAGTAGGGCTCTGTTACTCCATAGGGGATCCTCGTTAAGACTTTTTATGGAACCCATTATGTATCCATCGAAGAAAGATACTAAATCTAAACATATTCACGTGTACTCCACGTGAACGCCGAGCATACATATATTTGAAAATAAAAATCAATCTAGATCTGAGGCCGTGGAATTCCCACTGTCAAGATTTATGATTAAAGGGGCAACGTGCGTATCAATGATACCGTCTAATTCCCACGTTTTAGGTTCGACCTTTTCTTTTACATGCTGAATACGTTTCTCCCACTTATTCGGTGTTATTCTTTGTATAGCAACATGAAAAATATTTTTAAGGTCACAAAATTTAAAAGTTTTATTTTCTGCTGTAACATATTTTTTTATGTCTGCTCAAACGAGCTCAATCGGATTGAGCTCACAATGGTATGGAGGCAATCGTAAAACAGTTTTATTCTGTTTTTGGCCATCTCATCAATTATGTTCAGGTTATATTTATTTTTATGCGCCTTGACAATTTGTAACAATTCTGCCTGAACCATTGTATCACCATAACCAGTCTTTTTATTTTTAAGCCATGCTTGAATTTGATTTTTTTGTTGACGTTGTTGCAATTTTCTCGTGTGGTATGAAGCATTATCTAATACTATAACCGAATTATCTTCAAGCTTCGGTAGAGTATTTGAGAACCAATTTTCGAATGAGGCTTCATCCATTTCTTAATGGTAGTCTCCCGTTCAAATGCCCATAAAGCATCGGACACAAATTCATCGTCATTACCGATGTGGCAATCGCTTCTCTTTTCCTGAAAATAATTCATTTTGAACACTTAGAAACCTCTCCCATTGAAACCATTATTAAAAACCCAACAAAACGATTACTTGATTTCTTATCTCGATATAGTTTAAGCATTTACAAAAATAAAAATAAAATATGATTAATATGTAGATGTCAGTCTGCGCAATCATACCAGAAATACGTACGTATGTGCTTTGAAATATTACCAAAGGGATTTTTTAATCCAGTGGATAGTCCATTCAAGAACGCTTGCTTTGAAGATTTTATGGAAGAATCCATCCAAACCTTCGCCTGTGTAAGTCCTGCGTTGACCCATGTTTCATCTAGGTAGTATATTTTCCTACCTTCTGCACGAAATTATCTCATTTGTCTTAGATAGTCCCTTCTCCAGATAACTATTTCGTCTTTTTCCAATAAAAGACTGTTTCATTCCCGCTTTTTGTATCTGAACCCCATTTCTTTTAATAATTTATGGAAGGTAGATAGATCTCTTGGCAAGTCATTATCCTCGTTAACCAGCTTCAGCACGTTATCCACCGCTGGTGATTCATTACGAAAGAAAAAAATATGCACAATGCGGTTCTGTCGAAGTCATATTTGGCATCGTTGATTTTTTTTCTTCGCGACCAGTGAATAGTTAGATCAGTACTCCCGAACAATTCGGTAAACACTTGCACGACTAAAGCCCGAAATACTTGCTACTATGCAAACAATGTCCTGAACACTCGAGTCACTCCTTCCTTGCATTTCGTGTTTATAAATGTTAAGAATCATTTGTTTTTCGCTAACGCTAAAATGAAGCCTTTTACCTCTTTTTTTAGGCGGTGTGCAGCTAATATCAACAACTTCATCAGCTGTATCCGTGTCAGACATTTTGAGTTCTACGAAATTAAACTGACAAATCTAATACTAGTATAAATCTGATGCCAACTCTGTACTGTAAATATATATATATATACATATATATATATATATATATATATATATATATATATATATATATATAGCATTAACGGCCGGTCATTGTTTTGGTTTAGTGTCTTTCTTCGATACATACATAATAATGACTTTATTTTTTGTGTTCTATATGCATATGAGAGACAGGCATGTTATACTGGGTCACCCTGTATGCTTCTCATGTTAGGGTCATCGAGTATATAATATATTTCGAAAAAGATCTCGCAACGCAGCAAGCAACGTTTCCGAAATACCGGGTGATTATCCCTATAACTTTTTTATTATTGAAGCTAGAAAAACAAATTTTGGGAGTTGCGTATTATAGATGAATTTACATTTTTTGACATATTCACTTGCTTTGACAGACTTCCGGTTTGACCGGAAACGACTCCAACTTTCGATTTTTGAATGGTACACCCTATATATTTTTACTTATTTAGAATGAGAATGACATTCTGAACTCGACAACGCCTCGCATGTCAATATTTGACAAATCAAGTAATTTGTTATAAGATGAACGCCCTCACCTGCACAAATGTTTCGTGAGAACAGCGCAAAGCCTCTCTAGCCTGGAGAACGGTGGTGTGGCTATTACCAGATCTACATTGCTGTTCGTAACGCACAGCTTGCACAGGGCTTCAAGCGCTAAGCGCTGTGGAGACAGCAAGGACGAAGGCCCTACAGAAGCGAAGGGATCCTGCCCGGCAGCCGAGGGACAGATGGCCCAGTGAAGCAGCCCATCTAACAATGGCCTCGCTACGTCTTCATCGAATATCGACACGTCTATTTGGCCCGCTATGTTCGATAAAGATACCAGAATGTTCTCGCGTATTTGAACTAGAAAATCCCACCACCATTCACTCTCGCCCTGTAAGCTGCTACATGAATCTGCGAAGTCGGCATCCTCCTGCAAAAAAAGCTGACTTGAGTAAAAGGTAGGTAAAGACACAATAATCAAAATACAATCAAAAACAGTAATTTCCATATTATTCAATGTCAAGCTTTACCAAATTCAGCGTATTTTAAAAGTAGAATAGATTCAAGTTTTTCAAATGGAGTTTACATTACATAACAATAACGAATTTTCAAAAATGAATGGTGTGAGAGACAATTTATGTAATATTAAATACCATACTCAAAAATACAAAAGATGTTTCAGAAAAGTCTTTTGTGGTGGAAATATATATTGTCCTCTGTCAAGCTGTTATTGGTGAAATTAAACACCAAAAACCAATTGTACAACATTCATACCTAATTCTGCTAATAAAATCAACTATGGTTTTGATATGACATTTTTTGAGATTTGACAATAACGAACGAACAAAATTTAATTGCAAAAGTTATGCATACTCCTAACATCAGTGATCATTCATGGATATGTTTTGAAGTTGAAAGTAAATTTGATACTAACAAAGTGGAAAAAATTACTAATATCAACTATGTAAAATTACGAGAGCCTCTTTTACTGCAAGATATGATTTAAGTGTTTGTTGATGTTGATAGCTACTATACAAGCCCATTGGATAATGTTGAAGTTTATATGAAAGAGGCTACAGTCAACACAACAGTTTATAAAGGAAAAAATCCAACACCTTGGTTCTCGCAGACGTTCAGGGATTCTTAAGTAAAAAGAGACTACAATTATAAAAAGTTCGATTGCAGGGAGTGGAAATGATTGGCTAGAATACACAATATCAAGAAACCAACTTGTAGCAGCTCTACGAGATGAACAGAAAAAATATTACAATGCCAAAATTGATGAGAGTAAAAATAATAGCAAACAGATGTGGAAAACGTTGAAAAACAATGTTTCTCCTACCATAAATACATTATCTAAAATGAAATTCCACGATGGGGTAATATCAAATGAAGAAATAATAGCAGATCGAATGAATACCTATCTCATAGAAAGTGTCAACGACATTGTAGTATCAATTATTGACGGGGATCCCAACCAACGTCCCATTAGCTCAGATTATAATGCATCATTCAGTGAGTTTAGAACAATAAATATTAATCGTCCCAAGAAGGTTATATCAAAAATTAAATAAAATCAAAATAAGAGTGAGATTTTGTCTAATTTAATGAATGTTTTGATATTACTGGAGCAAGATTATTAATCCTGATACATATTACTGTTTAAAATATGGCGAATTTCCAACAAAACTGAAGTGTTCTGTCATAACTCCTGTTTCGAAAGTTGACAATTCTGAGTTGTACACCAATATGCGGCCAATAAATGTTCTGCCAGATGTTGAAAAGGTTTTTGAAAAAATTATTTACGAACAGATCATGAAGAAACTATTTAATTGACAGAAGTGAAAACCAAAATTGGATCTGCATCATCAAGATATTTCTGTTGGTATACCACAAGGTAGTAGACTAGGTCCATTACTATTTATTTTATACATTAATGATATTTGTACTATTTTAGATTATTGTAAAATTCAGATATTTGCAGATGATACGTTAATGTACAATCACATGAAAATATAGACACTGCTTTAAAAATGCAAAAATCATAAATTGGTTAAATGTAAATAAACTAAAATTAAATACTTCTAAAACAAAATGTATGCTAATAGGGAAATACCTAAACGAAAATACTATCACAGTTGAAGTTGAAATGTTGAATCAATTAAATATTTAGGTATACATATTGACAGTAAACTAAAGTTTGAGGATCACTATCACATTATTTCAAAAATTGCCAACAAAAAACAAATTACTTTTATATAGCTTCTCATAGTCTTGGAACATATTCCAAGAAGATAGTTTATAATTCAATTATTCTACCGCATTTACTATATTGTTCAACTATCTTGTTCACTACCAATGAAGCTGTATTCTCAAAATTACAAGTCCTGCAAAATAAAGCTATGAGAATAATATTGAATAAAAATAAGTACATCAAAATAAAATCTATGTTACAAGAATTGCAGTGTTTGAATAAAGTAGATTTCATATATTTGGTTCTTATTTTTATATTTAAAATAAAAAACATCTTTTGCCACAACATTTAAAACACTACATACTATAGAATAGAATAATTATTACCAGAATTATTATACAAGATATTTTCATTTACAAAATTGCAATATTAATATAACTAGCAAATCAATATTTCAGAAAGGGTTATTTGAATTTAATAAACTAAATAATGATATAACGTCTACTTGTAATTTAAAGATGTTAAAACAAAATTAAAGGAATATTTCATTGACGGTGAAAATTGTTAGAGATGCAAATTTATTTTTTTTCTAAATATCTGTATGTTATGTAGTTGCTTAGTTTTTTTAAAAGAATGTAATTGTAGCAATCATGCTAAATAAATCTGAAACAAACAAACAAACAAGTACTCACCTCTCTATCGTAATTCCTAGTCTTTTGCGTTCTAGGCGGATGTTCGTGATGCAGCAAGAGTAGCTTTCCAACGAGAGCGAGGAACGAGGTGTTTTTAGAGAATTCAGTCTCATTGCCTGGTATAAACGTGAGACTTCGCAATATGTTCGATATACAGACGCACCGTTTGCCCAAGTTGTCCTGGCTCTCCGTTATCAAAACTAAACTTGCTTCATCTCGTGTGTAAGCTTCGTCTTCGTAATCGGAGATCCGCCGCCGTTTCAAACTACCTGCCGGATCCTTGATCACCTCATGCTGGAACAGAAAACGAAGTTTTAAGATTAGTTGAACGCCATATGGCGATACATATCGCCGTAAAAGTTTTGTCAAGAAATGATCGTGGATCCCGAAATATTAATTGCAAAAATAGAAAAACGGGCCCCTCTTGAACTGATATTGTCAGTTTTTTAATTCAGGTTAGGTAATAGCACGAGCTATACAACTCGTGTTGTTTCGCTGCGAGTCAATTTAATGCCCGTGTGTCTCGACACACAGTGGGTTATCTATGCGAAAATGAAAATTACAAAGTATCGAAAATAAATGATAATTATAACCTATTTTAATACCATGAACAATAAGTTGGTCATGTAATCAGAAATTTGCTCACACATGGCAGGTAAACTTGAAGTTTGTGGCGCATTCCTCGACACTTCTTTTAAGAGGCACAATTTTAGAGCGTCTGTATCATCCGTTATGTTGTGTATTGAAAACATTTGAACATCTTAATAAGGATCATAATAAAGAGAGTATGAACTTTCCTTTGATGTAATAGAAATATGTCATTATACCGGGAATTGAACGGGTTACTATTTTCAGCTTCTTTATACTAGTATTATTCAGAGAGGTTTTTAATGCAGTTCCGCCCATTGTTCCAATGAAAATAAATGATGTTTATGAACCTCGAAGCCCAGCCAGATAACATGAGTGTCAGTTGCTAACTTGTGTGTAAATTATTGGGAAATACCTTACAGTAGCGGACAAAAGTTTGTAAACAAATATTAACATTATTATGAACTATTTCATATACCTAAATTAACTATTTCATATACCTAAATTAAAATTGTGGAGGAACAGATAATATAAATATTAAAGTCTACCTTTGGCTCCCATACTAGTACAAGGTTTATCATATCAATATTCAAATTCTCTAAAAATAAAAACACGCGTTTTTTTTAAATACCACAGTTTTGGTAACGACAAAAGTAAGGAATCATCTCAGGTTTGCCGTATTTATTCGTTCTGCGATAATCTGATATTGCGCGCGGTAAATATTAACATCAGTGAGAATGGAAGAAAAAAAATAATTTTCAAAAGATTTAAGAGGCAAAGTAATTGAGTTATTTAGAAATGGTGTCAGAAATGCTGACATTTCTCAAGATTAAAAATGAACAAAGGGACGATTTCGAAAATTATTAACAAATATCAAGAAATACCGACTACGTTTTGGATCGCTACATTATACGTTTGTCCCATAAAGATCCTCGTAAGCCAGCCACACAAATTTTCAAAAGGAGAGGGGCCGAGAATCTTTCTGCCAGAACAAAGCAGAGACGCTTGGTGGATTTTGGGCTTTTTGGTAGGCGTCCAGTGCAAAAGCCTCTCATTAAAAAAATCGTATTGTTTGGCTTGAATTTGCTAAAACTTATCTACCTTGGACAGAACAACAATGGAATACAGTTTTATGGAGCGATGAAAGCAAATTTAACTTGTTTGGATCTGACAACAGTTAAGCACGGTAGAGGCAACATCACGGTTTGGAACTGTTTTTATAGTTCAGGAACGGGTCCAATTGTTAAAATTGTTAGAAAAATGGATTAAAAACATTACAAAGATATTCTTAGTGAACATGCTCCCTTTTGTTGAAAAACAAATCATGACCCCAAGCATACCTCAAAATTCGAAAGGGCTGGTTAAGACTAAAAAATGTTAATGTTCTTACATGGCCTTCGCAATCCCCTGACCTAAACCATAAAGAGCATATCTGGGAGCATGTCAAGACAAGAAAAACTTAAAAAAATAGGATCCATTTATTTGATTATGTAAAAAACATTTGGCAAAATATCCCAACAGACTTCTGTAAAAGATTGGTGTCTCCTATGAGCAGCAGACGTCAGACAGTGTTGAATGCTAAAGGCTATGCTACCAAATATGAACTAAACAGTATTTTTTAAATCTTTTTGTATAGTTATTGTATTTAATTTTGTAATAAAAATATCTTTCCATACTTTTTGGTCATAAAATAGTATGAAGGTATTTTAATGCTAGTTTGTAGTACCACAGCAAACACAAATTGTCATTTGGATCCGCAAGACTGTAAGCAAACTATATGAGAAAAAAAATAGTCCTTATTAATAAATAATTAAAAATTAGCGCACATTTTAAAAATTACTAAGGATGTTTCCAAATTTTTGTCCGCTACTGTATATACTGCCATAGTATGACAGGTCGTCGAAAACGATTAAACTTTTTCGAATTTATCCTTTAAAATACGCCAAAACCCTCTTCAGAATACCTTTCTATAGACAAACTTACTTCTGATTTGGACTCAACTACCGCAAAATCCTATATGACACGCATCTGGACTGGAATACTAGACTTATTTCGAATTTGTCCTTGAAGTGACCTTGAAAACACCTTCAGATGCCGTTATAGTGACCAACTGACCTATGATTCGGATCTAGTGAACTGAAAAACCTAAATGAGGTTGGTATCAACTGATCGACTCTTTTTGAAAATGTCCTTGATATGACCAAAAAAAACCCTTTTGTACTGAAAATCGAATAAACGCCATAGACAATTGTATTTTTTGCAAGAATTTCGGTGTTTTTGACCACTGTGCAACAGTAAATGATCAGCTATAACAAATAACAAAAAATGACTAACCTCGTGTTCCTTTGATTCACCATACTCCCCATTTACACTTATATTCAGATCTATACTCGACTGCTCTTCACAGTTCATTTCACTCACTACTTCAGTCTTGACTGTTGTCTCGCTAACATCAGAAGAGTCCTTCTTAATTCGAGATATCACATCACTTAGGGTCTTTATCCTCCGCCGTTTGTCGCCGTTTCTGGTGGGAGGTGGTGCTTCATCAGGGGGTGGCGTTTTCACCCTGTTATCCACGTCATTTTCTTTCTCTCCCTCTTCTTGGGGCTCTTTGGACTTGTCCCTCAGCCGCATATGGAACGGGATGCGACCGAATTCTGCCTGGAAAGGTGGCAGGATGTGATCAGACGATGTGTGCCATGGGTCTGATGGAATCTCGGCCAAAATACTTGCGTCGGTGGTATCGCCTTTCGTATCCCAATCCTGCAAAAATGAAAATTTTTTATCAAAAAATGCGCTGTAGAATGCTCGTACATTCTAAAAAATCATCTCATCTCCGAATAACGCCATTCTCGATCACAAATACAGTAATGTCCGCTTATAACAAACCCGTTTATTGCGAACTTCCGTTTAATAACGAACTAATTTATATATATATAAGGTACCGACTGAAATGATATTAAATGTGTGCTATTTTTCTCGCATATAACGAACCCGTTTATAACGAACCTCCTGATAAAACGAACCTAAATGTTTGATATATTCGTAAAATCTTTTGGTTATAACGAGCGTAAAACTGGATTTTACCAGAATCAGGTAACCGAAATCTTCCAACCGCGTGGTGGGGTATGAACAATCGTCAGCGTCTACCGCCAGTCCGCCATTTAGTCTGATACCTTCTTTATTCGTTGTATTCAGTGTCCTGCACTCTTGAAATCATGGGTGATGCAATTTCTAAGAAAACACGTAAAGTTCTTACTTTAAATAGTAAATACGATATCGTCAAGAGATTGCAAGGAGGTGTGAAGCAAAGTGAAGTTTGTTCTGAAATGAGATTAAGTAAATCAACGGTGAGTACTGCACAATAACATGTCCTATACATACATAAATAAGCACTCTGAGATATGAATTTGATTTACAATTTTTCATCTTGATTACAGGTTGGTACAATTTGGAAAAAATATAAAATACTGGTAATGTTTCTCAAACATTAAACATAAATGTGAACAAAATTAAAAAGCTCACGAATTATAAAGTTGATCAGGGACTTCTGAAATGGTTTTCTCAACAGAGAAATAAAAAAGTAACCATAAGTGGTGCTATACTGCAATCGAAGGCTGAAGACCTTGGGAAGAAATTATTGTAATATGAAGAACTGAGTGAAGAACCTAAATTTAGTAGAAGCTAGATGGAAAGATTCAAAAGACGACATAACATTACCAGTGGAAAAATTGTTGGAGTCTGCTGCAGTTGATATGGACTGTGTGAATAACTGGTTGCGGAACAAGTGGCCAATCATTAGAAGGAACTTCAAAGACGAAGACATATTCAATGCAGATGAATTGTGGTTATTCTATACACTGACAGGTCCTTAAGATTCAAAGGCGAGAAGTGTGAGGGTGGGAAGCTATCTAAAGAAAGAATCACTGTGCTTGTAGTGGCAAATCTAACAGGGACAGAAAAAAGAAAGCTATTGGTAATTGGAAGATCGAGAAGCCCTTGATGTTTAAAAACGTTTCACAGTTGCCAGTTAATTACAAATCCAATAAAAGAGCATGGATGACCTCAGAGATTTTTGATGCTGAACTGCGTAATTGGGATGTTGAGTTACGCCGCGAAAAACGAAAAATTATATTATTAGTGGACAATTGTCCATCTCATCCACATGTTAAAAATTTGGACTGTAATAACCTAGTGTTCATACCCCAAACGCGAGTTCTAAACTACAGCCTATGGATCAGGGTGTAATCCACAGTTTAAAAAGCCATTATCGTCAAGTTCTTCTCTCGAGAATGGTAGATTTTATTGCTGGTGGCGCGGAAAATTTTACAATCAATCTTTTGTGTGCAATAAACATGGCAGAAGGTATCAAAATAAACAATTTTAAATTGTTGTAGGCATGGGGGTTTCTTGGAGGTTGAGGATCATTTTGATCCCGACGATGACCTGCCATTAGTTGAGAAAGAAAATTTAACAGGAAGTCGATCTTCGAGACAATGTTAGAGCCAATCTTCCTTATAGTGAAAACGATTTCAATGAGTTTGTTCATATTGATGACCAAGTTGTGACTGTCGAATACCTGGATGATGATGCCATTGTAGCAGCTACATCCTTTGGCAGTTGATACTGATGATGACGAAGAAAAGGAAAATGAAGATGAAGAATCTGTCGGTATGGAACTGATACCAACTCCAACCACATCAGAAGCACTTCGACATATTGACGGCGTTTGTCATTTCCTTCAGTCACGAAATACTCCGCAGCGTGTGCTAGATCGACTAGCTGAAGTGGAATTACATATTAATATTCATTTCACAAAAATAAACCAAACTAAAATTAATGAATTTTTTTACAAGAAAGATTTTCAAAACTTTTATAAATGTGGATTATAGATATTATTATATACTATTACAAACATTTGATATACCCATGGTTGAATAATAAACTTATGAAAAATATTTTCTGGTATTAGCATTATTTATCGTTTATTACGAACTTATTGCGAACCAGTTTCGCCGGTCCCTTGAGGTTCGTTATACGCGGATATTACTGTACAGGGTGTTCTGAAAGTTGTAACTTTCCCTTTCAGAAGCAACTGCACTTGTAATGACAAAACTAATATGTGCTAAAACAGCGGGAAAAAAGCACGAATAAGAAGAGCACCGACTTAATTTGATAAAAATCAAGTATTGCCATGTTAATGCTGCTTATACTGATCGAAGTTGTCGATGTTTGGTTCAAAAACACATGCTTCTTAATTTCTGTTTAGCTCTTCTACTATGCTCGCCTCGACGTTTCTGCAAACGGCGTTTGTAAGAGATAAACAAACCTACGCCGTGTGGGATAAAAAACCTCCGAAAAAACTGTTTCAAGCATTCTCTAAGAATCAGCAGCATATTGAAAACACCAGAAACGTTATATCAACAAAGAATATGGAACAAAATATTCGCGAAAGGGGGGTAGAGGGAATTAGCTGAATTGGCAGTATGTTGTAAATGATGACCTGAATGAAAGTCCTCCATAAGCACAAAGTTCGATAATGGACAGTTATTAGGCTATTGCTAAGGTCAAAGAAATGGAGAAGTCTATATATTTCAGCAAAATGAGATGTTGTCTCGACCATATAACCGTCTAACATCCAGTTTGGAATGAACAATAATAGTCTCTGTCAAAACATATAGTTAGAGTCTCTAAGATGAAATGAAATCTAGCTTTACTGAATAGATGCAAGATTTTTAAGTTGCATATGAACAAGAGTTATTTGGTGTAAATATGTGATTTAATGTGCAAACACGTTGAAATTGAAACTCATACACCTTCAGCTATAACATCTATATATATATTATCTATACTCCTGATCTTTGTTCGAATCTCCGTATTTAGAAAACATTATGGAGTCTACAACATATTGCAAGCTCAAGCAATTCGGAGGCCAAATATTCTGCGTTTCGGTCAGAAACGTGTCCGGGGATATTCGGTATTCGTAGCATCATCTCTGCCTCTTACTATACATCGTATGGAGAAAACTCAACTTTAAAACACCCTGTAACCTTCCCTAAAAAAGTCCTTTTACCTTGAGGTTGTCTTGCACAAAGATATCCTCAGGCCGATCGACGAGCTTCACTGGGTGTCCTTTCCGCGTTACCAAAGAGTAGTTAGTGGTGTTGTTCAAGACGACGGTCTTGAGATTCGGATCTATGGGTTTTACCACGCTCCCGAGGTCCACTTCCTTATTCTCGCTGTCATCTTCACGAGGGTACGGCCCGTCGAACATGTCAGACAAATTGCGTTTGAAATGATCGATCAGGAAGTCCAACAAGCCCGGCCACTGGCTCAGACCGAAGTATCCGACGGAGGTATCGTCGAATAGAAGTACGTTTAGCATGTCTAGTGCGTAGGTGCTTTCGGACAGGAGTCCTGACCGCAGGCACATTATGATCCGCCACGCATCCACTTGCCCCAGATCCGCCCTGGAAGTAAAAAATGCCATCAAGTAGGTTGAAACTGCACTTACCACGCAACGCTGTTATCAACTCACAAAGGCCAGCACACTTTAGCGTCTCTGAGAAAAAATGTTAGCTATGGACATGACGGACGGAAATTACGACACTCATCGGTGAGACCGCGACGCAAGTGTGCCCATAGGTCAGAGACGCCTGTTGAAAATATTTCTCTATCACTCTAAGCTTTAAGAGCAAATGTATGGGAAAATCAATAATGTGTGTAGGTGCGTAAAGTTATCCGGGATGGAAGAGTGTTAACATACGAGTATATAAAAAGTTAGTTTAAGAACGATTTTTATATTTCAGTCCGAACAAGATTCAATCAAAATTCAATGTGTATTCCACAAACATCAAAAACCATTACACAACGATCTCTGTTTTTCTTGGGACCAAAATTCGATAACTTCATACCAGAGTCATTAAAAGTAATTAAATCAAATAGATCATTTAAAAAAGAACTAAAAAATGGACTTTACAACAACCAAGGTGCTCCATCCACGAAATTGTAGATATGAAAAATCATTATCAAAATCATATTTTACTTACACTAACATTCATACTTTTACTTTAGTCATAATTGTCTGGCTATTTTTCCTGACATCACCATAATAATTCCATTCACCAAATTATACAGTATTTACGGTTTTTTTTTCATACACTGACTGTACTTTTAGTTTTTATTTTTAACAAACTCAAACACAAGTGCAAACTTTTTTGGGTGCTTTATGTTTATTGTGCACAATATTTAATATTTACCTGTATTTTGTGACAATAAACATTATTATTATTATTTGATGTAAATAGTTCTGAAGAACATCCAAAGTATCACCAGATTCATTATCACCTGCTGATCAGCTGTTTACCTCAATAGACGTTAACACGTGATGTATCGTGAGAAATACATGATAAAAACTAGAAGAACCTGGAAAACAGATCCTGTAGCTTACCTGCATAACCTCTTTCTTCTGTACAAAACCGGCACTGTGGCTTCGACGCTATCAGGAGGGAAAGTGATTTCCCTTTTCGGCATTTGGCTATGACTATACGAATTCACAGGTGGTTGCTGTTGTGCGCCCTTAGCGCCGCCTGGTGGTATAATGTTCGGGTAAGGTTTGCCCGGCCTGTGGACAGGTCTCATGTTAGCGTTTTGGGCTCCAGGTTGGCCCATTCCCGGCCATGGAGGTTGACCAGACTGCGATTGTTGGTAACCTTGGTTTCCTTGCCAAGGGCCGCTGGACCTAGAGCCCTGATTCCACTGTTGAGGCGTCACTTGGGGGCCGGCCGGGGTACCACCGTATTGGGGAGGACGATACTGGTTATTGTTTGGCCAGCCTCCTGGAAAAAAATATTAATGTTGAACTATTTTCACGGGATTGTTTCAACGACGCTTCCATGGCGTGTCGCGTGACTTCTTTAACAGGGTATATAAATATCAATTTTGGACGTACGATTCTGTTTTTTTTTACGTAAAAAACAATGTGGGCACCGGATCGATTTCCAAAACCTACGATGCTTTTCCTCCTTGATATAGTAGTGACATTGAGTCAAAGTTTGATCAAAATCCGAGCAGTAGTTTCCAAGTTATAGAGGAGTCAAGAAGAAGTACACAGACCGACGGATGAGTCACATGGTTTTTCGTGACATACATACCTATCATGTAACATCAACAAAAAAAACATGCAATTTTCGAAATTTTTCGCGATTACCTCGTCCCCAATTGGCGTGGTAAGTGGAACGTTTCCAAAACTGGTGTTCTATTCAGACAAATCAACTTTGCTCTAAAATTTCACTGCTAAATTTTAGACCTAGAACCGTGATTCTTGAAAATTATATCAACTACATAGTAGTAACCGTTTCTGACTCTTTCAAATGTAAATACGAATTCCGTAAGTTTCTTTTACTTACCATACATAGGAGCACGAGGTTGGTTATAAGGATACTGCTGATCTTTGGCAAAATCAGGATGTCTCCTAGGTGGTTGAGGGCCTGGAGGTGGCATCGTTTTGCTTCCAGGTTGGCCAGTATATCCTGTTCCATTTCCGCCACCCTAGAATCAGGAAATACATTGCATATCTAGGTTGTATCTATGGAGATAAAAAAAAAACAAAATCCGAAATCACTGGATGACCTGGACATACCTGAACTTGGTCTGGACGATAATAATCTTGATGTGGAGGAAACGCTCCAGGTCCGGTTTGTTGCTGAGAAGTAGGCTGGCCTGCACTGTTTTGCGCCTGTCCATACCCAGGTCTTGGACTGTATCCAGAACCAGGGGTCGCGTTGTACCTATTGTATGGGTCTTGCGCTCCGGAAGATGGTGGACCCTGGGTGCTACCTGTACTCGGAGGTGGAGCACCCGAATCTCCTGTAACAAAAACGGTATTGTATAATCCCAAAAATGCAAACGGTACCCTAATGGGTATTTGGTTTTTTTTTTTGATGAAAAGAAAAGTATCGTGCTTATTTATGTTATCAGATTATAGAAGTATGGGGTGGGTTAGGTTTTATAACAGTAGTCTTCAAATGCCCCTCTCAGATATTCCTTCAGATGATCATTCTTCGTCTAAAGATTTTAATAACCTTTTAGCACAATTGCGGCTAAATGTCACCAATCACTTGACAAATGGATTTGCTTCAGACCATCAAACGTTCACGGATCCTTTAACTAGGCCTTATCGTGGAAGAATCTCCAGAAAAAATGTCACGCAGTTAGATTGATTGTATGATCTCGCAAGAAGGCGGAGATCACCATTGCGAGAAATCACGGGCCCAGAACTCCAACTTTTGTATTTTCCCACGATGGAGTTTTATTTTTTTATTATTCTATTATTGTCATACGTCATATGTAAAATACATTCAGCTGTTTCGCACGTAATTGAAATAATCCAAGAATATGTGATTTCTTGCAATACAAAGTGAAATAAAAATATCCACGCATGTTATAAATGAATACATAAGGTATCTTATAAAATGACACCCCTTAAAACAACGTGGGGTAGTTCTAATACGTTGTTGTATTAACCATATGTGTTTAAGCTATTTTAGTTGAAGTCAATCAAGAATGCACGTGGCAATATTCAAATTCAAATAATTATTCACCATTGTATCAAAAATATGGAACAACAGAGTAGAAAAATACAAATTTTTCGAAATCAGTGTTCCTCAAATAGTAAAAGATAAGAATAAGCATAAGTTTTATTTCCATTTGACTAGAAACCAGTATTGGAAAATAGTCATACACAAACACAGTATAAAACAAACAAAACAATTTTTAATAACGCATAGCTAACAAATGAAAACATTTAAAAGACAGCTAAAATATTCCACTGCGGAGAAAAAAGGGTTTTCTATATTTTCTTATATGTCTCACAAATACTGACACATTTTCCATCGCTTTTAAATACAAAGGTAGCGCGTTGTACAATTTAAAAAGCAATAACGTTTGGTTCCTTTGACGTGAGGATAAGTCGATGCATTGCGAGTTGAAAATTCAGGTTTGGACGCATGATGTCTGCGTCTCTCTGTTTGAATTTCTTAACATTTTTCTCAACATAAACAACACAATTGTAGACATAAAGGGAACAATCAGACAATACCATTGTCCTTGAATAATGTGCGACATGAAAATCTCTTATTTTTGCCAAATATCGTTCTTAAGATTCTGTTTTGAGCACAGGATGAATTAACAAAACGTCTGTGCTGACATTTAATTTCAACTGCCATAATTTATAGCAATGTGTCAGTTTAAATATCTATATGATTTGGCCAAGTTAGAGTTTCATCAAAATGAGGTCAAGATTTAATAAGTGAATATTTCAGCTCAACAGTATTGTACATGGTGAACTGTTATTGAAGACCAGGCCATTAGCAACACAATAATTTTTCATTTCAACAGATCTGCAGGCATCCCCTCTATGTAAAGCATTATCTTCAGCTTTTACAATAAAAGCCGTATCATTAGCATATAAAGAAATGGAGATATTTGGGGATTTTGCAGTTAAACCATTACGTAAAATATAAATAACGTCGGACTCAAAATGCTATCTTGGGGTACTCCGTACATGATTTCTTTGGATTCAGATATTTGCATACCGTCATTTTTTATCAAAACTCTTTGCCAGTAATAACGGCATCCCCCCTTGACACAATAACTGCATAATTTACTTAATCATGCACAATGTGAAAGGGTATCAAAGGTTCTGGTCAAGTCAAAAAATAATGTAGCTACTTTAAGACATTTTAATATTTTAATACATAGATATGAAATGAATCGATGTTCAGAAGAAAAACATACCAAAACGCTAGGCAAGTAAAAATTATTAATGAAACTACCTTCACAAAGGCTCCTAGCAAATACGACGCGTAGATCAACCGATTGATAAAGACGGACACAACATATTCAACCATATGAAAAACAAGTGAGTCCGTTGAAGGAAAATCGGCCCCGCAAGCGACCAAGCAGTTGTATTAATATATAGTAGAACAATAGCTAATCAATCATACTAGTAAAACCGAATTCCCATATCTTGAATGGTCACGTGAAAACGATTCAGTATGCTGGTACTTTCAACAACCAGGATTTGTAACTCTAAAGGCAATATAGAACATAATAAGGAGGCCCATATCTGAAAATTATCCATTGTGAGATTGCGGCCTCGAAAAACTATAAATAGGAGACCATAATGTACAACATACTGCAAATTGCATTGGGTGGGTTTGGCGTCGTTTCTATCTCGCGGTCAATGATAAATTGTGTTTCTAATGTTAGTGTCAAAATATTAAATAATGTAGAAAAAATCGGGCAGAGTACCTACCGAATGATTTCAAAAATTTAGAAAAAAAAACAGCTCGGTTAATCCTCCAACACTTATTTTTTGAATGGCTCAAGCTAGCAAGCTGAAATTCGGAGTGATAGAATTGAAGCATGAATAATATATTTTAACGTGAAAATTGCAGATGGGAGCTGAGCCTTCTTGAAACATCTTTTAAATAGAATGATGGTTTGAAGCTTCTAAGCACTTTTCACTATCTTACAAAATTGCAAACTGTCAAAACTTGAGCATCTTTGAACACTGAACTCACTCAACAATTATCCATCAAAAAGTTATATCATGTTATATCGATCTTCTTTGACAGCGTTTCTCTGAATGAGCAATCAAATATGGGGTATGAAATGTTCCAGATTGTATCAACTTTGACAGCTTTTCAATCCTCCCATTTTTTAAAAATTGTGACTATAAAGTACTGATATAATAAGCTTCAAAACGAGGTGACACATGACCCATATTTAAAAAAAATGTTCAAAGATGGCACCCAGACACCATCTTGAAATTCTCACCTGCCCCATATACGATAAAATACATGTAATTTCATCACAGAAGTTCAGCTTGCTAATTTGAGCCATTAAAAGATAAGTAAGGAACACTAACATGTCCATTTCTAACTTCCTACAATTTGATATTTTCTCATTTGCTTCTCAAAATTTTTTGGAACAAGCATGTCACAATAGATATATCCCTACCTGAATAAGGTGGGTATACAGGCCTACCAGCAGACCCATACCCAGCGCCGTAGTATTGATCGGGAGGTTGTCCAGGCCCAGGCCCCGGCCCGGGATACTGGTACCCAGGCTGAGCTTGTCCCTGGTAAGGTTGCCCCTGCTGAGGCCGTTGCGGCTGTCCCCCAGGTGTCGGCCCGCCCCCGGAGGCCCCGTAGCCCGAGTGAGAACCGGAGGCGGCAGTAGCGTACGCGCCAGCGCGCCCGCCTCCGCCCCCGCTATTGGGCGAGACGTCGTCGAACGGGTTCGACACATTCACGTTGTCGCCGCCCACGCCGCCCCCAGGGGTAGGGCCGCCCCCGCCAGACCCCGGCAGGTGGTTAACATTCCCTGAAACTGGAATCACAAATACAGAGTGTCCCAGAACAAGATGACAATCTCTCCGATGCATACCGGGCGTTTCAAATTCAAAGTTCACCATTGGGATCTCGGAAAATGGCAAGAGATACGGGGTCGGTTAAATGGTGTCAAAATTGCGCATTTAGGTAGAATTTTTCGAAATTCTAAGTATTTCCGGATACGGACAAGAACCGAATTTCCTCATAACGTTTTTATTCTTCCCTGTTTCTATTTGAGGGAAAAATTTCAAAATAAATTGCACATTAATATTGTCACTTTTTCTCATTTACAAGCTACAGAAATCAGAATTTCAATATCTGATCTTTCTTCCTCAATCATCAACTTTATTTTTTCTTATGAACGCCGTATTGAATTTTTGTACAGGAATTTTTATTTTTGATTTCGAAAATCTAAAACATGTCATATATTAATATTTACAAACCTTAAATCATTGAAAAAAAAATATTTTTTTCGTATACTTGAAAATAGCTTATCATATGTTTAATTGAAAACATCGACAAAATAATACTGCTTTAGTTTTTGTGAAGCGTGTCTAAAAAACTTTGAGATAATTGGCAGATTTATCGAATAAAACTCGCGTTATTTTAGCACGACGGAGCTTTTCTACAGGACAGCTCAGGCGTTGATTAATATTTAAATGAAAGATGTGTGCACCGGTTTAGTTCACAAAAGCTGAAGAAGTGCTTGGCTGATGATATGAAACAAATGACTATCTGATAATTTCAAGGCCTATTAAAGAAATACCATTTTTCAACGATTTAAATAACTTGAGATGATTTTTAAAATAAAGATGATATTGAAATATCATGACAATGTGTATACACCTATCCTTGCATTATGAATGTTAAAACTCACTCTCACAATTTTACAACTCATCAAGATACTCATAATTATAACACCAGAAACAAAAGACATTTGTCGCCTATCCAAAATTAGAAATGGTGTTAACTAACACAGGTTGAAGTTCTACAACCTGCAGTATTGCCAAATAAAATAAAATCTCTCGATGTTGACAATTTGGGAAAACCATGTAATGCTTCCTGTTATGTGAAGCTTTTTTACGTGGAAGGCTTCCTTAACTTTTTCAGCCTGGCATAATTTTTATTGTATTTAGTCTCTTTTATAATTTTCTAACCTAAGTCTATTTATTGTTCATCTAAATTTTAACATAGGATTTATCAACTTTTTTACCTTTTATTGTCACTTTGCGTTTCATGTTTGTATTATTTATTTATGTTTTTTGTTTCTATGTTCTACTTTAGCTGACTTGTGCAAACACATTCATCAATATTATAAATTCTAATTATGCCACCTTGTACAGGAGAAAAAGTGGCAATTTGAATGTGCAATTCATTCTCACCTCAAATAAAATCAGGAAAAAATTAAAAAGATTTTGGGAAAATTCAGTTTTACTAGTATATCTCCGGTACTTGCGAACCCATTTACCCGAATTGGTATCTCTTGCCGTACCCGAGATCCCAATGGTGGGAGTCGAATTTGAAACACCCGGAATAGAACACAAAAAATAGTGCCACAAGTTCTTGATTTATAGCCGAAATGTATCACCAAAATGCTAAATAGATACGGCTAGCCAAGAAAAATCTTTCTGACATCCCTTACAGCCTACTGTGAAATGAAAATTTACATCTCCCCTCAAGGATGCTCAATATCCAAGAGTAAGATCAAACCTCAAACAGCACTAAGCCTTGAAGGATCTTCTATAAATGTGCATCTAAATCAAGTTTTCGATTATTGTCGAACTTTTTGGATATCGGCCACAGTGTAAACTGACAGGAGAGACACGGAAAACTCTTTCGGGACCAAACAAAGAATACTTGTTAGGATAACGTATTCGACTTCACAGAAACATTATTTTTGAGCCATTATTATACCGGGTGTAAAAAATTAGCAGTCTTGCGTTAGGGCTGGTTGGTCACAAGAGAACTAGATGAGTTGTTTTCTCCACGGGTTGCTAAGCTGTTTCGTTGGATTATATAGTGTTGTTATTTAAGAAAAACCTATTTTCAAATCCATCTTTCGGTCTTTTTATAGGAACTTTTCACAGTATTTTTTGTATTCTATATGCATCTGAGAGGTGGACCACTTATTCTGGGATACCCTATACAGTATGTCGCTTCGGATACTATACAACTCAAGCATCACAGGAAGTATAAATGGCAACACTGGATAAGAACTACCCGCCCACAGATGCGATGTGCTGTGTATTGGCTGGGCAGGCAGCATTGGGACACTACTGCGATTTATATTGTATGGTATTCGGGGTAATATACTGTATATCAATCTATGAACGTACTCATGAAGTGATTTTTTTCCAAACCAAAATGGACCGCCGTTACCAAAAACACAAATGTCTCGCATAATTTTGAACGTATTATATAATGCTGAGTTGAAAATTTCAGGATAATTATAAATACTTGTGGAAGTAGTGTGAGTTTTTATATGGAACAGCCCGTACCAGATTTAAAAAAAAACTCGTACTGTAGATGTCAACCTTGATACAGTGGATGATACAGAAGTAATCTAGTAAATTTCGTTTATAAATTGAGTTTGACTATAGCACAGTTTCACCAACTGATCTGGCTTAGAAGCTGTATGTCAATATTTATCGCAAAATAAAAATTCTTTTCAAATCCCCCGATGTTTCAACTATAGTAATTATGTAGGCCCATCCACGTGTGGACGGAATATTACTCATAGACAAATACACTTTGGGAAAATCTATTTATGGGATATTATACACGACATTTAAGAGCACATTTCTAAAATATTGGCCATTATACAGGGTGTCGCAATTTCGATCTACATATCAAAGTTGTGATTTTTAAAATGGAATGCCTCAAATTTTATTGTATATTTGGATAAACCAATTCAAAAGAAGAAAATTGATATAACATACTATGGGGTTTTGGTAATTAGCTACTGAGATATAAGGTGTTTTGTCTAGAAAAACCCCCAGTTCGGCAACCCCTCAGTCCGCCATTTTGAAATTTGGAGTGCTGAATTTTGTATCAAAAAAACTTACACACCTCAGCTTTTATCTTATTTGTTACTTTTTTGAATTTTCATGGTTGCTCATACAGGGCGGTCAAAAACACGAATTGTACTTTTTCTCAAAAATGTCAAATGCATCATCCTGTATATTTGTGCCAGGTTGGATTCACTTTTTTCTAAGCTTTTTTTTGGTATAAGGTTTGATGCAGATAAAATCACTAGATTTTGAGTTATTTAGTTTTTAATAGAACAACACACCAAAATTCACATCATCCATGGAAACAAAAGATAAACAGTGGGCTAGATCCATAATGCCACTAAGAGTACAGATTTGACGTAAAGACTAATAACAATCAGGACAGTATAAATAAGCTTCAAGCGTAATAGAGAAAATCAACTATAACAACAACATAAACAAACAACTATCACTACTCCTACCTAATCTACAAAAACTGCTCGAAAATATCTCCACCATTGAATACACAGGCGTAGTCTTTGGATAAATGACGTTGCACATCCCTCAGCATGTGTTCCCTAGCTTCCAGAGCTTATAAAAAATTGAATCCAAACTTGCACAAATCTACAGGGTGATGCATTTTTTGAGAAAAAGTACAATTCGCGTTTTTGACCATCCTGTATGAGCAAAAATGAAAATTCGAAAAAGTAACAAATAAGATAAAAGCTGAGGTGTGTAAGTTTTTTTTGATACAAAATTCAGCACTCCAAATTTCAAAATGGCGGATTGAGGGGTTGCCGAAATGGACGGTTTTTCTGGACAAAACACCTTACATCTCAGTAGCTAATTACCAAAACCCCATTGTATGTCACATCAATCTTCTTCTTTTGAATTGGTTTATCCAAATACGCAAAAAAAATTGAGGCATTCCATTTAAAAAATCACAACTTTGATATGCAGGTCAAAATTGGGACACCTTGTATAATTGCCAATATTTTAGAAATGTGCCCTCAAATGTCATGTATAACATGCCATAAATAGATTTATCCGAAATGTTTATGATGTAATATTCCGTCCACACGTGGATGGGCCACCCTGTATTATTTCAAAAGTTTGGAAAGGAAGTTGCAGAGCTTTATTTATGATCAGCGGCAATGATGGTTTAGATGGTTGCTAGAAAAGTCCAGTGCACCGTTGTGAAAAACTTACTGTAAATAAAATAACTTGAGCTTGTGCCTCTATGAAAATTACGTTGCCTCCTATACATCGATTTTTAAAAAGAAAGCTACACAGCATTAAAAGCGAATCTGTAGTTTGTTATACATTACGGTAATATCAAGAAATAAGCTGGTGTAAATGAGTAATTTGGATTTTCGTGAAGTAAAAATCAAATAACGTACCACACTGTACTCAAAATAATTACGATTGAAACAAATCCATTGCTTACTATAACAAATAAGTCTATAGTCTCAATCCAAGACAAAGATCCTCGTACAAATTAAAATAAAACCATATAAGTAGAGTTTATCTCCCACTTAACCTCAAAACGATCACACGTTGAAGAAGTGCGAAACGGGATATTAACACTTAAAAAAGTACCTGCATTTCGTCTTATGGGCCTAGTAAAATAAGCAAGCAGGGGGGTGTTGTAATCCTCAATGTTACCACCGCCGGGGTCGTGGGTATCATAATTATTGTAATCCACTCTATACATTTGCCAACGTTACGTTGATATAAACTGACTGAACGTTATCAATAGCAGAGAGGCTAATGCGAACAAAAACTGATGAGGCACGCAGAAAAACCTCAGGTGTTTTTGTCTGGCCGACCGTCGTTGTGTCTGTTTCTCAGTGGTTTGAATAAGCTGCGTTTATGCTAGCGGATATACAAGGTGGTCCGTAATGAATGCAGCAAAAAGTGACTCTCCAAATCCGCCCTTAAGACACGAGATGAACATGTAACAGGACGGTCTTATCAATCACTTTATCCCACTTGGGCTAACTCTGACCCAACCTCATCAGTTACGTTAGTCTTTTTCAGGGGTATTTTGTTTTTTTTTATTTACGGAACACACAAAGGGTACTATAAAAATTTTGCAATATGACTTAGCAAACGGACGCAGGAGGCTGCATGCTACTGCATGTTGAGACATGTCTATGAGTGCATCGTATGACTATATTCAGGTGGTACAGAGGATTCCAAAGGGGCAATTTCACTCTGGAGAACGCTGAGAGAGAAATAAGTCAGTAACAAAGGAAAACATTACTGCTGTGAGGAAAATGCTTGACGAAGACCGGAGAGTGACATACCAACAGACAGAGGAGATCTTACACCTTCATGCACCAGCAATTTATCCAATTCTGCATGACCATTTACGGGTAAGGAAACTTTGTTCTCTCTGGGTAATGCATAGTCTGATGGAAGAGCAGAAGACTTGTCGTACGAATTGGTGCCGAAAGATGCTGAAAATGTTTGTTAAGAGGCAATCTCGGTATGTGGACATGCGACGAGACTTGGCTATATTATTATGCCGATCGAGACTCAAAACAAAGTTTGGGTCTTTGGGCTCCAGCTCATCGCGCCAAAGCCTGCACCTAGTATGTGACCACTACTGGACTGAAACTTATCAAGCTCCCTCCTTACAGTCCAGATCTTGCTCCTTGCGACTTTGCACCGTTTTCGCATGTGAAAATGAAGCTAAAAGGAAAACGGTTTTCTAGCGATGAGGACCTTCTGAGGGCTTGAAACAACGAGTGTGCCGCACTCCCGGGTGAAACTTGGCGGTGCTGGTTCAAGGACTGGTTTTGGCGGTTGCGGATTCCAAAACTTTCATAGTACCCTCTGTATAATGTTATGTAAATTAAAGATCTTCAATGTAGCAGCAGTTTTTTTTGGCCGATCTTTGAGCGCTATCGTGAAAAATGTTATATTCAGAATTTCTTGCATAGAGACGATATTTTTTTTTAATCAAACACCAATACACAATGTTACGTGTGTCACCCAATTCTATCGAAACCCTGTTTAGTGTGACATAGATTATTTCGTATTGTTTTCAGTTCCATTTATCGATGTCATCTTGTTTACAAATACATTTCATACTGTATTGCCGCATTCGGCGTTTGCGAAATCAAACTTACCCTTTCGACGAGTCCAGAAGATTTCATACACAAAAGACCGGTCGAGATTTCGTTAATGTTTTTATTATCCTAAAATTCAAGTCTGGCAAAAGCGAAATTTTGACCAATTCCACATTACGATAATTTATTTTTCGACTTTATTATAACTGCATCCATACTAATCTTGGCTAATCTTGAATGATTGAGATATTTTCAAAGGCTCCCAAAAAACTGCAGAATATCTAAAGCCGTATATGATATCGTCAATCAGAAAAACGTGGTAATATTTTTAGGACAAACAGTACATCAAAACATAATATGAAAAGTTCCTATGCCCCTTTACCGAGGAATGGCGTGATGAAGTTATAATTTTGAAATAGGAAAAAAATTACACATTAGGGCTAGATTAAAGCATTGACTTAAAATTTTGTACATGTGGTACTGGACAGAAATGTTCGTGCGTGAGATTACACCAAAGGCGTAGAAATTGGGGAAATTTAACTCCTACAGAAGAAAAAAGAAAATTTTCGAAATCACTGACTTTTTCGAAACATCTATTGCATTTGTGAATAAGATATTAATTTTACTTGAGTGGTCCATCTTGAGAATTTTTTGGACAAAAATTGGACTGTTTGAGGTATTTTACCCGTATAAAAAACCTCAACCCGTTCTACATTGAAAATATACTGAAGTTTGACATTGAACATTTATGTAGTGTATTAGAACATTAAGAGACTAATTCTAACACACTATAGCGTGATTTTAACAATATTTATGTTTTGTCCTTATTATAGTGGTACTAATCAGTCGCCGTGTGCTGCGCGGGTTCGAATCCTGTCCCAAGAGAATTTTTCTATTGGCTATGAGTGTTGTGATTGTCCGTAGGTGGTAGACGGTCTCTGACCCTCGAACGCTGAGGTACTACCCGGCGGATGTCGCAGGCGGGGCCAGAATGTGTACATGTTGCATGCACACGTGTTCCCTCGTAAGGGTCCGTGTGGCGGGCCCGCCCTTTCCTCTGTATACCCCTATAGTCCCACGGTACCCCTTGGGCGTTGGGCCTTTGTGGTGGTATTTTGGTAAAGGGGCATTTTAGGTCCTATTTTTATGAGAAATTTTTTTGTTTTTGAATGTAGTTCTCACTCTAGAAGTCCATGTTTTTTAATCACCCTGTATATTCAGCCTAAGATCTAGGGGAAGCTATAGGGGTTACAGCTCCTACAATCAGCTGACTGCACTGCGAAATAACTGCAGGTAACGAACATAACATTTTCCACAAACACACATCTTTTTCAAACTTCAGCACACCCTATAATTCAAACCTGGATCCACACATATTCGTATAAAAAAATACTGAAAAACTTACCTCCATGAGGAGATGGTGCTGATTGGGACGTAGGTCTCTGCGGATAATCCGGATTTCCAGAAGGTGGATATCCACCATATCCATAGCCATCCATGGACCCACCTCCAGAACCCGGCGGAAAGGAGTCCTGTGAATTTGATGAACCCGGAGATGGTACAGACGTTGCCTTAGCACCTTTCTTCTTCGACGTCGCTTCCACTTGGTTTATTATGGGCTGGGGATCAATACCGCCCCTGTCAAACTGGCATTCGTATGCTAACAGATTCTTTGTATAGTGTTTCCTCAACGTGTAAGCGGCGGACGATGAAGCACCTATTCCCAGCATACCAGCTATATCTTTCCACGTTTTATTTTTTGTTACCTGAAATATGGTCACGTTGCAGCAACGACGTAACTACCTGAATATCACTAGCATAACTATAGCCCAATACCAAAAAAATGTCAAAATTTGCAAACATAAATGTTGCTGTGTCAGTATTAGTACCAGTATGAAGCCAGATTGATTCTACTTAAAAATTATCTATTGGAGTTCTTTGTTCAGAAATTATTATTTTTTCAGTACTAACCTGAGAAATCACCATTATCTAAGACGAAAAATATTTCCCCCTAGGTAAATAATGATAGTGAAAAAACCCAAGGCAAATGATGTGCATTCTTGTTAAATTTCTTTGACTAGTAACTACTAAAAGTAACTAAATAGTATATTTTATAGCTGAACCTATTGTTATAATTGTATTCAACTATCCCATTATTTTGGCAGCTTGAAAGTCTCATGCTACTTGATAAATTTGCAGAATCTGAAAATGAGTGGGAAACGAATTATGTGTCGATGTACGTATAGTCATTCCACTGAAACAAAGCTGTTACATCATATTCAGTAAATTTAAATGCCAATCTCAATGCAAAATATATCCTAAATTGGTACGTATACTTTGAATTTCCCGGGTGCATTTATGTTGGTAACAGTTTTCTGTGTTGTGACACTGTCGCAAAGCTTGTCAGGTAATTACGCCAACGGCTGTTTATTTCCTAGGATCTAGTAGTTTTAATAAATGTGTCAACCATGTGCGTCACTGTCATTATTTGACGTTGTGACGTAACTGCTTCGATTCGGTGAATATACTATACTATCTTCTATCTTTGTCGGATCCTTATCATACCGTTGCGCATATAATTCTTATAATGCATTGCGTCGTTTATATTCTGAGAGCGTTGCCGGTCGTTAAGGAAATTCTCAGATATGCTACATTTCAATCTGTCTATAGTTATTAAAAAATAGTTTCGATATGGCACTTTTTTTAACGAACTCCAGGAGACATTCTTCAAACAAAATCAATACGGATTTCGGTACTCATGTTTGCAAATAACTATTTTATATGAACTTTTCCATATTTTAACGTTCCGTTCTGAATTTGCCCTTAAAATTTCCTGGAAATATTCTGCAATACCATGTAGATATGTTATTAGAAATATATAATAAACCACTATGATTATCCGGAGGTTGACCTGGGTATTTTTTTGAATTGAAAAAATACATTGCTGTCCCTCAAATACCTTATGAAGATTACTGGAGTTTCATTCTGTCAAATTTATCATTTTGTATGTCAGGGCAAATCGTGTTATGCTAGTGGTACATAGGATTCTAAAACGGCAGTAGCACATAACATCTTGTAGATGAATAAAAATTGACAAAGGATTAAACATGTAACATAAAACAAATACGAACCTCCATAAAGCCCCCACGCTCCTTAACATACATATACAAGCGGAACAAATCGAGCGGATTCTTAGAAATGGTTGGACACGTCGTGATCGGTGTCCGTACATCTTCCATGAAAGCTAGCAGCTTGTCTAACCAAGCTTTCCTGTCTGGATTATCATCCATTTCGTATAACTTACTTAGGCTGTCAGTTTTCTGGAAACATATACTTTCGTCACAAAACGTCACAATGACACACTGGTTGCTTTCCTGTATGCTATTACAGTGCTGCAGGCTTAAAGTACACTATTAGACGTAAGTGTCTAGAGCGAATTTGGACAGCCATTTCATGTCAAAAATCTTTCTATCCATAAGAAATTTACGCATTTGAGATAACCATTTGTTGTTTTTTTGGCACATCAAGAAAGTTATCAATTTTCATTGCCTGCTTTAGTGGCGCTGTTTTTTAGCTCCAAGTACAAAAACCATTTATTTTCAGTAATTGATATATTATAAAGCTTAAGCATTGGTATGTTTTTCTATACACGGTGTCCCACCGAAAAGGCAAGTAGATTTATGAGCAAACTGGAGAAGATATCAAAAATTTATTTTCGTGTTACCCTTGATATGTTAGTAGTGCATATTTTAAAATTATTTGAATACATACAGGGTGTTCCATAACTTCATTGTTTCATAATTTGTTTTTCTTGCAATTAATAGCAATAACTTGGAAACTGTTCGAAAAAAGTGGTATAAACCCTATACCAACCAAAAAAGTTTCCAAGGAAAGCTATCCAATGATGCAGAAATATACAGGGTGTTCCATTTGAAATATATGGGAAAAGATACGGTTTGCGTTTTGAGATACCCTGTATAAACAGTAAGATATTTTAGCATTTCTTTCGGATTAGCTTAAAATCGATGGTAAAATTTTTGTGAACTAAAATTTATCTTAATATCTTCAAAAGTTGTTCACTTTTTCAGACATTTCACGAAATATATAAACATTTGACAATCGAAAGTTTTGTCACAAAACTACTTCCATTCCGGTCGATACATTTTTGTAGACGATGTGACAGTTTTTGTATTTCAACCATCTCACCGTCAGGTTTTTGAGCAAACATTGAACTTCATAGTTCACTTCGTCGTCGGAACTGAATGCTTTTTCAGCTTATTGTAATGGTGGTAGTAGGTACTGTAAAACTCTTGAAAAAAAAAACTGACGGGCAATTCAGAACCGATGAGCAAATTTGTAAGCATTCTCCACAACGACGCACGTCTATACACCTTCGGTCAATCAGTCGCTAAATCGACAAATAAGGCTCTTATGTCACTGATGTCACGGGGGACGTTCTAGCTTACGCCACGCAACTGTGGAGTAAGCTCAGTCAGTCTTATCGTGAGGCCCATGTCGTTGTTCTTGATATCCCAAAAGTATTCAATCAGCTGTTACATTTCGCCCTCTTATGTCTACTTCCATCCTATGCCCTCCCAGAGACGCTTTGCAGATGGGTGACCGGAACATGACAGGTTCTCCACGTCAACGCCGGTGTTCCCCAGGGATCCGATTCACAGCTTTGCTGATGACAGCACTTTACATGCAGTGATTCAGAGCGACAAGCCGACCTCTGCCGGTGAAATGGAAAAAAGAAGACTAGCAGCGAGATGCTCTCTGACCTGTGACCTAGAGATTATCAGTCCTTGGGGACTCAACAAGTTTGTACAGTTTAATGCTTCCAAGACACAGTACTCTACCTTGACTAACAAGAAGCGTTCTAGCGCTCATCCGGTTTCGATGGATGGCCGAGTTCTACCAGAGATCCGTTCATTTCGGCTGGTCGGAGTCCAGATCACCGAGAACTCGTCAAGAGTGACAGTTCATGGGAATTTGTTTAGGGTTAAAAAGTACGTTTCTCCACGTGACGTCCTCACTCTGTGCAAGGCCAATATAAGACCTAGCCTCGAATACTGCTCACATGTTTGAGGTAATGCCGTCCCGAATACATTATCCATGCTCGATGCTACCCAGAGGAGGGCTGTCCGACCGATCGATGACTCTTCTCTAACGGTCAGTCTCGGGATCCGCAAAAAAGCTTTGATCCTCAGAGCTCTCCTCCATGATGCTGCCGCGCGATGTGCCTGCCAGGCAGACCCGTCTGACTTCAGCCCCCATCGAACTTCGTACATCCAGAACTGGCCGATACAACGTGTATTGAGATTGTGGAACAATCTACATGAGGCTTTCCCCAGATCTGCCAACCTTAGGCAGTTCAAAAATCGGATTAGAAAAGTTTTGTTAAGCTCCTCACAGCAGCCACGGTGACCTGGCGTTTAGGCTTCTGCCTGCGCGGCTGCTTGTTGTAAAAAAAATCGAATCCACCAGCGAAAAGCTACATTCTGTGTCAAGGCAATTATGTAGAAAAACTGAACAATGTTTAAGTTTTACAATGATGTATTAATTATTGTAAATAAATGCTTTTGTACTTTTAAGGAATACGAGAGCTTTTGGGATTAGCAGCAGACTGCATCGAGATTAATGAAATTTTGGAAGCATTTTAGCATAATCTAGAAATTAAGCATACAAATTCGATCCATGAGTTTTACTTCACGTCTAGTCGTGTTATTGGTCGAAAATACATCACCAAACAATTACAAAAATGGAGAAAACCTACAAACCTAAAAATCTTCAGTTATGATCAATTGCTATAAAACGGAAAATAAAAAATTTTGTGAAAAGATCTTAATAGTTCGACTTTTGCTTGGTAATGTACCAAGACAGACATAAAAATTATTCATTCTGAATAAGAAAGTTCTAGTTTTTCAGACATTCAACGAATACTGCTGTCAAAGTCAAGCAAGAGTACATTACACATCATGTATGCATATGCAAATTTTGCAATGGAATCTAAACACGTGAAAAATCCCTGTATTCCGGTAAAACCACAAAAAATAGTCACGCTAAAGCGATCTTTGAATACAGCAGTATTTACTTAAAAGAAAAAACATACATCCCAGTAACTGAACTCCTGTCTGAACAGGTGACAGGTGACAAGTGACAACTTTCATCGAGTGACAGAAATTGACGTCTGAAGCAAATTATCGACTTCTTTAGGATCTCACCCAATATATAATCTTATATACTTCATTTTATGCATTTTATAGGTTATATTACGTCTGAAAAACTAGATCCAATAAGATTAGTTATTCGAGACTACATTAGTAAACAATTCTTGAAGTAATTCTGGTGACATCACAAAATATAAGGCTGTTATGAGTTAGGTTAGATCACTAAATCTAAATTTAAAAACTATGCAAGACTATGTTCTATCTGGAAGAAATTTAGAAACATGTATTGTGTTTATAATAAATATGGCTGAAGCCTGATATTCGTAAGCAAACATTCTAATTTAGAAATAACCCAAAACCAACTTCATGCCCCATGCAATTGATTTATTTCCAAGCATTGATATGAACATTGGATAATGCTTATCAAACTTGTTCCTATTACCAAAATTACTGTAAATCCGAAAAACATCTTGATGACTACGGTGACTGCATACAGATTTTAAAGACTCAAACAAGAATTAGAAAAAAAGGATATTATCATATGTAAAAATGCTTTTTTTGTAAAGATAAATCTGTTACACCATTACGGTACTTATACTGAAAATTATCATCGGCAAATATTTATATCCATGGTAATAACGTGTTTTGTGTTATCTGTCTCCAATCCTATCTTAACGACTATGGTCAGTAATACGACACCATTTTGGTGTTGCAATCACCTCAAAGAAGACACTTCGTAAGCCAAACAAATAAGAAAGGGTACATAATTTTGAGACAAATCAGTAATTATGATGTTTAAGAGAAATACCGAAATGGAAAAATACGTCAACGGTGATGTGGAGTACCAGGGATCTAATATTTTCGGAAGCATATTAGTTAATTCTTTTTGCTGGTTCGTAGCAAACACATTTGCACGATACATAATTTTTGAACTGAAACAATTACTATTCCACACCTGAGTAATACTCCACCAAAGAATATAAAAAATTGTATCAAAATTATGTATCTTTATTCGTTGGGCTATCCAAGTATTATATAACGCAATCTAGAGGAAATAATCAAGGGCTCCTTTGTTAAAGGTTACAATACCATAAAGCCCCAATTTATGCCCGTCTCTGTTATGGGTCAAGGCCACTGTCTCATTTTACTGTATGGAGTTGGTTCCTGTTGATTAAAAGAAGTTCTACTGAAAATTTTGGATATAACTTTGGAGAAAAAGTGCTTCGGGTAGGTTGACTCTGCACTTCTCATGCAAGCATTCAAATAGTCCCATACAATTAGTCACCAGTACCTACCCGTTTGACAACGTTGCGATTAAATTCACCACGAATAAACTGCCAACGGCAGCAGCTAGCTTGGGACTATTTTAGTTGCAGGTATCGAACATATTTCAATATAAGATTTAAGGGCAAATATACGAGGAAATCTATGTGTGGAGTACGCCTAATATGTGCGTATGATGACTGGGGATAAAAGCACCAAAAATGTACATCCTGCAGCCCCCTACCCCTAATTGCTTACCTCTCAATCATTTTCCAAAAAGAAGTCTCTAAACATAAAAAAACGAAATTTGCACAATTTTCAGTGTTTTCGCCCTTTGCATAGTAGTAACTTTGTAAAATTATACGCAAAATCCGAGCGGTACATTCAGGGTTATAGAGGAGCCAAGGATTAGCGGACAGGCAAACGGGCCGACAGACAGGCCAATGAAAATGAGCGACATAGTTTTTCGTGATATATGTCGAGATTTTTCACAATACTTCCTTGCCAACTAGCGTATGAGGCTAAATTTCCTATGTTTACAATGTCATTGTGCTATTGTTTCACCTGTTTTTCATCTGGTTCCTCACTTTACTTAAAACAGTCTATGCATAAACAGATGTAAGTCACTAGAGCCGCCTAGTCTTTAAAACGAGAAATTACGTTACATAATACTTGAATGGTCGCTTATTTGTTTGACTTTAAGTTAAATCGTGTATAAGCATTAAGGGACATGCGACATGCTACAAGCACTGTTCTCCTAGCACAACAATATATAATATTATTTTTATATAAACCTTTGAGCGGTATGTTTCCGGAGGAGGCACATGACTGTTAAACACCTGGAAATACCCACCAGTTAGCTGGGTGTCAACACAACACAGATATATCAAAAATCAAATAAGAAAACCTAGCTAACAGGAACGGTCATATACGATATATCAGCTTTTGTGGTGTTATGCATAATCACATCAGAGCCACAGAAAAATGTTCCATTACAATAGAAAGATAATTAGAAACGCACATGAAATGGAGCTAACAAATTATCTAGTCAAAAGGTTATACCTTCGGTTCTCTGACGAAGTTTATAGGTTCGATAATGTGCCGTTTTCATGATACAGGGTGTCCAGTGGGAAAGTTCACATTTCAAATTTGAATTACGCGGCATCCGTATACGCAAGGAAGTGGCGAGAGGTCTTGATCGACGCGTTCGGCGTGCGGGTTAAATAGTCACAATGGAACGTTGGACCGGAGCGCAACGTGCTTTTGCTATCGAGGCTTACTTTAAGAGTGGTGATTCATACGCAGCTGCCCTTCTAAAATTTTGAACACGATATATCATTCGCCGACCAAGAGATGCCCCCAGTAAGAACCTATTGAAAAATTGGATTAAGAGGTTCTAAAAACAGGCTATATATACTCTTAGTCAATTCCTGGCACTACATCTACTGTATCAACCGAAGAAAATGTGCGTCAAGTAAGTGATTGCAAATCCTCGGCGATCTGTACAGAAGCATTCCGCTGCTTTGGGAGTCCCTAGGTTCAACAGTGCATGGCATAATGAAGAAAAAAAAATGGATTTTCATCCTTATAAAATGAAATAAGTCCATGCTTTAAGGAAAAGTGATTACGTATTACGGAAATCTTGTGCTGAACGGATGTCGAATCTTTTTCCTACGCAGCGCAGACTCGAGAACGTTGTTTTCAGCGACGAGGCCCATTTTCACTTAGACAATTGCAGATATTGGGCACCAACGAGCCCAAATGAGAAAGATCAACAACAGCTACATAGTCCAAAGGTGACTATTTGGTGCGCCATATCCTCTAGCGGTAGTATTGGACCGTATTTCTTTGAAGATGAAAACGGTCATGCATTGACAGTAAATTCCGAACGATACAAGGACATGATTGACACTTTTCTGTAAGAACAGAACGTCGATTTAACAGAAACACGTGGTTTCAACAGGATGGAGCCACTTCCCATACTTCCAGAGAATCGATGGACCCGGTGTCAGCACTTTTTCCTCAAAAAGTTATATCGAAGTTTGGAGACATTCACTGGCCTCCTACGTCACTCGACCTCAAGCCGTGCGATTATTTTTTCTGGGGTTATCTAAAGTCAAAAGTGTATACCGATAATCCACGAACACTGGAGGCGTTTAAGGAAAACATTCGACGAGAAATAAACAACATCACTCCGGAGCTCTGCAAGAGAGTGTTTCAGAATTTGTGCACGGGATGGCAAACATTTGGACCGAATGATGTTTAAGAAATAAAACCCGCCGAGTTTACGAATATGTTGATAGTAATAAATATTTTCTTACCATTAAGTTTGTATTTTTTTCTTAAATCAAAAAGTGAACTTTCTCACTGGACACCATGTACTTTACAAGATACCATATATGTTAAAATGTCAATAACTGTTCATCTAGTTTTGTTGAAATTGAGCCATTGAGTGCACAATGTAATGCTGGAAATTTCATATGGACCGAATAAGAAAAACCTGTTAATAAAACACCTCAAAAAACATCTCTATAAAAGAAATTTAAAACCGACCATCTAAATGGAAATGATATTTGCGGGTTTGTTAAAGCGTTTTCTTAATTGCTTTCAATAAAACTTCCTGCAATATATCTGCGATAGCTTAATTTCAACAAATATAAAGGTTTATTACGATTTTAACGAGAAAACGGATTTTTATGTCTTGAATTCATCTTGAAATTCATTCCCTGAAGTTTAGCTAGGTACTTTAATGAGACCCCGTAAAAGAAAGAATAAATAGGCTAGGTTCAAGCTTATGGTAGATTAACTATTTTATATCAGCTATTTATATTTAAATTGACAATGATATTAGATAATGAACTAAATATTGTATTACACGCCTGCAAAGCTATAAAGCAATTGCAATTTTTGGATGAAACCCTACTTATCAAGAATAAAATCCCATTTTTCGAGTGATCATTTTCATAGACACAATCTATTTATGGAACAACATACAAAATAGAATACTAGTATATCGTAATAATTGCCCAGTAAAGAGCTTATGCTGAAATACTGAATAATATGCTAGGTATTTCTTAAAAGTGGTGGTGTCAAAAAAGCCATATTATTTCCTCATTTAGATATGATTTATCGAAGATTTTCAGTCACAAATTTTTGTGCGATCAGTTGCAGTGTTTTCCACTTATACACTATAAGTGATTAATATTCGAAGTAAATGTGCCAGTGATCTTCCCCATTATATAATGTTGGTTGTACTGTGCAAAGAGAACTTTTCAGATATTTAAAAAAACACAAATTACACACCCTACACAGGTTTAGATGTTGAATGCAACACTCTTTATTATTCGTTAATGGAATGTACACATGCTTTCGCTAGAAAAACAAAACAGGTTGAAACATATTTTTTGTCAAAGGCAAGGTAAAAACAATTTGCCGCACAAATCACCATCGAATATTTGAAAATAAAAAAAGTACGTGATTTTTTGTTGTTGATCAACCAATAAATGGCTCTCAATGTATTTTTCTGGGCATAAAAATGACCCGGTAATTACTTTTCACATCAGCGAAAAATAAAGAGTAACTCACCTTTTGCAAATTTGTTCGACCCTTTTTACGAGATATTCTATAAATGATTCTGACAGTACATAAAGACATGTAACTGACTATAAAAAAAACATGCTAGGGAACCGACATTTAGAAGATAGAAAGGGGTGTGGGGGGCTGGACAATTATATCCACTCCAATATAGTAACACTGATCACAACGTCAAATCTAACTACTTGAATAGAAATAACACCTAATCTGACTTTTTTTTGGGTACATGACCGTTTGGAATCACAAGGAACATAATATGGCTTTAGCATCAGTTACCTCTACAAAAGCCATGGTTTTAGTACAACTAGGAACCATAATACCATCTAGTGTAATCCTATTAGCAAATTTCCCCGAAATAATTCTAAAGTCTGGATTTATTGGTGCAAGTTGTTCAAGGCGGTATTTAAAACATGGACGCATAAATTTTTTGTGGGAAAACTTTTTATTTTACAACAAAGAATGAGAAAACGTGTTTTTTGGGATTCAATCGAAATTGTTGACAGGAATGAAAAAACTTTTTATATAAGATGTTTAGGTATTTATGAGACCTACCAAATGGGACCACACGTAAAAAGATCCGACTAATAGCAAAAATGTTATGGCCGAAAAACGAGGCAAAATGCAGGTTTTGGCACTTGTTGGTAATGCGACGATAATTTCATGCAACTACTTGAAATTCTTCATATCCGTAGGATTCATACTTCTAAACAACAACAACAAAATTGGAAAATATTGGTCAAGTAGTTTTTTGAGAATTTCTAATTGTTTATCCCAAAGCACCTGTTTTCCGGCCATCACTACTAGTTTATTGAGCAATTGAGCATTGAGGGTTTGTTCATAGAGCATTTAATAGCAAAATACACATGTTTATCTTGCCAATATGAATCACAAACCATTCCGAAAGATTTTTACGCGAAAAACAAAGGTTACGTTTTTCTTCTAAACAAATTCAAACATTTTGTATTTGCGAGTAATTGAACAAATGCGCTACGATGTTCGAAAAACATACGTTACTACACACATTTTGAAACAAAGCGGGTGTGTCTATCATCTTTTGTTGCGAATTACTCACAAATACGAAATGTTTGCATTTGCTTAGAAGAAAAAACGTAACCCATCCTTTTTTGCATAAAATTAACATATATCTTGCGGAATGGTTTGAACTTCATATCGGCAAGGTTAACTTGTGTATTTTGCCATAAAATGTGCTTTGAACTAATCCTGTATATAGCTCAATAAACTGCTAGTGATGGCCGGAAAAGAGATGTTTTGGGATAAGCAATTAGAGATTATCAAAATTACTTCATCAATCTACTCCAATTTTGTTGTGGTTATTTAGAAGTACAAATTCTACGAATTTGAAGAATTTCAAATATCTGCGAGAAACCATCGTCCACCATCAACAAGTGCCAAAACCTGCCGTTTGCCTCGGTTTTCGGTCATAACTTTTTACGTGTGGTCTCATAAAATACCTAAAAATCTTATATGAAGAGTTTTTTCGTTCCTGACAAACTTTCAATTGAATCCCAAAAACACGTTTTCGCAGTTATTGTTGTCGAACAAAAATTTGTCCCACAAAAATTGGTGTACCCATTTTATGCGTCCATGTTTTGAATACCCCTTGAACAACTTGCAGCAATAAAACCAGACTTCACAATAATTTAATCAGAAGAATCAAAGAAATAGTGAAATGGTATTTTGGTGGTTAAGTTGCATCAAAAAATGCACGCTTATCAATTTTTCACATAATCATGGAATTACTTAAACACAACAAATCATGTATTTGGAATCAATGAATAACATACCGGGTGTTAAAAAAGTGACGGAGCGGCTCTATATTTTTCCCGGCATTTCTAAAAAAGGTTAAATTCCTGCTAGGATTATTCATGAAAAAAATCAAGGTCAGCCCTTCAACAACTTTTAACAAGGATTTCAATATTGACCTTAGATTTTACCTTGTAGGTGCCAAAGAGGGCGGTTCCTAGTGAAAAAAAGTTGTCCTTGGAATGACTTTGAAGGTGAGGTGCAAGGTTGAATCCAAGGTGAGGATTGGGATCTTTGATAAACGTTTTTTCATTGATAATCCTGTGAATATTCTAAATTTTCCGTAGCCTCACTTATTCAAACTTCAGAGTGACTTTGACCTTGGATTTTAATACTACTACTTAATAATATTAGCAGTTAGAATTCATCGATCGTTCGATTGCGGGTGTCAAAAAAGAAGGCTTTCCATTTGAAAAACAAAAGTCAATATTGAAAGAACCCTAGAGAGATGGCTCAAGGTTAAATCCAACGTTATCATTAAACTACTTGTTACTTGACCTTTTGCAGCACTCTACCAATAAGAATACAACGCCGCTCCGTTACTTTTGTTACACCATATATCAGACGTTCGGCCATTTTGAGGACACAATGTAACTATGAATAAATTGTATTTTGAAGTTTAACAAAGGTATGCAGATCTATGGAGTCCATACACTGAAAACAGTACAGAAATATCAGCACACCATTGTTTTTGTAAGGATAACCGTGCTTATGACAATAGCTGGTGCTGTGCATGACAACCACACTTAAAAAACTGGAGACATGTGTCAAATCCAAACACGCAGTGCGACTCACGGGACTAGATGGCGTTCTTGGCCACGTTGGACTGCTTAATTCCCCATAATCCTCATGCATGGAATTCAAACTCGCTGCTCCAGGTGAGGGCACTGTACTCTGAGGTGTCGTTGGATGGCTGTAGTGACCCATGTCGTTTTTCCTGCTCACCTTTGGTGTCGTACATTGAGGATCTTCTCCTGAAGCTGAAAAAAACAAACACACGATAAAGGTGAAATAAAATAACCTGTCAAAAGTTAACAAGCAGCATTGACAACGAGGGCCCGATCAAAGCTTCAGCTTCGGCCATATTCAGCTTTCGACCAAAAAAGGCCGGAGGTATCGAAACTCTATACTGGTTTAGCGAAAATATCGAGTACCAATGGAATAAAAATGCTCATAATTCTTGGACAGCAAATTTAGGTACGATTCACATATCCGAATATGAGCTCTTACTTCATTTCTCTTGCAAGCGATTAGTACTTTGAAATACTGTTGAGCTACCAGTTAGTGTCAGGCATCCAATCGAACATGATAAAGAGTCTAAAGTCTGTACGCGGTACAGACCGAGATTCCAAGGCATATGCGGTTACAGATTTGGAGGTATTCGAATCGGTGTGTACGGCGCCAGCCAACATAAGCCAACGGTTTCGAAGGTCGGCGTTGGCGTTCGATTGCGTTCGCTCCTTGATCGGTACATCAAAGTATCAAAGGGAGGTTTGACTTGGTCTGAACAGGATTTGTTGCGCTTCTAGCATCTAGTCGTTTGTCTGCTTGAGACTCGTCGCTCGACATTAGCACCGAACTTAACCCCATGCTGTCCAACTTTAAACTAAATTTAGGGGTAGACCAGCGCATTCCAATACCTTCCAACAACAAACGCCAACGTCACATTCGTTTGTTCGGCTTTGGATTTTCAGCCTGTACCCGGCTTAAGATAGAAAAGCCCGTTTATAATGCGGGTATGCTATTGTTTGTTGGGTTTACCTATTAGTGTTCGGAATTCACTTTGTTTTATAAATTACATTTATTGTAGGGTATAATTTTGAAAATGTTTCATGGAATATGTAGCCGTTTTTAAATCCCTATTCCAAATGTCTTTTTTCAATTGTGAATATCTTTTTTATTCCCGAACATCGAATTCTAAAATTTTCAAGGTGGAGCTTTCTGATATACTCGTATATGTTAAATAAAATGTTGCTCCAATTTGACTAACTTGGTTTCCCTTTTCTATATTATTTTAATAACAGGACATTTTATCACATATGCTTGTAGTAACCTTTATGTTACCTTAGGATGTACTTTCTGCCGAAGGTTGTGTTGAAGGTCGAACATCGGCTTCGTCCGAAAAAGTGACCTTCGGTTGGACTCTTTATTTTATACTCCAGCTACCACGAAGGCCCAAACACTCATGGGGTACCGTGGGGTTATAGGGTGGTACATGGGAAAAGAGGGGGTGGGCCGCCACACGGACTCTAGCGAGGGAGCACGTGTGCATGCAGCATGCACACATTCTGGTCCCGCCTACGAGATCCGCCGGGTGGTACCTCCGCGTTCGAGACTCAGAGACCGTCTACCACCTACGGACAATCACAACATCCATAGCCAATAGAAAAATTTCGCTTGTGACGGGATTCTAACCTTCGCAGCGCACGGCAACACATTTTTTAAACAGATTGTTCTCAAAGTTTGAACTTGACACACCGTTTAGCAGTCATTGGATTTTGTACAAAACCTGAGACATCAAATCCACTCTTTGATATTAGTTTACGGCGTACATCTTCAAGATGCTGCTGATGCTTTGCGAGTCTATTCAGATCATTATCCTCGAATTTTTCATCTCGTGATACGTAGTTTATCTCGTACAAGGTCGTTTGTAAGAACGCCGATGTGGGCACAATCTAGACAAATCCAAATGTTGCAAACTGATGAAACATTTTACAAACTTGTGTTTTTGAGCCTCACAGTAATAACTTCGAACATTATTTGAAAGTGACAGGGTAGTACTTGAAATATCTTATCAGATAAACAATTCTTTTTTTAGTTTTTCGCTGCTTTTAAAGTAAATTAGCTTTGTTACTACTAATGGGTAGCCAGGGCGTGGAGCGGCTAGCACATCGGCTTGACGGTAGGCGGGTTCAAATCTCAGCCTCGGAAGTTTCATATTGACATATGGATGTTGTGTTTGTTTATATATGTACGCACGATATCGGTGCAAGATCAACATAGGTACCGTCTTCGAAAACAAAAAGTTCTGCAATTTTGACATAAAAAAACAAGGTTGAAATCGCTTTAAAATAAACTAATCACAAAATACTCTTCAAGGTCTTGTAAATCAAGGGTTTAACTTTAATTTAAGAAACTTGGCGACCTCAAAAAATAAGGTTTTAATCGATTTTTTAAGCACGGCAACCCAGATCAAATTTCTTCAACAATTTTTCAAATAAATTTTTTTATTTCGTTTTTGGGTCATTTCGAACAAAGAAAGGCTTATATTTATTTTTCTCTAAAGCTGACCATTTTCGAGTTATAAGTGATGTAATGTCGGAAAGCCCGCAAAATGTGTATATTCAATACTTAAAAACTCGGTTAAAAATTATAATTCTTGAGATCGCAGAGTATCCGAGTTAAAAGTTTAAACCTTGTTTTAGAAGGCCCCCGAAGAGTATTATGAGATTGCTTCGCCTTCCCACTACTACTACTGCTAGCTTTGTTATTTTAAATGTAGTCGTTTGTAAAAATGAAAATTCCAACTTGAAGAGGTGGTCAAAGATAGGTAGTGCGAATGGTGAGGGGATGATGAGGAATCCTCCACCAAGGAGGAAAACTATCGCAAAAGCAGCAATTCAAAAATCAAGAATACTCACCAGCAGATGCGTTTGACAGTGTGGACTGTTGGGAACCTTCGTCGATAGGCGTACCATCAGGACCAGTGGTAACCACAGACGTAACAGAACCGCTAGACGCAGCTGTTACATGCGTACTCAAACCACTCTGGGCAGTGGTAGTAATCCCATTATCCATCATATCACCTGACAAGTGCGAATGAGAATTTGGGGTGGAACTCGGCGGGGGCATTGGTGCTTCGTGAGGATGACTGAAACAAGAAAATAGTACATGACATACTTAGTTCCATTAGATTCATTCATGCTAATACGAAAAAATGAAATATAACATGAAAGCCATGGTCACACATCAAATTTTTTTAAAAGTTACGTTAAAAACAGTATTTATAAAATCATCAATTTTTAAAATGAATTTTGGAACAAACATTTTCTAATACAAATCTCAAAACCATTTAAAGGTGACGATCTTATACAGGGTGTAAACGTTATGATAGTCATTATTTAAATAAGTGATAGAGGGGGTTAAAAGCAAAAAGTTTAATATAACATGGGGGTCAAAACGGTATTTTTTTAGAGAAAGGCGAATTTAAAGTAAAATAAAATCTGACAACGCCGCAATGCCAGACGCAAATTACGACGGAACGAGTGTCAATAAAGATTGAGTTTGTTATTTTTAGCTCTTAGGTATTATTTCATTATTTGATAATGTACTCGTAAAATGCAAACAATTAAAAAAACGGACTTACCACTAACTGTCTCAGTGCTTCATCTAGTGTGTGAAAGTTTATTGAATGTATTAAAAAAATCCACTTATAAATAGGGAACACAATTTTGATACATACATTGTTTTTCTTTTTAAAACCCACACTGCACTTTTTTTGTGTTTAAAGGTGTTCAAAATGTCTTCCACTTTCCAGACAAGCTTCATTACATTACGACCTTCACGAATGGTATGAAGATTTTCTTGGGCCTACGTGTGCGTATTATGGAAATTTAATATCCCGTCTCGCGTAAATGTACATTTGTCCGTCGCTAGAATGTTTTTAAAAAAAATCCGGATCTACATTGTTTTGGTGCAAAAACCACTGATAGAATGTTAGTCTGCGAGGATAGTCTTCTGGTAGCAAGGCCTGCACTCGTTCTACATGGTAGGGATAAAGCAAATTTTCCCGTAGGATTCTATGGACTATGGTATGCGATAGTCCTACGCGGCGGCCTAATTCCCGAGAGCTGATATCTGCATTGATTTCCACGATATTTAAAATTTGTTCCTCCTGCTCTACAGTAACATGTCTTTCACGAGTGCGAATACTAGTGAGCTGAACACTTCCTGTATCTCGAAGTCTTTGGTACACTTGCACAAATGTCCTTCTGCCTGGGTGTACCCGTTGGCGAAATCTGTCGCGATAAATTTGAGCTGCAAGATTTGAATTCTGACGAGCTTCACCGTAAACTAACAACATGTCGGCGAACTCTTGATTCGAGAACATTGTAAATTAAGACGACGACGTACGCGAACGAAAACAAAACAACATACTAACCACTGTTACAGTTTGCGATCGATTGCTGGTTCGATAACAGTGATGATAACCGACGCGCTCTTGTCATGTGTGTTTTACATATTCAATTTAATGAAACTTACTTACTGGCTACAAATTTTGGATTAACTTAGAAAAACTTATGGCATTTATTTGTTAATTACCCAATTTAAAAACGTGTTAGATTAGATTATAAAAATTAGTAAGATTTTGGTGATTGAAGTTGTAAACTATAAAGCCATTTTGACAAAAATCTATCGACTTTTGGACCATGGGTCATATGAACTTTTTCACTTGTTTTGACCGCCCCTATTACTCATTTCAATAATGACTACTATCATAACGTTTACACCCTGTATTTAGTGGCAATTTGTGAAATTTAATTGCCCAGAGCCCCGTACCATCTTGACACTTTCTTAGCCGCCAATATACATATATACAAGGGACAAAATTTCTCTTATTTCTCTGGTATTATTATTCGTGAACATCTTGGAAGATTTGGTTTAGATCTGCTTTTCTCTTGGAAAACATCAAGCACTCATACACATACAAACTTGGTACAGTCAGCAGCTTCAATTCATAAAAAACACTTGCTTGCAATCACCTATGTTTTTCAGCCCTGCCATCAATCTAATAGCCCTCTTCTGCAGCCCAAACACTCCAGAGCCTCAGCAGAGTGGCCCCATACAATAATTGCATATGTGCAAGTGGGATAGTGCGACACTTCTCGCAATAATTTACTGAGGACATGGATATTCTCAGAAAGTTTTATGGATAGAACATCAACGTGGCTTTTCCATTGAAGCTAGGGGCAAGAGTGGCCTAAAAATTTTACTTGACCTTCATTTTGGATGTTTATTTCCCTCGCAGAGGATGTACTATGTTCTGTATATGGAATTTGTTTTTTTTATACTCCAACTACCACCCACCCATTGGGTACCGTGGGGCTATAGGGGGAAATGGGGGACGCCACACGGACTCTGGCGAGGGAACACGTGTGCATGCAACATGCACACATTCTGGCTCCGCCTACGAAATCCGCCGGGTGGTACCTCTGCATTCGACAGTCAGAGACCGTCTACCACCTACGGACAATCACAACATCCATAGCCAAGAGAAAGATTTCTCCTGTGACGGGACTCGAACCCGCACAGCGCACGGCGACTGATCAGGAGACCGAAGAGTCTACTACTGTGGCCACCGCTGCTGCCTGGCTCATGCTTTATAGCTAAGTAACTATGTTCTGTATATGGAATTGATCGTACACGAAAGAAGGTCGTTGATATGTAAGAGGAACAGTGTCGGTGCCAAGACCGAACCCTGGCAAACACCCGCGCTGACGTTCTGAGATGAGGAAAAGTCAATTACGACGTATATCTTGCGGCTAAAGAAAAAGTCGGCCACCCATCTGCAAAGCTTCTCGTAGAGGCCATGCGATGGAAGTTTGCATAAAAAGGCAGCATGCCACAGGTGATCGAAGGCTTTCGTGATATCAAGAGCAACCGCGCCACAAAGCTAGGAGGTCCCCTGTGGATCGCTGGTGCCGGAAACCATACTGCTTGTCGCTAATCAAGTCATGACGTTCGAGGTAGTCCAGAAGCTCGCGATTTATGAACTCCTCCATCGCCTTACTTATAACAGAAAGCAGAGCTATAAATATGCCTGAAATTGTACGGGTTGGTCTTAGATCCCTTTTTGGGGTGAGCTGGACATGAACAAATTTTCAGTTTTCTGGGAAGGTGCCGGATTCGTAAGATATCTGGAAGAGACGCGAAAGAACTGGAAAGTTCCGCTGCACACCTCTTCAATACAACGGCAGGAATCAAGTCCGGACCAGAAGAAGCTTTGTAAATGTCGAGCGACTAGAGCACCAGACTTACGGTTTGAATCGACGGCACTCGGGGTTGGTGGAGTTGAGTTGGTTCCATCGTTCCATCCATCCTCTGTGAGAAGTTCCTTTCAATAGGCTTGGCCAGCGTCCATACAGACCGACTGCCATTGCTCTGCGACATTACCCTGTGCCTAACTTTTATATCGTGCTGGTCTTTGGCATTGAGGACCACTTTGTTGATTTTTGGACTTACCTATTCGCAAGAAGTGGACTGCTGACGGGAGGCACATTAGGCGGGCCCATAGATGAAGGAGGGCCCATGCCAGACATGTGGTGTCCTGAACCTGCTGGCGGACCCATATGGTAGGGTTGTTGCGGAGGTGAAGGACTCGCGGGCCCAGGACTGCCAAAACCCATTTTCGTTTGCAGATGCTGTTTGAGGTAGTGCGGTGGTCGATTGGGAGGTCCTGGAGACTGAGAACCAGGACTCTGAAAACAAATCAGAATACTCAAATAATTTCAAGATATACGTATGTCGTATGACAAATACAACGCAGCCAGGTTATATTACATTTTTATAAAGAATGTACTTTGGATAGTTAAGCAAAGAGAAAACATAACAAGAGAGCACACTGCGCGGAGTGCTTCTGAAGATTGCCGTTTGCCATTATTGACATTGTGTTTGGCCCTGTATTACTTATAGCCCGTTTTGACGAATTTATAGCAAGCACAGAACAGCCAAGCCGAGGGCAGAAAGCCTAAATAGCGTCCATCATATGTTCTCAAACCGGCAGACAATATCTAGAAACTGCTATATTTATAATGAGGTGAATGAAGTAATCGTTTTATTATTCTCAAATTACCTATTCTCTACATTTATTCCAAAATACGATACACACAATATAAATATTCAACTCAGCACCCATTTAATGATCTCTTTTGGTAAAATATGAATAATATTTTTCATGGGATCTACTGGTGGATGTGAAAAAACATTATACTCTATCCGTAGTCCATTTACGGTCCAGCACAACAAAGGTGCAGCGCGGCAAAGCGGCAGCCGCCTAAGCGTTGCAATAGCTATTGGTCATTCCGCCATAAAACTACGATTTTCAACATTGTTAAAAAAACAAAATATTGTCTCCACACAAGAGGCTGCATTACACGGAGCTGTTGGATACACTTGGTAACTTTGATCGGAATGTCATCAGAGTCCATCAATTTTTGTACTTGATAATGCTGCATACCACATTAGAAAACCAGAAAAAATTCCCACAATGTCCACAAAAAAAGGCAGAGATTCAACAATGGATAGTATCAAAAGACATTAGTTTCAATGAAAAAATGGCCAAAGCAGAACTTATCGATCTAGTCAGGCAGCACAAATATAAATATAATCTTATTGGTATTCACGAAATGGCTAAAAACCAAAATAAGACCGTTTTAAGGCTACCCCCGTATCACTGTGAATTAAATCTTATTGAAATGATTTGGGCAAACATAAAAAGACTATGTGACTTTATGTGACTTCAAACAATAGAACATTCAAATTTTCTGACGTGAAAAATTTGTTTTATGAAGATGTCAGCAGAGTGACGGTAAACCATTGGAAAGATGGCATTCGTTACGCTCAAGAGACAATCGAAACAAAGATGTGGGATCTGGACAATATGATCGATACTCAAATTGAACCTGTAATAATTAAAATTAACCATTCGGACGACGATTCAAGTACTTCCAGTGAATAAATCATTGTGAAAAGTATGTGCACTTCATTCTATAAAAATAATCACCTATTTTGTTAAATTATTCAAAGACAATTGAGGAAAATACGGACCTGTACAATCTCGCTTTTAGGCATGTTGTGTTTTGTCGTAAATGGACTACGAATAGAATGTCGGATACCTTTTCTGATTGCTCTGATCGATATATTTAACATTTTCTTACGTACAACCCGCTATAATTTGACCTTGGGTTTTTGTTCCAGTCTGAAGCTATCGACTGGGCCTAAAACCACATGCACCACACACGTTAAACTTGAGATTAAACTATTTAAAAAAATGCATCGTTTCGGTTCTTCTTCACTAAGCATTGGATCCTAAAAATTATTTGTGATATGTTTTTTATGATATTTTTTTTCGTTACTTCACCTTACCCTTCATTCCACTGTTTCAATTTCCAACTAACATCTTGTGGAAATCTATAGAATTTGCATCTACTGTTCTACCATCTTTATACTTCATATGCAATAGGTATCGAGAGGCATTTTTAATTCTATTTGCTTTACAAAAGGAAGGATTTCACCATACAAAATACGCGAAACGCGTGTATTTCACGATCAGTCCGACAATATTTCCTTTTTGTTCATGTAGGGTGTGGCGATAGATTTTGAGTAATATTTATAGACTTTCCTCTAAGCTTCCTTGGAAGCAGTGAAACAATGACGCAATTTTAAGGGACGTTCAAGAGAGGATCTAAATTTTCATTTGACAGTAGGCTGTAGTTGTCATCACAAGCTGTCAGATGTCAGACAGATTATTATTGTTTGTTGGCCGTATCTATTTAGCATTCTGATGATAAAATTGGGACGATTTGTGCTTAATAATAGTGCAACATAATCTGATTTTTATTGTGAAATAGAGTAGGTGAATTTGACAGACGTAATCTACAATCTGCAACTAGCAGAGCAGTTCGGCGCAACTGGTTGCCTATATTCAGTTCTTTACTTCCCTATGATTGTGCTGTAATTCGAGGAAACAAACACGTTATTATTTTGCATTGTTTATTGATGTTTAGCACAACTAAACCAAATCGTTTCAATTTTACCACCAAAACGCTTGATCGGATAGCACAGAAAAATGTTTCTTGTTTCACTGTATCCAAGGGAAAATCTATTGTTCTCAAGCCTCAAGGAAGATCCATAATCTGACTCTCAGTTCCCCCCGTTTACACTTCGCTCCCGGCAAATAGTCAAAGACACACCAACGATGAGTTGCTACTTCTTCTATTTTGGTACTTGGCCGAAATTCTGGATGAATGGTAGAATGAAAGTACCTGTGAAGGAGGATTTGGACCATTCCCTTTGGACGCGGATGTTTGCCATGACTGCTGGTATGGTGGAAACTGCGAATTCTGCATATGGTTGGGAGCCGGCCTTCCTGGAAATTGCTGGGGTGGCATACTGTTCGGTGGAGGTTGGGACGTTGGAGGACCATAACCCTGGCCAGGATACTGGAAAACAACATACGTGTTAGTTCGAAAGATAATAGAATAGCAATATTTCTAGGGTAAAAATTACCACCAAGTTGTCATGGCCCCTAAAATTCGTTACCAGAATATAAATTATTGATGTAGGTACTATCATAAACATTTTATGTCTGGTAGGAACAGCATAAACAATTCATAGAAAAACTGCCTTTATTCAGATTAAATACGAGCATAGAAATTGGACTAATTGATTACGAAGAAAAAGAAAAATATTTGATGCGCGGTCTTTCTGACACACCTATTGGATTTATGAGTTGCATACAGTAGCGGACAAAAGTTTGGAAACAAATATTAACATTATTATGCACTATTTCATATACCCAAATTAAAATTGTAAATATGAAACCTGTGCTAATACAAGGTTTATCTTATCAATATTGAAATTCTCTGAAAACAAAAACACTAGTTTTTTTTAAATACCACAGTGCGGTAAATATTAACATCAGTGACAATGGCAAAGGTAAAAGAATTTTCAAAAGATTCAAGAGATAAAGTAATTGAATTATTTAGAAGTGGTGTCAGAAATGTTGACATTTCTCAAATATTAAAAATGAACAAAGGGGACGGTTTCGAAAATTATTAGTATATATCAAGAATACGGATCAACAGCAAAGCGGCCCCAACCGATTATGTTTTGGATCGCTACATTAAACGTTTATCCCATGAAGATCCTCGAATGCCAGACACACAGATATTCAAAAGCATCGTAGAAGAGGGCGCCGAGAATCTTTCTGTCAGAACAGTGCAGAGACGCTTGGTGGATTTTGGGATTTTTGGTGGGCGTCCAGTGCAAAAGCCTCTTATTTAAAAAAATCGTATTGCTCGGTTTGAACTTGCTAAAACTCATCTAACTTGGACAAAACAACAATAGAATACAGTTTTAAGGAGCGATGAAAGCAAATTTAACTTGTTTGGATCTGACGGTACGGCATAGGTATGTGAGACGTCCAGTACGAAAAAGATTCGACAAAAAGTATCATTTGCCAACAGTTAAGCATGGTAGAAGCTGTTGGTTTGGGGCTGTTTTTCTAGTTCTGGAACGGGTCCAATTGTTAAAATTGTTGGGAAAATGGATCAAAAACTTTATAAAGATATTCTTAGTGAACACATGCTCCCTTTTGCTGAACAATCAATGCCTTTAGGATGGACAGTCCAGCAAGATAATGACCCCAAGCATACTTCAAAATTCGTAAAGGACTGGTTAAGACTAAAAAATGTTAATGTTCTACATGGCCTTCGCAATCCCCGGACGTAAACCCTATAGAACATCTCTGGGAACATGTTAAAAGACAACTGACAAGAAAAACTTTTAAAAATAGGAACGATTTATTTGATGGTGTAAAAAACATTTGGCAAAATATCCCAACAGACGTCTGTAAAAGATTGGTGTTTTCTATGAACAGCAGATGTCAGGCAGTGTTGAATGCTAAAGGCTATGCTACCAAATATTAGCTAAACAATATATTTTAAATCTTTGTTATTATATTTAATATAATAATAAACATATGTTTCCATACTTTCGTCGTCTCATTTTTGGTCATAGAATAAGATGAAGGTATTTTAATGCTAGTCTGTAGTACCACAGTAAACATACATTGTCATCTGTATCGCCAAGACTGTGAGCAAACTATATGAGAAAAAAAATATTCCTTAATAATAAAATTAGCGCACTTTTTAAAAATTACTAAGAATATTTCCAAACTTTTGTTCGCTACTGTATGTCCGCAAAAACTTACTCTTTCTAAAATTTATTAAGAAAGTTAATCATTTTACTAACGAGTAATTTCTGAAAAACTTTAGCTAAACTTGATATAAGTAAAATACGCCGATAGTTAGTGCCATCCATATTATCATTCGCTTTATAGATAGGTGGTATGATAACTCCTGACTTGAAAACTGATTGAAATACTCCACATTGAGAAAAATTGTTAATAATAATTTCGGTTGAATGGTTTAGCGGATCTTTCTAAACGGGAGTAAGAGCCGAATTCTGCCGTTTGTCGGGAAAGTAGCTAGAATTTGTTGAAGTCTTATGTATTTTTTTGTGTGTGCTTATCTTGGCAATAAAACCATTTATTATTATTATTATTATATACTAAGTGACATATAAATCCGAACACCCAGTTTAAATGGTTTTATTTTAATAAAAGTTGGTGAATGTATTTATCTTACTGAAAATAACAAGTGAAAAAATTTTCAGCCTTATCAGTTGGACATTCCGGTTTTTATACTGCTTTTTTTTAATTCACTAACGCTCTAAAAATGAATATTTCAGCCGCAGTAAAGAATCAACGTTGGCGGATTTTGGTTCTTGACATCCTTTACGATCGGTTACGATGCATAGAGTACGGAGACCTCTACGATTTCGTCAACTTAGTGAGTTTGATAGGGGCCGTATAGTGGGACTTCGGGAAGCTGGACTTTCTTTTCGGGCAATTGCAGTTAGAGTGCAAAGAAGTGTAGACACTGTGGTTAGGTGTTGTCAGGCATGGCTTCGAGAAGGCCGTACGCAAAGAGCAAGGGGCACTGGACGCCGCCGTAGAACAACAGACCGTGAAGGTCGCCGCCTAAGATTATTGGCCTTAAGGGACCGTTTCTCCACTACCAGGTCCATTGCAAATGAATGGTTTGCAGAACACGGAAGACCTATTGGCATGCGAAGTGTTTACCGACGGAAGAGAAGTTTTGGCTTGTTTTCATACCGGCCACACTGGGTCCTCCCTTTAACTCGAGAACACCGACTTAATCGCCTTGAGTGGTGCAGACAACGGTCACTCTGGGATCAGGAATGGAACAGTATTGTCTTTAGTGACGCGTCTCGATTTTGTTTAGGCATGCACGATGGTCGTGCCAGGGTTAGAAGGCGACGTGGTGAAAGGAGGAATCCACAGTTTTTTGTTGAAAGACATGTTCATCACACTGTTGGAGTTATGGTTTGGGGTGCTATAGCGTATGGTTCCAGGTCACCTTTAATCTTCATCAGAGGTAACATGAACGCGCAGCGTTATATCCACGAAGTTCTAGAACCCCATCTTTTAGCCTATCTTGACACCCTGGCAGATCCAACTTTCCAACAAGATAATGCCCGACCACATGTTGCAAGAGTCACAATAGACTTCTTTCAACATAATGATGTCACATTGTTACCATGGCCACCAAGATCTCCCGACTTATCCCCAATTGAGCACGTGTGGGATATGATGGGTAGGAGATTGCTCAATTTGCAACGTCCTCCTCAGACTCTAGAAGCACTTCGAGAGGAGTTGGTGGTTGCCTGGAATGAGATACCACAGGAGGACATTGACCACCTGATCAGAAGCATGCCTAGGCGCGTTGGAGAATGCGTAGCACATCAGGGTGCATCCACACATTATTAAAGGTCAAAGGGCTTTAAAGCAGTGCAATCATTTTGAAATTTTTATCATTTACTTATTATGCTTCATTAAGTACTTATACAAAATTTTATTAAAATAAAACCATTTAAACTGGGTATTCGGATTTATATGTCACTTAGTATATAAGCAAGTGGTTCTGCTATTTGTTTGGCCAGCATATACAGCATATACCAGGTCTAATTTCATCAACTCCAGGGCTTTTTGTATTATCTAGAGTTATAATGGCAATGAAAGGCAATACCTGTACATTAGCTGCGGGCCTTGGCGGATAACCTCCAGGTTGCGGATATTGATTCGGTTGGTAAAGCGGCACCTGCTGACCTGTTGCGGCAGCCGCAACGGCCGCGGCTGCCGCAACTGACGCCGACGTTGACACAGAAGCTGACGGATGCCCTTTGTACGGATGTGGCTGCCCATGTTGCTGTTGCGGATGACCTCCCGGTCCTGGATGACCTGGTCCTGGCGGGTGACCTGCTGGATGACCTCCTGGTGGGTGACCTCCCGGACCTACTCCCGCACCGGGGAGGGGGTAAGGAGGTTGATTGCTTTGGCCCATCGGCGAATGGCTGATCCGCGAGGGACCGTTGCCGTCCGATTGACCGCTGGAAGGCCGAGGTGGCATCGGAATGTTTTGACCTGCAACAAGACATCAAACCTAGACTTATATAGACCAACTCAACTTTCCTATATTATCTTGCGCGATGCTTTGACACATTAAAATGTGACGACAACAACAACACTGATCATTAAGGCCTCGATTGTTTAATCGCAAGTTGAACGTAACTGTTTTTACAGGGCCCGTCGGAAAGAACGCAAGTTTTTTAAAGTAGTACAGTCAAAATAAGTATAGGAAAAATACTTTATTATATCAAAATACTCAGAAATACATGGCATTCTTTTGAGTAAAACAAAATTTACGTTCTAAAAACTATGTCGGCCATATGGCCCTTGAGCTGAAATGCAGGAATCAAGCCTCTCCCGAAATGAGCCCATTCCGTCGGCCAGCATCCGTGCAGGAATTTGGGTTACTTCTCCTCTTATTTCCTCCTTCAAATCGACGAGGGGCCCAGGCTTGCTTTGGTAAACTTTTGATTTCAGGTAGCCCCATAAAAAAATCACACGTTGACAGGCCCGGGGAGCGAGGGGGCCATGGAATATCGCCTAGGAATTTTTGCAGAAGAAGTTCCATCGAAGTGCGAGCTGTGTGAGATGTTGCTCAGTCTTGTTGGAATCACACTGTTCTGAGACGGACATGTCGACGTCGAAGTTCCGGAAAGAAAAAGTTGTTCGGCATGCAGATGTAACACTCTGAATTCACAGTAGTTGTTTCTCCATCATCCTCAAAAAAACAAGGGCCAATAATCATCGTTGGGCCTACTGCACACCAAACTGTAACTTTTGGGGTATGCAGGAGGCGCTCATGCTACTGTTGGGGGTTCACTGGGGACCAATATGGACAATTTGTTTATTGACGTGTCCATGTAAATGAAAATGTGCTTCATCATCATGAACAACGTCATGTCATTGTTATCCAACTGTTCAGTCATGAGCTGTGCAAAATTGACACGTTGTGCATAATCCCCTGGCAACAGTTGTTGACAAACTTGGATTTTGCAAGGATGGAACAATAAATCCTTCTTCAAGATGCGACGTACAGAGGACGCGTGGATCCCTAGGGAACTGGCACGCAAACGGACGGCACGATTCGGGCTTTGCAGCGTGTCAACTCTCACTCTGTCTACGTTTTCGGGGGTTCTAACAGTACGGTTTCGCACTGGCTTTTTTTTCTTCGTCACATTACATCTTGTGTTGAATGTTTCCACCCATCTCAAAATGGTGTTACGGTCTGGTGCTGTCCCACGACGTGGAACACGAAAGTGAACGCGAAACTTACGTTGCGTTCGAACGAGAGACTCGCCATTTTGAAAGTACCGACGTACAGTGAACACACGATGCTCAACGTACCAAACCATCTTGCCAACTGAAACGGCACTTCTCCCACTATCCAACACGCCCTTCCCCACCGACACGGGACCAGCCCACTCGATGTAGTACCCATTCGTAAAACATGCGTTCTTTCTGTATAACCAGTGTTTTTAGTTCAAATTTCAATAGTAACTACCCTCAATGTTTATAAACTTCAAATTATTTCTCTAGTATCTCATATGTTCTTCTTGTGGCCCCGTCTTTTTCATTAAAGGCTGGCTACAATTTTGGCAAATCGCTCTCGGTCTTGAGCGATTCTTAAAACTGACTCTTATGTGCCATGAATATTGTCTACTACCTGGGACCCTTCTTCATTTATTACAACAATTTTTTGTATGAATGTCTTTTGAGCCGCTTTCTCATTAGTCAATTTTATTGATCAATAATAATGAATCTATGCCATTGAAGTGAAATAGTCTAATGCAGGAGCTTCCAACTAGGGGGGCATAGAGAGATGTCAAGGGGGGCGGAAAGCGTTTGCATTTTAGAAAGAAAAAAAAAACAAACAAAATTAACAAATAACATTACAATGTAATGTTTAATTTACACGCATAAAATTAGAAATTAAATATCATATTCACTTATTCTGTCAACCGCTGTTTGAAAACCCGACGTCTTCAATCGCAGTTTATACAAGTTTCGACAAGTCACAACATGAAATCCGCGGGCACCCTCGCCGCGCTCCGCTTAACATTCACCACTTAGAAAACAATTGTGTACATGTTTTGTTGAGAAATCTGTTTGGGTGTGTCAAATTGTTGTGTCTCACTGTTAAAAGGTAAGTTTATGTATTTACAAACTTCAGTTACCATTTCTACTTAATTTATAGGTATTTTGCTTATTTATTTATTACTTATTTGTTTTATTGTTATATGTGCAAAATGGCAGCGAAAAAAAGAATGTTTTCCGAAGATTACGTTAAGGTTGGATTTACCTTCATAGAATAAGACGAGTTACAATTGCCTCAGTGTGTGGTATGTATGAAAGCTTTAAGTAGTGATAGCATGAGGCCTAATCGCCTTGAAAGGCCTTTGAAGCAACGACATCCTACTCTGGTTTTGAAGACGAAAGAGTTTTTTTCTTCTAAAGCAGAATCACTCAAGCGGATGAGACTGGATAAATCGAGAAGTTATCACACAGGTGTATCGCAGCATCTCAAAGCTTGATTTGAAATAGCTTTTATGATAGCAAAGCTAAAGTAACCTCATACTATCGGTGAAGAATTAATAAAACCATGTGTCCTAAAAGCCACGCAGATAATTTTAGGAGAAGATGCAGAGCAAAAAATGAAGTCTATTTCTCTTTCGAATAACAGTCAAGCGTAGAATCTATGACATTGCAGCAGACATAAAGTCAAAAATAATTAACAAAGTAAAATTATCGCCATTTTTTGCCATTAGTTGCGATAAATCCACCGACACCGTTAATTGCGCACAGTTAATAGTTTATGTTCGTTACATCGGCGGAGATATCATTCAAGAAGAGATTTTGTACTCCCAATCTTTGACAGCAGGTACTACATCTGAAGATACATATGTTTGATTCAATATAAAATGTTGTTGACAAAAATGATTTGGATTGGAAGAAACTCATTGGACTTTGCACAGATGGCGCACCTGCAATGATAGGTGTACGATCGGGCTTAGCTAAAAAGCTCAAGGAAAAAAATCCCGCAATGGTTAGTACACATTGTGTTATTCATCGGCAAGCTTTGGCTTCCAAAACATTGCCTCAGAAATTATGCCAGACTTTGGACTCGGCTATAAGGATTGTAAACTACATCAGAAGAAGCGCTTTGAACAGTCGGTTATTTACTTTACTTTGTGAGGATCTCGATTCTGATAACGAAGTTCTTCTGTTCCATAGAGAAGTACGCTGGCTCACGAAAGGCAACATGTTGGCTTTACTTTATGAATTGTAAGAAGAGATTCTTTTACTGGAGTTCAAATGTTCAAAGATGACACATTTCAATGGAGGTTGGCTTATTTAAGTGACATATTTGACTCCTTGAATGAGCGAAACTTGAAACTTCAGGGCAGAAACAACACTATAATAAGCAATTATGATTATATTCAGGAGTTCATATCAAAGCTTCAACTTTGGAATCAAAAAGTGTCTTCTGAAAATGTTATATCTTTTTCTCGGCTGTTCGAAGCAATTGAAAATAACATACTGGACGCAAATTTAAATGCTGACAAAAACTCATTTGCAAGCGCTGGAAGACGAATTTCGCAGATACTATCGAGACATCAATTCAGAGTCACCAATATGCCACATGACAAGAAATCCATTTGTTGTCGATGTGTCACAATTACCAGAAGTTCAGGAAGAATATTTAGAAATGAAGGCTGATTCGTCCATGAAAGATGACTTCCATCTTTTAACATTGGAGAAATTTTGGATCAAAAGATTGCCTATTAATTCGACACTTGCCTCTCTTGCTTTACGAATACTAATTCCTTTTTCTTCAACTTACTTATGTGAGACTTCTGCTTTAGTTTTAATTAAAACTAAACAGCGAAATCATCGATAGCTCTGACAAAAACAGAACCTAGAATCAACCAACTGGTACAGAGCACGCAATCTCAAGCGTCTCATTAGTACCTGCTCTTATTTTATTCAAGTTTTTCGATAAAAACATTTATTAGTTTATTTAAACTTATAAAGTTTCTTTATTAGAATTTCTAATAAAAGTCTTTGTACCTATATAATGTGCGTTTTTTTGTATTTATTGAAAAAGTAAAGGGGGGGCATGAAAATATAATTTATAGCCTCAACAAAAAAAAAAGGTTGGGAAACCCTGGTCTAATGTGAACATGCGTTCAACCATATTGCTCTATCGATTTGCACAGTGTGATCAAATTTACCATTCAATTCTATGGTCAATGGCATAGATTCATTATTATTGATCAATACGATTGACTAATGAGAATCCGCCTGAAGAACTAGTGTTCAACCGCATTGAAAGACCGTTACGGTTGTTTTGAGGTTATATTTTGCTCTCGTCTTTTTCTGAATGTTTTTTTGCTCCCTTAATGCCGGGTCCACATCAAAGCAACAAAACAAAAACAAGGAACAAAACAGAAACGCAACAAATGAGCAACTTTTTGGAAACAGAACAAAATGAGAACTTATGTCCACATTACCAAGAGACAAAACAGTTTTCAGTTGTTTTGATTCGTGCAATTCACACCAAAAATTTTCAGAGGCAAAATATGTGGCGTATTTATGCTGAAATGCAGAAGTGCAATGATTTAATGATAATGATAATCCTTACGTGAAAGAGATGATCGTGCTATTGGAAAATTATTGTCCGATTTGCGTAAAGATGATATTGGATTGCGAGGAGAAATGCGTTCTAGTTTCGAGAACTTTTTAAGAATGCACAGTAAAAACTTTGCAGAAATAATACAGCTGATCGGTCCTGAAATTTATAAAAAAATACAAATTTTAGAAATGCCTTTAACGTAGCTGAATGTTTGGCCGTAACACTAAGATTTTTGGCAACCGGAGACTTTTATCATAGCTTAGCAATATCGATAATAATACCGGAAGCTTGTGATGCCCTAACTGAAGGCCTCAAAGAATATATTAAGGTAAGTTTTTGATACTACAGTTTCTGTTTTATATTTTTTTCGCAACAAAGTACA